TTAATACATCTCACTTTTTTATTTTTTTTATTTTCTCATACTTATTAGGAAATGGTGTTGCAATTAGTGTCTTGGGCTTATGATGCCGCATAGTGTTTCATTTTATTTGAAAAAACGTGTCTAAAGTCGCGGATTTGAATTAACGGCTGACTATTCATCAATTATTTCCACAGGGCACAGATTGATACTGTTATAAATCTGTCAAATTCATAGCGCGTCTTAAATAAGCTTTTTAATAATTTCTTTTAATTTAGAACTGTTAGCGATTTCAAAAAAAAAAGATTTAATTGGTAAAAGTTCGGCGCTGAGACACTAAGATAGGAAGCTTTGGCTACATAAGCACGATGGCTAAAACGTGGATTGCAGTATCTCGATTTTTAATCTATGATAAGTCACAAAGAAGCCTATTTATTTACACGTATTTAAATGGTTGCAGTATCGCGGTAAAAATAATATTTATTTTACCAGTAATCAATTCTGCGCTTTAATATTATTTGTAAAGCTTTCAAACGCTTTAAAGACGCGGGGAATTTATTTGAAAAGCGTCAGTCGAGAACGTTGCACGTATTACGAAAGCCAACTGCATGCTATCAACGGTTTGCGCGGGAAATTTATTTCTAAAAAAAAAAAAAGTTTTTTTTTTGTGATAATGTCGTTATAATGTTTGCTTCTGGCGAATATCTAAAGGTACGTTTTAAATTATTCTTTTTTTTTGTACTGAAGTATATAACAGTTCAGAATTTTGTGAATGAAATTGTGATATTAAAAGAGTATGTGAATAGAGTATGTTATTCAATAAAAATGTTTCCTAAACATGGTGTTGACACCTCTTAGAGGTGAGGTTAACCTTACTAGATTTTATTGAAGTCCCAAATAATAGGTATTCTAAATTTGTACTTTAATTCGTTGCCTGGTAGCTTCATTTAATTTAAATTTTTATAGAATATTGAAGACTTAAACTTTTTTTTAGACAAGAGTGTTGTACATTAAATATTGATAACATATAATTTTACTAACCATCCGCCCCGGATTTGCACGGGTGCAATGTATTATACATATAAACCTCCCTGTTGAATCACTATCTAGTAAACAAAACTGCACAAAGATCCGTTGCATAGTTTTAAAGATCTAAGCATACATTGGGACAGACAGACATTCGACAGACAGACGTTGTTTTATACTATGTAGTGATAATTTTTCCAATCTAATTTATCTTTTCAATACAACACCGTACTTCAAAGTGAACAAGACTTGAAAATAAGAATTTCGATATCGAAATACCTATATGTGCAATTGAGCAACGAGTTTCGGTAATAAGGAAATAAACACATCGTTACGATTACTGTGAGATGTAAGTTCATAAAAGCTTCATTGCAATCGAATTAAGCTTTAGAAATGCGATTCAAAAATAAAATAATAATTTTTACATGATGACTGCAAACTCAGTATTCTGAAAAGGGTGCCCTGAACTTCGTGTGTCGTAGGGCTTTGTTGATAAAACCAAATAAGTAATGCGATATGATGGTACCTCCACGTCATGAGCGTTAAAAAGATATTGTCGTAAGTTGTTTTTAATAAGGCTCGATGCTGATTACATCGTTAAGAAAGTATCCATCTGATGGTGCGAAACTTAATATGTTTTATCATGAAATGGGATACAGTATTTTAATTAAATGGCCCGTACTCGATCGATCTTATAAATCCCTTTTGTTCTTGTAATATATAAAAAACTAGCCTAAAGAGTTATAAATATTTTTTTTTACTCATAATTGTAACCTAGCAGTCAAAGTATTTGCAACAACTGCAAATTATTTTTCTTTACAATATATTCTAAAGTTAAAAAAGTTTTAGTTAAGCCTAGTATTTTTTATGTCAAATGTTGTCCAGCGATGGCCAGCCATGGACATTTAGAACACCCGAGGGCATGCACATACGTTGACCAACCTTTAAAAAAATGTGATCCCGGCTACTTCACCCACCAGACGAAAGCGAAAGGCTAAAGAATAATGTTTCCACTTCACGCTGGTCTTCTCTGAGGTCGTGGTACTTCTCCAGACGAGCCTGTCCATTCGTGTAAAAGTACAAGCTGACACCAATCATCAAACAAAAATGTTACAAACCAAACGAAAAGAAATAAACGAGAACGCAAATCACGTTTTTAATTTAGATCGTAAATTCAACCGCTTTTTACATTATAAAGTTTTCGTTAAACACTTAATACTGTTTCCTTTAATCTTCTATTTAGGACAACTTTATTTCCAAAGCGCTGATGGAATACTCTTAAGGGATTCGATCATGAAGACTTGCGTAAACGTTCTCTTTTCGATCTTACATTCTTGCCGTTTTATTCATCAATAATAAACCGAATACAGATAAATAAAATTGGAGTGTCTGTTTGTAATACTAAAATAACCGGAAATGTAAACACATCCTTATGCATTTAGTACAGGTATATGTACCAAAATAACATTTTTTACAATTTTTGTCTGCTTCACTGTCTATTTGTTCCGGCTAATCTCTGAAACGGGAGGACCGATTTTAACGGGACTTTCACTGGCAGACATATTATGTAAATAGGAGTAACTTAGTCTATTTTTATTTTAGTAATTTTATTTATTTTAAATTTCACGCGGACAAAGTCGCGGGCACAGCTAGTCAATAATAAACCAAAAGAGTTATAATCTAATGCTAATCTATGACAGATTAGTGATGAAAATATTTATTGTAAGAAACCGTTTTGATTACAATCTGTATTCTATACGAACATAAAATTGAAGTCTGTATGCGATATCAAAATAAATGTTATTATTAAAGTGAAATTTTTTGTTGGTTTGAATGACTGGAAGTTAGTCTTGAATGGGCAACTACACGGCTCAATAGATTTCGATGAAAATTATAATATATAAAACAATATATTTACACAAATATCCATGTACACATACAATTGGATGTCTTGTATATGAATATAAATATAAATTTCAAATGAATTTACATTTTGAAAATTTAAAAAAGAATTCTGACTGAATTAAAATCTGAACAAATTGAAATTATATTTAACCCCGCGGGCTGAATCTAGTTCACAAGATAGGACTAGAATAGAGACACAAAATGAGATACGATAGAAGTTGCTGAGGCAACGCCTCTAGTAGCTTTAAAATCCGGGTATTTTGTTAAAGACAAGTAAATACGCAAAATAGTATGAAAACCACATGTACTTGAAAGTCTTATAACACTGGGAAGAAATGTTCTCAAAGAAACTTTTCTTTATATAAATTTACTATGAACATGAACAGAATAATGTTAGGATTCCGAGTAACTGAAATGTGATACAAATGTTTATGACTAAGGTGCGTGAAATTATTGGAACTTTATAGAGGCACGTTTTTCAAGCCTTTGTGTTGTAGACTACAAATATATCCAGTACATTACAAATATATCCAGTTTGTTAACTATAGTGAGACATTAGTTATAGTACCTATATCCAGTTTCTTAACTATTATAGTATAGTAATCGATAGCTATATATTTTTGTAGCTGAATGCGGCTATGAAAAAATGTATGACAGTTAATAGATCATCTTACTTTTACAGATCGACGAATTTCCATCACATACCAATTTAATTACATATAATATAAAATAAATATATAAAAGTACTTGCATGCAGAATGAAAATACTGTAAACTTCGTTGTCCATGTCCCTGAAATTTTTTTACCATGTCGTATTCAGGAAACAAGTTAGTGATATTTGGATTCATACTTATGTTGGGTAAGTGCCATTTTCGGTTAATCCAAATTATATGTAAATTTTCTATACAAATACTAAAAGATATGATTTTTCTAATACTAACTCGAGTTTTAAGCTTCGTTGATAATCACTGTTATTTTTCCCTACTACCGAAAGAGGGTAAAGTTTTTTTAGCATATGTAAAATGTATGTAGGTATGTCTAATCCTAATCGCTCTACAGCTTACACTTTTTGAAGGATTTATTTGTACATTAATTGCAGTGTTATTAAAGCCTCCATTTGTGGTAGTCACATATTATTAGACAGTAGATAGCATATTATATAAATATGGTGTCTTCGAAAAAAATTGACGAATAGTTAGTATTTTAATTGCAGTTAGATTTATTGTTTCATTTATTAATTTATGCTTACTACAAGTAGCTTTCATAGGTGGAGTGGCCGAGCTTGCCTATGTTTGTAACGAACGGAAAGAAAGACGTGAACCGACAATTTATTTAACATTATTTACACATAGTCCTTTGTTTATTTATTAATTTAACATTGAAAGAGGTTATGGTACCTACGATATTACATTCTTTTAAAATTCTCATAGCGTCTGTTATTGTACACAATAGGATGTTTTATACAAGTTAGCTAGAACTGCGTCTCTTATTTATTTCTTTACAATAAAGCGTGCTCGTTGAATTTAAGTGCAACAGGCAACAGGTATCTTTAATAACATTTGTGCACAAAAGAAACTAAGTACCACATAATTATGTGGTACTTAGTTTCTTTTGTGCTGCTAAGCTAACAAATTTTGTACCGTATCTTCGATTTTACTTTAAAATTAATTACGTAAATTTTCAATCAGTAATTCAAAACTAAATAAAGGTTTTACATTCACAATCTTCCATTCATAATATGATAAGCAAAACGTTTGAAAAGAACGAAATAATCCAACCATATTAACAGGAGAAAAGAAATATTAAGAAGTATATACATATTTTTACTCTTTGGCCCGTATCTCATAAATGTTGTATTAACGAAGGATAAGTTTTCAGTCCAAAGACTAGCTCCACCCTAAGCTTATTAGCCACGCACGCATGTCCACATGCATGACTATTATTCGTGCATATGGACACGCGTATACTGGTTACATCACATGGGGTTCGGATAGGCTGTTAAAGCTGGGTACTGTGCTTAAGATGCATGTCTACTGTAGATGACATAGATTTATTGTTAGCGGTGCTTTCACCGTACGCGTAGACGAGATGCTATGCAAGATGTCCTGTTGTCCGTTATCTCTACGTGTGTGTACACTAGAAGGCACCCCGTTGGATCAAAAGCAGCTGCAACCGCACGAGTATTGTTGATGTGGACGGCGGTCACTCAACATGAGGTGAACCACTCCTCGTGTGTCGACCCCTTTCATACAAAAGCCAAAAAAAATTCCCTTGCAGATTGCATGACGTCACTGAGGCTGCTAGAGTTGAGAGTACCGGGTCATGTGTTACTCGGGTCTCGCCCTTCGCTCCTGTGCCGATGGGAATTGGGCCCTGGAGACATATTGTATTCGATAAAATGGTACAAGGACGGCAAAGAGTTCTTTCGACATTTACCAAGGGACCGCGAGCCTCATAGGAGATTTTATCTGCCGGGAGTTGAAGTTGAGGTATGATTTACATGCGAGTTTTGTTATTTTACATGCGAGTTTCGTTATTTTACATGCCAGTTTTGTTCGAGTTTGCAGATGTCTGATATGGTTTTTTATTTGTCATTTAAGTGAACATTTATAATGGAGCGATTTTTTCAATTATTTTATTTAAACATTGCCTCTACTATAGGATGTGCCTGTTTTGTAAAGGTATTTTACAAACAACACTTTAGATCATCCAAATACTTTCCCAGAGGGAATTTGAACATAACCGTGGCGCCGAAGTCCCGTACCTACTTGTTCTTTAGCGACTTCCTGATAAGAAACGAACTAGAAGATGAAATAATATATTTTTATATAAGAAAAGATGACAAACGCGTTAGCAGGGCACCAAAACTAAGTGATTCTCGGCTCAAAGGATGTCTGCAACACCTAATGTGGTTGCAATTAACTCAATATTAAAAGAAAAGGCCTAGGTGACTTCGGTTAGAATACGAAATTATGTAATGAAGAAAATGAGACCGTGGTACGTCTTCGATAGAGCGGCTTAATCTGCTCTGTAGCTCTTTTAGGTAAAATTTAAATCAGTATTGGCCATTGCAATGTAAGACTTCCCCGTACTTGAAGTCGATGAACGCAGGTGGCTCAGGATCGTGCTTCGTGGCACTCTGTGGGGGAGGCCTGTATTCAAAAGTGGCGTAGATGATGATATATTTCCACATCAGAGTTCAGACGCGTTGGGGTCTAACCTGAGCCTGTCTGCTGTGACTCTGTTAACTGGGGGCCGGTATCGCTGCGAAGTATCCGGCGAGGGACCACTGTTCCCCACAGTTTCAGACCATGCGGACATGATCGTAGTCGGTAAGTAACAATGGTGTTTGTAAGATTAATTTTTTGTTTTTAGGTAGTCTCTGCACTCAAGATGAAACTTAAAATTATAATTTTTTATAGATTAATGAATAAATCTTTCGGTCCTGCGGGATTTGAATCTGCGTCTTCTAGTTTCGTGCCCAGACGCTTTATCGACTAAGCTGAGGGTCCGATGACATCACGGCGCGAAAATCTGAACATTTCTAGGCTAATGTCACGTGTTTTGTCATTTTGATATCATTTTGGTTTTCATGAAGTTATTTTTATAAACAAAACGCGCTAGTTTATTTGTTTACACTATCTTGGGTGGGGGCCGTAGTACCTAGTGGTTGGGCTTTTTGGGAAATATTTGATCTCTATAGAACAAATTTCTAGTTGTTCGACATTATTTTTGTAGCGCATTATTAAATTATAAAAAATAAAGTTATTGTGTATTAAATTGTCAATGAAACAATTATTTTGCAATTTAAATCAGTGTTTTGTGACAGAAATAAAAAGTAAAAAGTTATGTTTTCACTTCTGTTGACGGATCCTTTGACTACTTATTTTTTTATCCGTGCGCCTGCTTCCAGTTCTGCCAGAATACGGCCCCGTCGTATCGGGATTTCGACCGCTGTATCGGATAGGCGAGCGAGTTCACGTGAACTGTACATCGGGCCGGTCACAACCAGCCATCCAGCTAACGTGGTACATCAATGGCGAACCGGCACCATTCGGCACTGTCACGTCACCCATAGTCTTGAAGGACCGCGAAGGTTTTTCGACTTCGAGTCTGAAGCTCGATTTCAAAGTAACTAAGCGCCATTTTCAAAATGGCGGGCTAAAAGTCAAGGTGCATATATATATTTTTTTAAGAACGTAAAGTTGCATTCCGTGTCTTTTGTTCTTACAGCATTAATGACAAATGAAACTGTTTTTCGGAAACATCGGAAATTTTAAAAACATTTTATATTTGTGATAAATATAACAAACGTAATGTTATAAAAATATAAATAATTATAATGAACATAAAGCCGTAAGATGGTGTTATTCAACAACGTTATAATTAAATTTTTTATATTACTAATCTCTGCACTTATTTACAATTTCTTCTTAAATGATAACATTAACATTTGTAGAAAATAAGACGAAAAGTTTTAAGCTGCAACAGGAATCGAATCTACGTGTTCCGAATTCGCGCCCAGACGTAGCGTCTAAAAATTTTTATGTAATGTTTTCATTTAAAAAGAAATTGTATTGAAAAGTATGTTTTGTTAGTTATACTTTAAGTTGTCGCAAAAAGTACATTTGAGTTTTATAATGTTTGTATATTTAAAATATTCACTCTGGGCGGAACTTGAATTTTTTATTGATAATTGGTGGAAACTTTTGCCCCTGCGGTATTAAAACCTGCTTCTTGGTTGGTCCAGGTAACATTTCCAACTAACTGATGACACCACAGCGCGAACATCTCGACTTCTAACTTCTCTCTTTTGATTGTATAATAATAAATACATAAACATAGAGTGACTTCTGTCTACTGTAGCTTCCAAATATTTGCACGTGTGACCTTATACAGCGTGTCGTTACCACCGCGACAATAAATGAACACACATATAGGGGATAACTTTTTAAAATTGTATTAAACATTTACATTCTTTAAACATCAATACTAACCCAGTTATAAAATTTTACAAAACAAACAATTTAGAACACCCTTACGTATAAAATTGTAACGTAAAGTTCATTTGTAAAGGTCACAAAGCATATGAATGGGTTGAATGAATTTAAAAGTGACAAAACGTACTGTTAGAAGGAGAAGCTTGTAATGCGACGCTGTGGCGCGCGTTGTATAGGTTATACAAATTTTGTTTCTTTTTTACTTAATTAGTTTCTTTGAAAAATATTTTTTTTAATTATGGATTTTGTTTAACGTTAATATTTTTTTATGATTATTGGCAAGTAGCGTTAGACGTGTGTTCATTTATTGTCGCGATGGTAACGACACGCTGTATATTTAGTAAGAATTTAGAAGTATGAAAAAAAGCCAAGAGGACAAAAGATAAAAAGTTTTATAGATCAAACTCAAAGAAAACAATATTATTTTTGTAACGGCTCGGTCGACGGAATCGGTATCTGTAAGTGGCAGGTTCAAATCCCGGTGATTTTCTTAAGCCAATGTTTTTCAAAGACAAGGCACGCGAACTGTTGCCGTCCAAATACTCACAAGTAAATTAGCTCGAGTTCTTACCGTCAAAGGTAGTCAAAGCTTATTATAACAGTTTTTTTATTATTAAAATAAACATTACAAAAATATTTTTCAGTGTCTAGCGACATTGGCTTCAGTCTATTGGAGGAGCAACGAGGAGACCGCACGTGAAATGAAAGCTGGAATCCAGGACACTTTGATAGTGAAAAAGTACAATGCCACAAACACGAAAAGCAATTGTGGCCACTCTATTCAGACATTTTATGAGATCGTGATTTGTTATTATTTGACGATTACTTTTCGTTTAATTTTGGTATAAAATACATTATACAATACATGGTTATGTATAAAATAAATATGGAATCACCATAAATTGTAATAAATACGTATCGTCGAAGGTCGTTGTCGAAGTTGTTACTGTGATACATGTTAATATTTGAAGGGAAATAATTATTGTTAAGTATACCAATCAATAAGAAGTAAATTAAAGTTGATTTTTAAATAAATAGAATTTAACAATTTGCTTTTCAATCAGTTTTAATTGACACTTATTTTTTACGCGGTTTATTAATGAAAATCGGCAAACTTGTTTTTTTAATATGTAATATAAAAAAATATAATATCTAAATATAGAATCGTTAACTGAACATCCGTAATTATTTGTTTTTATATATGTTCAGTATTTTTTGTTTAGCCTATATTTATGCCGAATGACAGGAAATTATTTACTTCTTAAGCCACGCAGCAGTCTCGGCTGTTGCACGAATGGGCAGGCCCGTCCGGGTAAGTACTACGACCTCAAAGAAGACCAGCGTAAAGTAGAAGTATGACAAATACTTTCGCGTTTCGTCTGGTGAGTGAGGTAGCCGGAGCCCAATTTTCAAAAGGTTGCCAACGCATCAGATGTCCATGGGTGGCGGTATTCACTTACCCATCGGGTTTGTTCACATAAAAAAAATGATATAAAATGTACGGAAAGTCTGGCGATTCGTCGTATGGCACGCAACGCCCCGAACTGTCCTGTCTGCCCTTGCCCAGTTGTGGGATATAAAATATAGGCCCTTTCCTCATACTGTTTAGAAATACTGAATGTACTTTAATTTTCCTAAAAGTATAAACTTGCCGGAATCATCATTAGGCCATGAGGGCCGATTCATTTCAAACTAAACTTGGAAAACAAAATATTATTTTTCCTAATGTAAACTGGAAACATATACAGCGTGTCGTTACAACCGCGAAAATAAATGAACACACGTCTAAAGCTACTTGCCAATAAGCAATAAAAAAATTTAACAAACTAATTAAATAAAAAAGAAACAAAATTTGTAACATCCTATACAACTACAACTACATTCAGACACACTTTCATTCGTTGCCGCAGCGTCGCATTACAAATCTCTCCTTCTAACAGTATGTCATCCCTTTCAAATTCATTCAACCTATTCATATGCTTTGTGACCTTTACAAATAAATTTACGTTACCGTTTTATACGTAAGGTTTTTCTAAAATCATTTGTTTTGGAAAATTCAATAACTCGGTAAATATTGATGTTTAAGGAATGTAAATGATTAATACAATTTTAATAAATCAATTTGGGTATACTGAAGGACTCCAGTTTCTCTTGGACTCCTCAAATTAATGCAGTCGCCTGTAAAATGTTTCCAGCATGTAGTTCGCACAGACGGTTGAACTACTTTTTACCCATTCCCAACAAAATTACGCTCGCTCATTCTTTGCTGCTCCCAATCCTTGATTATGCTGACATATGCTATCTCTACATCACTGAAGAGCAGCTTAATAAACTTGAGCGACTCCAAAACCTATGTATACGGTTCATATTTGGGCTTCGTCAATATGACCATGTATCAGAATATCGCATTAAGCTCAAGTGGCTCCCGATTCGTTTTCGCCGAAATACTCACATTCTCTCTGCTCTTTACTGCGTCCTATTTAACGTATCAAGTCCACAATATTTGAAGGAACTTTTTCAATTTCTTTGCTCCTCTCATAATCTTCCTCTACGTTCAAATGAAAACCTTTTCCTTAAACATCCTATGCAATCCTCTAGTTTTTACCATAAATCCTTCTCTGCTGTTGCTGTTAAACTCTGGAACTCTTTACCTTTGGCTATAAAACGTGCTAAAACCCTAGATTCTTTTAAAAAACAGGTTAAGGAGTATTATCAAAACTTTACTTAGCCATGATAGCTCAGTGTCCGGGCGCTCGCATTTAATTCAATATACTCGAGTAACCTGAGTTCGATCCCCGGTGCCGGCATCAATGAAATTGTTAATTTTAAATGCCGAATTATCACGTGCTCAGCGGTGAAAGAAAACATCGTGAGGAAACCTGCATATTTTGTAAGTAATAACAAAAAAAATCGAAGATATTTGAAGTCCGCCAATCCGCATTGGGGCCGCGTGGTGGACTATGCCCTGAAACCCTCTGTACAGTGGAGGCCTTTGCCCAGTGGGACATGTATAGGCTTATTTATACTTTAATAAAACAAATTGAAATTAACATTTTTATCTTCTTATTAATCGGATACTTGGCAGAGTGGTCGTGGCTGTCGATGGGCAGGATTGCGTCTCGTCGTCGCTGTTCGCTTCCAAGGCAGCCGTACGTCTTGCGATGTTCCATTGGAGGCGGCTGTTAGCAATGCGACCACATTGTACTGAGGTGGCTTTCATAGTGCAGTACTGGTGTTGAGGTCAATATAGCGCGTGGGGGCTCGACCTCGAGGTCTTTTGTCTTCTACACGGCCTTGAATGACAAGTCTCTCCGTAGAATCTTCCTTTCTAAACATGTGCCCAAAAGGTGAGAATTCGTAGTTGGACAGTCGACGAATCTATATAAAGTTCTTTGAGGATGGAAATATTAGTCCGAAACGCTGTCCACGGAATTTTCAACAGTCGTCTCCAACGCCACATCTCCAAGACATCAATTTTCCGGCGATCTTGTAATCTAATCGAATTTAAACACCAATTTTTTTATTGTAAACAGTTTCATAGCATTTTTTGCAAAATTGAGATTTTTAGGACAAAAAGATTGAGATGGAAAGATAATTTTATTGCGCAAAAGCATGTAATCCCAAGGTTGAATTTAATGACACTTGTATTATTAAAAAATATTACTTTCCTCTTATTCTGAATGTCTATCATTACCAAGCCATTTTTATCTATACATTGTTAATGACTATAGATTTTTGTGTTAATTGAATAGTCACGATTTTAATGATATTTTAAAGTTTAAAAAAATAAACAGAACTGATTTTAACTGTAAAATTGATATGTTTTGTTTTTATTTGAAATCTAAATTAATAGAGTTTTATTAGAGGAGTCAGTAAAAATGTTGGCAGAAGACCATGATCTCCATAAAATTTACGAAGACAGACACACTACTTTACTACATTTTAATGGATTCAATGGTAATTTACTATTAAATTAGTACTATTAATTAAATAATAGTATTATTTAATAAACCTCGTTTGGGAATTTACTTGTGTAGACACTTTGCCAGCCTCTCGTCAAAGGGGTACTTCGGTCAGGCCCGGGGCTGAAATAAGTAAGTGGCACAAATATGAGTCTCTTTGTTTAGATTATGTATTTGTGTCATTTGCTGTTGAAACTTTGGGTCCGTGGGGTCCTCATATCGAAATTTTTGAAAGGTTTACGTTCTAGACATAGCAGGGCAGCGGCTGGTGACAAGAGTGCTGATTATTTTCTCGCTCAAAGGTTACGCATAACTATTCAGCGCTGGCTGCTAAATGCTAAAAGCTGGCTAAATGTAGCTAGCTTCTTAGCACCATGTCGCAATGACTAGGTTTATAAGATAATAGTAATTTAGTTACATTTATTAAAATAATATAGTATAATAGAAACCGTTCTGAATTACTGTAATAATCTGTCTTGTATTTAATTTATGGAGGGGAGGGAGGGACCGATCACCGAATCGAACGAAATACGAATTCATTGAATGATTACAGTAGTAGAGTAGTAGAGGAGTGCGGGGTAGGGGCAGACTGGTGCACAACACAACACAAGTACAATACGCTCGGAATCGTAAAGTCATGTTTGTTATTTAATCCGCGAATACTGAGTATTAATTATGTAGCTACTCGCGTGTAAATCTATTTTTATCTTATACGTCGTTTAATGTAAATATGTCTCGACGAGTACAAGTTAAATCTAGAATTAATGTTTGCAACAAATCTGTTTTTCATCTTCAAGATAAAAACGCAGATGCGAACGAATTATCAACTGGATTAATTAAATCTGCTAAACGCACTGGACAGTTAAGCCTTTGCAACAGAGGTCTGGGTACAGGTACGTGTTAATTTCTTAGAGGAATTGATAATCTTTCCCTTCATCAACAAATATTCGTTGCTTATTCCTTGTAGTGCCCGATAATGTGTGGAAAATTGACGAATTGGTGTTGGAAGAGACAAAAGAAGTTGATTTCTCCAGATCTGATAATAGTAACTGGTGGAATGCAGAGCCATTGAAAACGCTTGACCTCAGTTCCAATGTTATAAAAACAATTCCACCCGATGTCAAGTTGCTGCAGCAACTAGTCACTCTCAAGGTAAATAATATATATTTTGAGAAATAGGATAAAAACTACTATAGATAATTGCAATTTACTACAATTTTAGCTTCACGATAACGCATTGGCTAGTTTACCGGTTGAATTGGGCGAGTTAAAAAATTTAGCTAACCTGAGTTTGGATCGCAATAAATTAGTTGAACTACCGAAAGAATTCTACAAGTTAACAGAGCTAAGATGGCTTAGCATATCTTATAATGAACTTAAAAAAATCGAACCTGATTTTGGGGACCTTGTGATGTTGACTTTTTTGGTATGTATCCAATTTATTAAGCAACTTCTGCTATACTTAAATTCTTTCTATTAACATTCATGAGTTGTTTTTATAATTTAAGGACCTTTCGCATAACAAACTAACGGAGTTGCCTCCAGGTATGGGATATTTAGTGAGATTGGTGGAATTAAATTTGTCTTATAATGAGTTGGCAGAGCTTCCTCCAGATATTGTCAACCTTAGAGGTAAATATCAATTACAATCTAATATAGGAAATTTGTAGTTTTACACAAGCATTATATCTGTCGAGAAGTAGTTAAGACAAGATAAAATTACCGTAAAAATTAACTGAACTTTTATCTTATTGTTTGCTTATTTCAGAACTTAGAAAACTGAATGTGAGTAACAATTGTTTAAAGAGATTGCCAGCAATGGGAGAGCTAAGAAAAATGCAAATTTTGGATGTGAATCACAATGATATTGAAAAATTGCCAGATTTTTACGGATGTACTGCTTTAAAAGAAATATATATAGCAAATAATTTTATCCAGGTATTCACTGCTAACATCAACTTTGTTTTATGTGATAACAATATCCAATTTAGTTCATTGAAAAATGTTAATAATATTTATATAAGATCTTGATCATATATATAAACCTTAGCAGTTTGAAAATTATACTAAGTTTTAGATGTTTCTTGTTAGAATTCAATTGGTTTTCTGTGTGTGGATGGCCATCATATTTTATATTAATACATAAAAATAATTTTTCCAGGAAATTACAGAAGAGTTCTGTGATCAAATGCAACATTTAAATGTGTTAAATATTAGAGATAATAAAGTTGAGTTATTACCAGAAAACATATCACTGCTGCAGAGACTGAAGAGGCTTGATCTTACGAATAATAATTTAAATAAGTGAGTAAAAATGGTTCTTAGTTACCATAAATTTACATTCAGAAATATTTTTCCGTTTAAAGTACTTTACATTGTTTTTAAGCTAATTTAATTTCAATGAAATGTGTAATTATGAATTCATTGAGTGATAAGGAAAGATCACTCTTAAGATAAAATCTACTACAAATACAGAAACAAATCAACAAATTCTTTTTTATCTCAAATGTAATGTTGAACACTTTTCTTATGTGATCAAGTGGCAAGCAAGCTAGCTAACCCATTGAAATTTTCAAATTGGGGCCTGGCTACCTCACTCATCAGGCGAAACACAGAAGTATAATTCACACTTACACTTCTTGCTGGTCTTCTGTGAGATTGTGGTACTTACCAAGACTGATCTGACCATTTGTTTGACAGTGTGACCACTTGAGTGGCCCTACCACATTAATTTAGCACATGTATTTTTTTAAAACATTGCCCTTACCTTAGGATAACATTATCCTGTGTTGTAAGGATGTTTTACAAACATAATTACACGCGGACAAACACCCAGATGCGAAACAACTATCTGTGGGTCACACAAATAGTTGTCCCGTGTGGGGATCGAACCCACGACCCCCGACGCCGAAGCCAATACCTTTGCAACTGCGCCAATTTCTTAATAATACTGATAAATGGTTTTTTTTTTGTAGGTTACCAAGAAATCTTGGTCTACTGTCACAACTTCAAAGTATAAGCATGGCTGGCAACAAGCTATCATCTGTAAGACAAGATATCATCAGTGGTGGAACAGACAGAATGATGAAATATCTGAGGGACCGCATTACAGAAGAAGTTGAGAGTGACTCTAATATTCTCCACAATGAATGGCCAGACAAGTGAGTATTGGCCACATAGTTTTTTTGCTAAAGCATCTGAGCTCAAGGCTGCAGCCCCAAACAAAAAATTCACATTTTTTTGTTGTGATACTAAATAGTAATAAGTTTGGTTGAGTTTAATTTTGATAATTGTACATGCTACATGTTTCCAATTTTAGTGAAATTCATGTCCCTTTATAGGTTTTTCTTATTCGGCTATATGAAAATTTTGAAGTTTATCTATAGTACGGGAAGACTCCTCTTACTCATGCCCCTCAAGAAACAAGGTCAAAGTCAAAACCATTACATTCAATTAATGCTTGTTCCAAGCGCTGATCAATGTTATAATCTACGTTTTTCAAATGCAGATTAGCCTAAAGAACTATAGTCGTATATTTTAACATTGTATAATACATAATATTTACTTTTTGTATAAATTTACTGTTATAATTGTCAAGCATGTTGGGTGTGAACAAAACAGGCTGAAATGATGATGATGATGGTGTGTGGTGTCATTATGATATGTCTTGAATTTTGTAATATCACTTTTTAATGATGCTTGCTTTAAAGTTTAGTTTTTAGTCTTTTTAAATGCGATCTCATAATTATTTTGTTATAAACTTAGTTTAGTCTAAAACATGCATTTAAAAGATTACTATGGTTTGTTATTGGTGATGTAACAGATAATAGGCATGGTTTTAAAACTGAATAGCCCAGCCAATTAAAATTAAATAAGACATTTAGGTATACCAGTGTAAATATAGGAATATCATAAAAATTTTGCATGACTAACTAATTTATAATACAAAAACATATATTAAAATAAAAGTAATTTAGGCAATGATTATTTTATTTATCTGTTTTCTTATATCAACATCATTTTTATCAGAACAGTTGCAAACTATATCTTACAAAAAGAGGTCACTTTGATATACCACGATTTACTGTCTAGGCTGTCTCTAATTATAAAACATCATAAAAGCACAACAAATATATTCATAATTCATCTAAAACTAAGAACACAACAAACCTACATTAAAATTAATAGAGACTACGACTTTTTTATTACGGTATTAAAATATATTTCTAAATATTGAAGCAATTAAAACCTAATATTAAAATAATCAAAATTGGTACTATTATTGTCAATTGCAATTTAATTGTTGCCATAATTAAGATTACTATGCATGATTCGCTTTCATAATCGTCGCCGTACGCCGTATAATGTAATTCATTAGCATTACAAATTGAAAGCGAATACGGTAAATGCAAAATTTGCATCCTGTAACTTTATGCGTTATAGTTTTTTTTTTTTTTTTTTTGGCAAAACCTTGTTTACTTTTCATGTAATAAATGCCACTTAAATGCATCTGCTTACATTGAATTATCAGATTCATTTCATAGTAGGTATGTGACAAGGTCACAGTAATCGAAACTTATCAAAGACACTGATAAGTCTTTATCCTGTTATAGTATCATGTGTGTGTGTGTATTTTTATTGCACTGATTTCTCCATGATGATATTAAGAACTCTGTAATTTTTAATCTCTTAACGACATTCAGATCTCGTAACTATTTATGCCCACTTTATTAAAAGGTTGCAACGCATATGCGACCCTACGGATATTGCAAATGTCCGTGGGCGGCGGTTAATACTTGACATCAGGTGAACCGCCAGCTCGTTTGCCGCCCTCTCATCATAAAAAGTAATTGAGTTCGTTTAATTGACAAGAGATTTGTTATTAATAAGCACTCACCACTGAATTTCGCACATAAACAAATTGAATACCTGCTACTTAGTTACTAATTGACATTCTCTCTCTATTAATTTAGGTTGGTATCTTTAATAGTAGGAAGACTTAAAGAAAGCTGTCTCTGCTACGGATACTGTCGCTGCCAAAACTGTATGGAATAAATTATTTTGTATTATACATTTGATGTGACAATTCTGTTATAAGTACTATGTCAAAAACTGTATGGAATTAATTAATTTGTATTAAACATTTTATGTGACAATACCGTGTAGCCTATTTACGTGAAATGCCGACAAGAAGCGACGCTGGCAACGCAACTTGACGTAATAATTAATAATTTAATACATAGTATAGTATACCTTTATATAAGTATATAATTCTTCTGTACGTGCGTATGTCACTGAACTACTCCGAAACGGCTGGATCGAGAATGGTTTAGATTCACAAAGTTATTCAAAAAAGTTTTTTGAATAACTTTAACAATCTTTAGAATTTAAGACTTTTAGTGTGTACAGGACAACCGCTAGTATACATATAAATATAATACATAACAAAATAGTATGATAATTTATTACATTAAATCTGTCACAGCCAAGGCCATACAAATTTTTAGTTTCAAACTGGGTTTTTTTTTCAAGCGCCAAGCTCTGTGGTAGATGGGGATGTGGATCACACGGACATTTAACACTAAACCCGTATTTTACTTCAACGATAAAGTCACTACTTTCTGCTATTGGAATATTTTGCTGATTTTCGAGACCTGAGAAGGCTATGGCCACATCAATAAAAGTGATACTACACAGTTCCTTGGACGTTTACAGGTTCACGTTGAAGAAGAGCCAAGCGCTGATGCTGCCGGGGAAGGAATTGACCTCGGTTCCCGACGAAGTGTTCGCCACAGCCGCCACAGTGGAGGTACACATTGTGGACATCTCGAAGAACAAATTGAAAGAGGTGCCAATAGGGTCAGTATAAATGTTGATAGGAAGAAATTCCTCAGAGCAGTTAATATGACCGGCCAATTGTAAAACTAATTTGAAACTAATTTTCTTATATAATTTTTGTTGTTTGTACAACAAAGAAAACTGATCATCTATAAATTATCATTAATTCGTTCGTTCTTTCAAACGATATTTCAATTCGCATAATATGATAAGTGCTATATTTATGCAATATAACCATTCTAAGTCTTTTGGGTTGGCTTTAAAAAAATGGAATCGTGTAAAATGACGCACATTTCCAAACTATCGTGGATTTCTATTTAATTTTTACCTTGATCTATGGCATTGCATTAATCTAAGAAATTATGCCATTTAATAATGATGATTAATTAGACAAACTTAAATTTCAACGATTATTCAGCGTAGATAAAACGAAGTGCTGATTACGACCGTTGGATACGTTGCTTGATTTTCAGTCTAAAGAAAATGAAGTATTGACTATTACAGCGCCCTCTGCGCTTCGTACGTGATTTATGACCGCATTAACTTGCATTAAATTGGTTTAATATTCTAATTAATGTAGTCTTATTATAAAAATATTTAGTAGTGAACTTAGCGTACGAATTGATTTATTGCTTATTCAGTCGGTAAAACAGCTGTGGAGATAATTATCAGCAATAAAATCCACACAAAGATATGATAGGTCAAAAATAGATTCCGCTAAACAATAAGTACGAGCAAACAAATTACAGAAAAACATTTAGGTATATTACAACAAATTTCAATGCAGAAACAAACCTCATTAATTAAATATTTCAAATACATTATATACTTATATTGTTTCATTTTTTTTTAGCATAATACGAATCAAACAAACGCTGTCACAATTGATCCTGTCCAGTAACATTATTGAGAGCGTGCCGCGAGAAATAAGCGAGTGCGCCCATCTGCAGTTCCTCGACCTGGGCAAGAACTGCTTGTCCGATCTGCCCATGGAGTTTGGCAACTTGAAGAGCATGAGGGAACTGGTGATATCGTGCAACAAGTGCGCTATTTATTGTGTTATCTCCTTGCTATGTCCCTATATACTAGCGATGTAGAAAGCGAAAATATATCGATGTAACAATCAATAACGGCCTCGATATATCGAAGAGAAATATGTAGAGAAAATATCCTAGAAACGGATAGATATCGGATCCAAATAATTATCAGCTGAAAAGATCGATATGAAGAATCAAAAGTATCGATTTGTCGATATTTTTTTGCCATCCCTTCTATATCTCCTGTTTCAGCTACCGCACATTGGCAGGTGTTTTAGGCTCCGTTAAGTAGTTTAGTTTCTAAATTGTTCTTTTTGTAACATCGGTATAGATCTTCGTTATTTATTTATTTATTTATGCTTTATTGCAAAACCTTAATATTTATATCTAAATTAAACTTTGCCTTAATATTTATATCTACTCGTTATCGTTGGGCACCCGCGTTGTTCCGCAGATTCACTAAGATCCCACGCTGCGTGTACGAGATGGAGAACCTGGAGATACTCCTGGCCGCGGAGAACCAGGTGACCGAGATCAACGTCTCCTCTGACGCGCTGGCCAAGCTGAGACGGCTGGCGGTCCTCGACCTGACCAACAACAGCATCGTAACTGTGCCCCCCGAGTTGGGCCACTTCACGAACCTGAGGTGAGCAAAATAAAATCATATGGGCTCGAGTGGTCGAGAGCGTGATGTACCGTCGAGTAAAAAATTTGGTTTACCGCTTAATAGAAGTATCAAAGCTTTCCATGGAACCGAATTGTGCTTGTGGCTGTTTGCAACTGTACGCCGGCGTGCAGTTGTAGCGAGCGCTGTACCGTCGAGTGAGAAATCGGTTACCGCGTAACAGAACCACCGAATGTTCGTGTCCCCGGTACCGAATTGCGGCGTTGTTTGCAACTGTACGTTGGCGTGCAGTGGAAACGAACGCTTGTACTGTCGAGTGAAAAATCGTCTCACAGCTTAGTAGACCCAAAGGTTTCGTGTATATCCACGTAACCGAATTGAGGTGCGTTTGCAACTGTACACTGCGTGCAGTGGGAGCGAGTCGTGTATGTCGATTAAACCGAAATGCGGCTCTTTGCAAATGTACACTGTGCAATGGGAGCGAGCGCTTGTACTGTGGAGTGAAAAACCTGTTTACCTGTATGGCACCAGGGCCATACTTTAGCGTTTCGTATTGTTAGTGAGGTAACCGGGGCTCGATTTTTAAACGTTATCAACTTGTCAAGGCATCCGCAAGCCCATGTACGTGTCCATGGGCGGCGGTGTCCACTTCAGGTTTTTCTTTTGTTTGCTTGACAACTTTTCACATAAAAAAAACCAAAGAAAAAACATGTGAAGTGAATACTAAAAATGACATAACTATGCAACTATAAATCGCAGGAAAGTCAAGCCTTCGCTATTCCTACCCGTAGTTTCTATGACTATTATCTTATTTGGTTATTAATACCGTTATTTTGGCTGGTGGCGCTCATGCATAGAACGGACAATGGATCCTCTTCTGCCCTCTAGCGGTTAATATTTTAAAAAACATGTGAAGTGAATACTAAAAATGACATAACTATGCAACTATAAATCGCAGGAAAGTCAAGCCTTCGCTATTCCTACCCGTAGCTTCTATGACTATTATCTTATTTGGTTATTAATAGGTACCGTTATTTTGGCTGGTGGCGCTCATGCATAGAACGGACAATGGATCCTCTTCTGCCCTCTAGCGGTTAATATTTTCGTTAGTTTTCTTTACCCACATCCCTAAAATACTTTTTTCATATTATGTCCATCCAAAGATTGCCTGGAAGAAATTGCTTTAAGTAATAAGGCCGCCCATTGTACAATACTTACATAATTGTTATTTTTAATGCTTTCTTTTTTACCATGGTGTGTGCAATAAAGAATATTTATTCATTTTCTAGGTCGCTGGAGCTAATGGGGAATTGCTTCCGTCAACCGAGGCACGCAATCCTAGCCAAGGGCACAGCCAGCCTGTTGTCCTACCTGAGGGATCGTATTCCCACCTAAAAAGCAATTTGCTTAATGCTAAGCGAAATCCGTAGCTTGCGCCACATACATAAAATGGCAACAATGTGCTAATCTTTAGATACGTCATTTTTTTATATAGTGTATATCGCTCAGTGTTGCCATAGAAAACGCGTCTAGTTCAGCCAAAGGTTTATTATGTTTGTACCTGATTTCCACCTACGATTATTATTTATTATTGTTGCGTTTATTATTTATTCGCTGTTGTTTCGCTTTATTTTTATTGTGTTGTTTGTTGATTATTAGATTTGTAAATGGATTGAAATTATTTATTTTTTGGTGAAAGGAATTTTGAACTCACTTGATCACGAGAAACTTTAGGTTTCAATGTATCGGTTGTGAAAAATACTAATAAGGAAGTGCGTAAAAATTCTAAATTGACCAAATGTTTGTATAAACATAGTTTCGATGGCGGTTTCTAAAAAGTATTATCTTGCATTAGGATTGTAAATTTCCTATTGTTTATATTGGTTTAATGTTATGAATTTTACTGACATTTGAAAGTTTTTTTTTTTTCAAAATCGGCAGGACTTTTCATTACCAAGTTAAAAACAACAATGGCGTGTCTTTGTAAAAATAATGTTGCAAACCTTCAAATTTCAAGACTTATATTACTGTTACATGATGTCCGAAAGTTAGAAACTATCCAATATCAATTGGGCTTTGATACTTCAGATAAATTATGAAGTTATAAACTACACTATACATAATTAATATAAGTAATTACTTTATTACATATGTAGTTGAACGATTCTATAATTTAGCTATTGACTCCAGCATATTGCAATGTATTTTAATCAGACAATTTTAGTCAAGTGTAGTACAAATTTTGTCTCAATCTATTAGTAGTGTTACAAAAATCCAAATATACTCAATGTTTATAAGTTTCATTACGGTATGTTTTTGACGTTTCTGTACAAAAGGAGGCGGAATATAATTCCAAAAAACAGATTATATACATTTTCTTTAGTAATATCATTATCTTCGTATATTTTCATTCCATTACTTTTATTTACGTGCTGCATCTTCTTTAATTTATTTATATTTTGATATTATTTAACCAGATTAAACTAACGTAATTAAGAAAGGAAAAGTATTATTGAACAAAACGCTTTCAAAAGAGTTTGCCAAATTTTTAATAAGAATTCCGAATAAATTTTGCTATTTTTCGTGTGATGTTTTTGAAGAATCATTAATCAACAATTTTAACCTGATTAATAGATATATATTTATATTATGTAAGCTATTTTATACTTTGCATTTGCTACCCTAACTAAAATATTTCACCCTAATTGGTTTACTTTCTAAACTGCAACAGCAATTGTGGCCACACCATTCGTCAACATTCAACTTAACATATATCAAATATAACTCGTTACATAATGCCTTAAATGAAAGTGCAACTAGTTCTAACACAGTTAAAGGACATTTAATACATACAGTATTGAAATTTTTCACATAAAAATAATGTTACAAAAATTTTATTGAATTATTTCATGTACCTGAAGAATCTATTGAACACGCTTAGCGCTGCTATCGTTAAGAAGAAAATTTATAGAAAAATATGCAAGGGAAGTATATTTTCGTGTGCTTATTTCATATTTTCTATTTGGAACATTCTGCAGAGTTTAACATTATACGATAAAGAACATGTTACTTTTTATGAGATTATTTAAAGTGTTACAATCACAAATATATAGCACCGAACATTTTTTATTTAGCCATCTGCGCACAATTCATTATTATTGTGATACTGTGATTAAATTGATGCTTTCAATGTTTGTGTTTTATTTGTTATTATCTAACCGCCCCGGGTTCGCATGGATAGCATTAATTACCTAAAAAAAATAACTCAATTGTGGGAATTTACCTCAAAAGTGAAAAATTCTTAACTTCACAAACTTGTAAACATTATTTTTGGGTTGTTTAGAAAGTATGTTTACTGAATGTTATTCTTATCAAATTTTCATTTATTGCGCTCGCTAGAAAAAGACTGATTATTATCTATATAATATAAATAAACACATATGTTACTAATTAAAAACAGTTTAATGATACTAAGGCCCGGTTTCCGGAACACTGATCAAAAGAATGATCTTCATATGATCTGAATAATCAATTCAAATAGTTCAACCATCCTTTTGGCAACTCAAATGACATTTGTAGGGCCATTTGAGATCTGAATAATTAACTTCTACGGTGACCAGTGTTTCAGAAACCTGGCGTTAATGAATTGAAGTTACAACTTTCTTTTAGTTGCTTCATCAATTACATGTATCTGAGCGTGATGGTTACGCGATATCAGTACATTATCCCAATCCCAAATGTGCCAAAAGTTCCTAAAAGTAGAAGTAAAGAAGTTTTGACTTAAAAATATTTATGCTGATCCGATATCTACTAAACTTCGTAGGCTAATTGAAGTTTGCCTGAAAATTTAATCAAAATCGGCCCACGACAACTTAGAAATAAAAAAAATGTAGTGGACCGATTTGTGAATCTAAACGAATCTTGAATCTACCTAAAGACACAAAAAAAGTCATTAAAATCGGTCCAGCCGACCGTTTAGGTTACTGTAAGCCCAGCCCAGCGGTGAAGAAAATACTTTAGAAAACTCTACGAAGCAGACCCATGTGAAATGATGCCGTGACATAACTAAATTTCGAGTAGGATCGTCTCGTCGCGTTTACGACATTGTAACAGGTGATGAATCTTGGATGCATCAAAACGATCCAGAAACAAAGCGTCAGTAGACTCTTTGACTGTTTTAAAACGAACCATCGCTTAGGGAACACAAAGTGAAGCATATGGAAAATTTGATCGCTAGTTTCTTCAATTTGACTGGGTATCTGGTATCAAATCATATTAAGTGGTATCAATTAATTTTTTTGGTATAAGTACTATAAAATATTTGCCGCATTCGGTATTTCTTCACCAAGTCAACGCCGACTCTGCGCTCAAAACGAGGGTCTTCCTTAACACCACACCGGTCAAAGTTGTTGGTCACCCTCCTTGTAGTTCTGATATGGCACCGTATGACTTCTTTTATTGCCTAATATTAATATCAACTGAAAGGGCTACGGTTTTCATGGCCGGTAAACGTTCTAACAGCGTTTGAGAAGGCCGTATAAGAGGTTTCTGCCGCGGACTGGAAAAAGTGCTTCGAATTTTTTATTTTTTTTATGGGAAAAGGAGGCAAGCGAGCATGCGGGTCACCTGATGAGTGATCACCGCCGCCGACAGACATTAGCAACATCGGTTGAGTCGCAATTGCATTGCTGGCCTTTAAGGTTGGCGTAAGGCTCAAAATTGGTTCAGACGCGTGAAGCTTTGTATAGAGGCTGTTGGAGAAATCTTTGAAAATATTTAATGCAAATATTTTATCCATGTAACTTAGTTTTTTAGTTTCTCAAAACTTTATGACTGTCCCACTTAAGAGTTCCTACCACATTCTGTTACTACAGGTTTTTCACACATCCTTCTATATATATATATATATATAGAAGGATGTGATATATATATATATATATATATATTGCGGAAGTTATGTCGACTTAATCGCAAGTCGTCCAGGGAATTACATACAATTTCCGAATAGGTGCCGTTTTCTAATTTGAACCAATTATTTCCGCTTAAATTCTCTATAACAAGCTATGTTTTCGAACCAACATGACATATCTGTTAGTACGTATTTCATAATATGTTATTGTATGCAGGTGTGAACTCGCAGATCAAACTTACAAAGTCAATATAAACGTATTACGTTACAGTTGTGATTATCACTCTAGTAATAGATACGTTATAACGTTCCGCCATCTATGTCCTTCTTACTACAGACAATGTATGACTGTTACCGTGATCGTGGCAAATACTGCTGAGTTTTAAAAACTAAGTTCGTTATTTTTACTTCAAGCTATTGGTAAGAGATGATTGCCGATGGATATTCAAGATCTCTGTTGTTGTGAATGTGTATGATGTGAAAGCGAACGCCCGGATACTGAGCTATCACGGCACGGCTCACTGAGCTATCTACACTGTAATCTAAATCAATTAGTTAGATGGATATATTACAGTCGTTTCATGTCTCCGTTTTTATCTATGGTACTGTGGCTGTGACATAAGCTCACACAACTTGTTTTTGAGTTTTGGAGACGACCATATGGAAACAAAATTTTTATTATAGAGTTATAACTGGACAACAACATAAGACGTCGAAATTCCATATTTAACTGTAATGCTAGATGCGTGTCCATGCTACTACTACTATAGACTGAAGACGCATACATGAGTCCTTTTCATTTATAATTAGTCATAGTTTTCAGGGAGAAGCTTATTATTGTTTCCCTTAAATTTGAAATACTTCATCATCATCATCCTCCTGCCCCTATACATACGTGTGGCCGGCATAACATGTGAGTCACGCTGTAAACATTTTTGGCTATATTTTTTATGACCGGACGCCTGCCTGTCTTCAACCCTCCTTGGGAATTAAACCCCCAGATTCGCAACAGTTAACTGTGGGTCACACAAATACTTGTCCCGCGTGGGAATCGAACCTATGACGCCGAAGCCAATAGCCTTGCAACGGCGTCACCGAATTTGCACGCTACATCTAAATCAATTAGATCTGTTACCGCAATCAATGTGACTCAGTAATTGCTTGTCTAGTTGCTACATAGTCGGAAAAAGGTATAGCGAAACATTTTTATTTATGCACAACCGGCTAGTCGATTCGTTGGTCAACATTTAATAGGTTGCCCTCCAAATAATTTGGCATTGCCGTATGTGATTCACAAACGTTCGTTTTTGTTTGTCGCAGAATTTACATCACAATGCGATGAATGTAATCGAATTAACATAACAGATCGCCATTTTAGGTCGCCATATAATAATGGACTGTCGGCGACGAATGGCACACGAAAAGCATTCAGCCTATTTTCCGCAAGAATTTACTTTAGCTTTTTGATGAGATAAAAAAACTTAAACGAATTTTATTAAAAGCCCCGAGTAAGATAAACCTTAAATTAAATGGAAAAAATAATGGAAAACTTTTCTAGAACTCAAATAGAAAAATCATATTGCATTGCTTATGTTAAATATCCTCTAGCGTCTTTTTTAATATTTAGAGTATTTTAACACTATCCTTCCGTTAAGACATTAATGTTAATGTAGTCAACAATTTGGTTAACTTTTTATGACACGATATAAAATACCGCCCTTAGCGCCTTTAAGTGCAAAACTAAACTCAGTGGGTGCTTTATTATGTTGCTGAGTAGTAAGTGAACTGGTTGCCTCAATATTAAAACTCGTACTCCGTTACAAAATACGTCTACAGAGAGGGAAACAGCTTCATAGTATCCGAATTTTCGTCAAATAACGCCGCTTTTAATTTGCAATAAATAAGTGCAACATTCAAAGTTATGTGACTCATAAAATGAAGATTTATATTGAATCATGATAGCTCAGTGTCCGGGCGCTCGCCTTTAATTCAATATACTCGAGTAACCCGAGTTCGATCCCCGGTGCCGGCACCAATGAAGTTTTTAATTTCAAGTGCTGACTTATCACGTGCTCAGCGGTGAAGGAAAACATCGTGAGGAAACCTGCATATTTTCGAAATAATAACAAAAAAATGTATTTCGAACATATGTGAAGTCCGCCAATCCGCAGTAGGGCCGCGTAGTGGACTATGCCCTGATACCCTCTGTACATAGGAGGCCTTTGCCCAGCAGTGGGACATGTACAGGATGTTACTTTACTTTTTTACTTTATATTGAATTCATAAAGAAATGCCTTGTGTGTTCGAATTGCATATTGTTTTGTTAAGCAGAGTAGGTACTGCGTACCGAGATTTATCAAATTAAAGGTACGGAAGCTTTATTGGTAGTTACGCAAGCGCAATCAACTTAATTGGCACCCAGAGATGTCGTCCTGGACACCGCCATTCAATTGTTTCCTAGCAGTTGACGCATATGATTGCACGCGTGACGCAACTCACGGAGTCGTCGGAAAAACAAAATATCGGTTTGCCTCGACGATAGCGAAAACATAAACACTGTTATTCTGAATACGCGCAGCCCGCATGTACTGTTACAAAACTCGGTGTTCCGTTGACAATCGTCCATTATCGGTTTCACTCTCGTTCGACGGCCTATTGCTGCTCTATTGTAAATTGTAGTCTGCAAAACCATAATAAACTTCAAGGTCGTTGCGTAGTGGGGGGCGTGTGATGCATTGATGCGCCTTCAGTTGTCGCGGTATGAAGGCGCTCGCACTGCTTCGGGCTCTTGGCTAGGGATTACGCGGTTGGCGTCGCGCGTTATTTTTTCGAACAGCGATCCGATTAAGGACACGGAAAAGGCTGCTAGGATGACGCACAGTTCGGCATGTTTATTCAGGTGTGATGGGATTACACCGTACTGGTGCCAACGTATCTGAAGCCGTTAAACTTATTTTTTTGAGTACCGTGCATCACGCAGAACTGTCCTATGGAACCCGTAGATACAGTGAATGTTTTCGGCTTGATTTTATTATTTGGAATGATTAGACATTTCCCTCTCAAGACTAAATAACGGTATTTTCAACCAAAGCAAATTCAGTTTGATGTTTTTGTGACGATGTGTGTCTTTAGAAACATTATTAGCTTCTGTGAAATTTACATCATTCTGTGTCTCGCCGCAGCAATTCGAAGTAAGTTATTTTTAAATATTTGCACTTTCTACAGAAACATAAAAGCGAAGTTTCTTCCAATGCCATGGATAAAAGCTGATAAAAGGAAGATTTAATAAATTTGTTATTATTAAAATCGAAGATTATGGTGCCAATAAGCGGCCTAACTCCACAAAACAACAGATCGTTTAGCGAAAAAAACCTTTTGGTATTTAGGGAAATCTTAAAGGTTTCGTGGAGGACCCAAATGCTAAAAGGCCATCGGTAGATAAGTTCAGTGAGAGGGGATACCTATATGACGGGGGATATCTCCTGAGGGGGGATTTCCCACGGAGCGTACAGTGCTTCTCAACACTGCTTATAAGTTATAAGCACGGTCCTGAAAAGAATAACACCTCTAGCCCCGTTTCGGGTCTTGTAACGGCATCTAGTGTTGCCTGTTGACCTTAGGGGGTCCACTAGGACCATCGGGCCCCATCCATCATCATTTTGAATTCAGATGCCTCAGAGGAAAACAGTGTAATGATTTTTTGCGTTTACGCGAATACTACACAGTAACACATTTTTAAATGAAAGTAATTTATAGAGTTTTTGGGCGTTATATTATGTTTTAATTCTCGCGTCGAACACTTAAAGAGTTCATGGGAATGGGATAAAAATAGTTATTCTATCTCGTGTAAAACACTAGCTACAAGCAGTACCAGGATATGTTACATTTTAGATACTAACCATAATTAGTACACCGTTATGAAACGTAATTTATATCAACTTCACCACAATAAAGGTATAAAAATCTGTATTAATATAAGTTTTTTAATAAATGTTTACTCCGTCAGTGTTAGACTTCGAATCTCATAAAACAAAGAAAAAATATTAAAAAAAGTCTATTATACCTAGCTTGATTTAATTATTATGCCATTGTCGTAAAGTATTACATATTCAAGGTTTTTTTGTAATCTAATACACTTAGTTGATTTTATTACTTCCACACGTTTACCATTACTGTCGCATACTTTTAAAAAGGATGTCACATAATATTCTCTTTTGAAGTATACATAAATGGGTTTTTTACTATTGTCCTAGTTGTATATCTTTGACGGTACACTATTACTAAATCCTTTTTGCTTAACTTAAATTTTTTTATATATTTAAAATCGGGCACTCGTACTGAGTTCATCCCTATTAAGTTTATTTATTGTAATGGTTAACATATTCTACCTACTTCTTCGTTAAGAAAGAACTAAACAAATAAATCGTTTCATTCGTCATAAGTTATTGATAAAATTGACAATTTTACCAATAACTTATGTTTTTAGTTAAGTGATCTCGAAGGTAAACGTGGCATTAGGGAAATCTAGCATAGTAGTTGGCAAGTCAGACCTGCGATCGTATGATCTGGGTTCGAATCAACTAGGCGTGCGCACTGAACGCGGAAGATTATTTCTGGACGACCACGCCATTCATTATTATACGCATTCATATTCATACATAAATTATACGTATAACTGAAAATTCGTAATGGAGATATGATGGATTTGATTTGATAATGGATGAAAAACTATTGCTGTGGAACTACAACTGTTTTTTATTAATTATAATCCACATTTATTTATACATTAGAGAGCTTTCCATCGATACGTTGAGTACGGCTTTCTGTAAAGACTTTGTTGGACTTAGCTGCTCGGTTAAAGGTTCAGACATCATAGTGGTTACGCCTTTTCCTAAATGTGATCACGTTCCCAAATGTGAAACCTGTACCTGCCTAAATCGATAATCAACGGTGTTACAGGAAATGTGGGCTGTGGTGATCTATTTTAGGAATCCTAGTCGCTTTCTTTACCAGCTGGGAGAGGCCAAGAGACTCAGCTGATTCCACGCCTCTTCCAGCAACGTTGGTCTGCTGCTATGGGAAGAGCCAGTCCTGGGTAAAAGCGTTGAAGTTTTTCAGAAAAACCAGCAGCACTGTAGGGTATTGGTGAACGGCTACATCGGAAGCATCACCTAGTTAATAAAGTCTTCTCCTGTTCACGCTAGACTTCCACTTCAAGCTGGTCTCCAGAGACGCTGTGGTAGTTACCTGGACGTGCCTGCCCATTTTAGCAACGGCAAAAACTGCTGCGTAAACCCACCATAGGCAAAAGTCTTTTTAGGAGGACAAAGCTGGCAATAAAAAGAAAAGAGAAAATATCTTCGTTATGAAATCTCATTTATTTGGGTCATGGACCCAGTAATCGGTTAGCCCGCATGTTATTTTCGCAAGTTATGCATTTATGACAGATAACGTTCTAGGCAACATGCCACCTGAATTAGGTTTATTGGATAACATGTAAATTAGTTAGATTTAATATTAAAATACTTTACAATCAAATATTAAATTATATTTTACCGCAATGGTAGGCGTAGTGAGGATTCCCGCAAGTCAAGTGCATTTATATTTAACTAGCGACCCGCCCCGGCTTCGCACGGGAGCAATGTACTATACATATAAACATCCCTCTTGAATCACTCTATAAAAAAACCGCATCAAGATCCGTTCCGTAGTTTTAAAGATCCAAGCAATCATAGGGACAGACAGACAGCGGGACGACTTTGTTTTATACTATGTAGTGATGACCTCGTGAAAATTGAATAGCTTGGATAGCATGTGTTAAGAATTATACAATACTGTTACTCAGACCGATAAAAAAATTCTTTTTATTGGTTATTTACCAAGTACTTTCATGTATCGTATACTTTCATGGTCTTCTGTGAGGCCGTGGTTGTTCCCGGATGAGCCTGGCAATTCCTGCAACAGCAGAAGCTGGTGCGTGAGTCTGCATTTTGTCTGATGGGTCACGTAACTGGGGCCCGGTTTATTAAAAGGTGGTAATGCATCTGCAGCGTTTTTAACCTAACGTTAAGTAAACTGCCAGCTCACCGGTCATCACCATCGTTTTTTAATAAAGTGTTCCCTATAAACTTAGGACGTTAAGCAACTTAGTCTGTGCCGTGACGTAGAGTCTGTAGTGTCAGAAATGTCGAAAAATAACAACAAATTAAAAGCTGTAAAATACTTTTATTTACAATATATATTAGTTTGTTATTCACATATTTATTTATTTATTCAATACAATTTATAAGAACTCACTGGTAGGATCAGTTGAGTTTTTACGGCAATAACTTCCGAAGCCAATTTTAATTCGAATAGAATTTGTGGGACACCTCGTATATTCTGAGCCTGTCAAAATTCCCCCCTGAACCTCTGTATATATATACAATAGAATTATAATCAGCAAAGCGACGCCATAAACACGCAGGTTGCCAATCTGCAAGAAACATAATTCGGTTTTTAAAGTAAGGATTTTTATGCGTAACTTATTCGGAAATATAAGTGCAGCGCCTGCAGCTGCACGGCTTTCTTTTGCTTCTCATTTAGTAAATGTTCAAAATCAAACGGGTCTAGTTTTAAAAAATCGTTTAAAAACTGTTTAAGTCACACACTAGATAACATATTTAAATATGTAAGTAAGACTAAATTATAAGGAACTTAAATGCTCCTCCATTATTTCTGATAATCATGCCTAAATCGTTTTTCAGTAAAATTATCATTGTGATTCCAATACTATTGATAGAATGAGCTAAGACACAAATGGTTAATCAATACCCGACTTCAACATGTTTATTAATACACTTACGAAATGTTTCAACAATCAAAATATATGACAATGTGAACTTAAATATAATGTTTTTTTTTTTGTGGAGAAGTTTGTTTTTAAGAAGCAGCAAAAATGAGAAAAAGTTAAGCAGTTAATTTGACTATGTTTATAATCATATATAAGCACCTTTAAGTTACTTACCATTATAATAAAGTAATTTTTTCGTAACAATCGACTACCACTGACAACCTTTTTTGTTTAAAACACAATGCAAACTGAAATCGACGAAACCTAGAAAGGCTGCCTTCATAATATATCGATAATATGTTCTTATTGATTGAAAATTACATCTCATATAGTATAAGTTTTGATGTAGGTATTTAGTTTGATAACGAATTCGGGCGGAATATTAAGTCGAAAATACATAACCATTCGTTCACGTAAAAGTCATAATATTTAATTAATTTCTTTAGTAATTTGCAGTGATCAAAAGATCATTAATTTAGTAATATCGATTTTGTTTTACGCTCTTTGATGATACTTTATTTAGCTTTGAAGTGAAACGTGTATTTGGGTTTTGGAAAATTCCTCATCCAAAAGGTGTAAACTATGGGACGAAAGTTTGTATTTTATTCGTTCGTCTATGCGTATACTATAAAATAGTGATAGGGTTACATACAAGCCATACTTAAAATTGTAAACACGCAATAAGAAAGTATACATACTAGATGGCGCCAAAAAAGTTAAACAAAGAAAGAGATATTAGGCAACTTAGTCTATAGTTGGTAAAGGTAAAGCGCCTTTGAGGATACAGACAAGTTCGAGAACTACGCCGCCGAAGGATATGTCCATTTATGTACAAATATTCAGATTTCAAATAAGACAGGGCTTAAAAATACGTGTGATGATGTCTTTACGTTAAGATAAGTATCATATAAAATACGTTGTTTTATTTTATATGTTCCATTCTTATATCGATACTGTCTTGAAAGTAGCCACAACCCTATGTTACGAGGTAAACAAGCATACAGAAACCGGCTTTGCATACCCGAGAGGCTCGCCGCGATTAACTTAATAGTCCTCGAGTCGCTGTCCACGAACTTTGATGTTATGTTTAGGAATGTTTTGATTATTGAAACAAAGTAATTAAATCGGAATATCAGTTACGAAATTCATACTCAGCTGTGAACACATCACATCTATATTTCCATTCCATTTTCGCTTAAATAATATATATGTTTTTATATTCTTCAATTTCTCTGTCAGCGTTATATAGATCAGTCAGTCAGTATAATATAAAACAACTTTAACTTTGCCCCTCTAAAATATATGGGGATATCCACTTCTATACAGGGTGGCTTTTCTAAAGATGCCCAAATTCACACAGGAGGATCAGATTCGGTAGTATAATCGTTTATCGAATTGAAATAAACTTTTTTTTTACAAAAATTGCAATTCTATTCCCTAAAAAACGGATCTTTTGGACAATGCGGTAGTCATTCATAAATACGTCGTATATTTTTGAAAATAACTTGTGTGAATTAGTTATGAATGATCGCGCGTACAATAAATGAGTTGCCCATAAATCACGCAATTTTTGAGATAAGTTCAAATGAATGTAATTAATTCGTTACGAGTGATTTTAAATATTTATCCTTTTTTATATAACATTATTTATGTCCAGAAATTAATAAAAAAAATGGATACACTTAGAAAAGCTTCCCTGTATAATATGGTTGCACCAAACCATAAATGGAAATATTATAATTTATACGAAATATACTTGTCCCACTGCCGGGCAAAGGCAGGGCCACACAGCAGCCTCGGCTGTTGGAGAGGCTCGTCCGGGTAAGTACCACGACCTCACAGAAGACCACTTAGAGCAAGTATAATACTTTCGTGTTTCGTCTGGTGAGTGAGGTGGCCGGAGTCCAATTTTCAAAAGGTTGTCAACGCATCTGGAACCTTCGGGTGTAGCAGATGTCCATGGGCGGCGGTATACACTTAACATCAGGTGAACCGTCTGCTCGCTTGGCAACTTTTCACATAAAAAAAGGCCCCTTCTGTACATTGGGTATTAGGGCATAGTCCACCACGCGCCCACACTGCGAATTGGCGGACTTATCTTCGCAATATTTCATTTTGTTATTATTTCATAAATATGCGGGTTTCCTTACTATGTTTACCTTCTTCGCTGAGCACGTAAAAAGTCAGGACTTAAACAATTTCATTGGTGCTGACACCTAGGATTGAACTCAGATTGCTCGAGTATATTGAATTAAAGGCAAACGCCCAGACACCGAGCTATCAATGGCCCTAAGCAATCGCTTTATAACGGTAACAAATAAAAAGTTATTGCGCAACAAAAGTAACTTCGGCTAGCATTAATTTATTTCCCCATTCCACGCTAAAACACCCTCAATTGCTCCATTAGGTAGCAGCGCGCAATGTAGCCGAGGGAGTCTCATGTTTATACGGTGGTCGGGCGTGACGCCTGAGCGTGCCGCCCCAGTGTTCATGTACGCCGCGAGCGGAGACGAGGACTCCTTGACGGGGGTCTGCTTGTCGAGGTGCAGGGAGCTGGAGGACTGCGCGGCGGTCGTGGTAGAGTACGGCAGGGGAAGCTGCCACGGCGTCAACGAGGCGGCGGGCGCACTCCACGGCGACAATGACGCCGCCCTCTTCACCAAAACATGTCTCGACGGTACGTAGTCAACCGACTTCAAAAAAGGAGGAGTTTCTCAATTCGATTCCATTTTGTTTTAGACTTTCGACGGAGTGAACCGACGTCCCATGTGGTCCCATCTGTGGATCTTGGGCTCCGGAGATACTTAGGGAACTCTGAAGTTATAAAATGAATACAGAGCGGGATATTTGTAATCGGTTTTGTTTTTTGTTGATAAAAAATTGACTTGTTTAATCTTAGTAGGTACCTAAGGTACCAGAAAGCGGATATGAGAATGTCCCGCAATCATTATTCATTAAGAATCTGATAAAAATTGGACTGTATATATAGCTAAAAAGTGAAGTAGAAAGCTGAATAAACTAAAGTAATACTGAATAAAAATCAGGTCTGTTAATAATTTATCGATTTTAATCTATAAAAATCGGGAGATAGTAATGCATTGGGGACATACACGTAGGTACCTACATATTTTCCATCTTACCACATTGGGCATATAATATTTGCCTGTGTTTGACAAAATCTCCAGTATAGGAAATAGTAGAGTATGGGATATATAGAGTATGGGATATATATAATATACTCTACTATTACTACACCACGAGGAAATATATTTTCCGTATTTTATCCCATCAACGCTATGCATGGTGAATCATTACTCAAATTACAATTATTTAATTCAATTATTTAATGTTACGCTTACTGGATATGCACTCAGGTTGCTCGAATTGAATTAAAAGACACCACGCTGAGCTAATAACTCAGAAACTTAATGATGTTTTTTTTTATATAAATGGTGTTGATTGCGCTAGTTTTAATGTTGTATAATTGTGATGATGATAAATAGATGTATGGTGATCGCGTAAGTGCTGCCTGACTTGACTGACATAAAGTCTTATTCTGATAATATATTTGTTTATTTGAGATGACGTTTTTGAGCAATGTTTCCGATAGGGGGGGGAAGAACAACTTTGTTTGTTAAATGAAACTATTTTACGGGTTTTATTGCGTTTAGACTGTCCCGTGACTATGAACAAATCAAATCAAATACCTTTATTCAATATACTTATATAGAAGCATCATACTTACTTATTGATTGTCAAAACGCTACCAGCGACCGGTTCGGAAAGAAAAGCCACTGACCTAAGAAGAACCGGCGAAAGAAACTCATACCATTTTATCAAATAAAGACATGTTTACAAATGTATTAAAGTCAACTTGAAAGACAACCTGGAGCGATCATTACATTTCCAGGGTGTGTTATCATTTAAATAATTACCTTTAACACACAATAGCCTTTAATAGCCTTTAACACACAAACGTTCCTTTGGAATATTTTTGAATTTAGAAATTGATACATTGTGAACGTTTTCTGGGATTTTGTTGTAAAAACGTATCATCGTACATTGTCCCATAAAAGAATTAGTTATTCTACGCAGTCTAGTTGTAGGGTAGAATTAATTTATGTTTGTTCCTAGTATTTATATCATGTACTACATTCGCATGTCTTGAAAATTTCTTTTTTGTTTTTATGGACATACATAACATTTTCAAGTATGTACTGAGAAACAACAGTCACAGCAACAGAACGCTGGAAAGGTTTCGAAATATCGGGAATTTAAAAATTCTAATTTACTGTTTTCAACATAACTTTAGTAGTGATACTTGTGTCGTTCTAAATGTATTTGTTTTTTAAAATGTGTATTTCATAGTTTTAATTAAATAATTAAAACTTTTAATTAATTTGTTTTTTAAAATGTGTATTTCATAGTTTTAACGTTAATTTCAGCATACTTTCAATTTAGTTAACGTTTAAATTTAATGTTTCATTTATTCAAACTATTAAAAAAAAACTTATCGAGAGATTGATGAGTTATCCGGGAGACTAATTTATAATTTAGGTACCCATTTTTTTATGAACAGTTCATTTCGTGAACAGATATTTAAGGTAAAAATCATACGAATTAAATTTTTTGTAAAAAAAAATTATTCCATTTGTTTCATCGCGAATTATTAAAAAAATATATCAACAAATACAATTATAATTCATGGCCATAATTAGGCGTCAAAACCACAACCAATAAAAGGGTTATAATTATAACGCTAGATTAAACAAAGATACTTTGAACGTAGCATTGTTAAGATTATATTTCCCGCGCACTCTTAAGTCAATATGTGAGAACACTTTTAACATCTTTCCATTTCTTATTACCAAATAACGTTTGCGCTTTCGTCTTCTACAAACTGTTTTTTTTTCGTGCAGTGCCGCCGGGATGCAAAAGCCGGTGGTGGGCGATGGAGAGTACTCCCAGTTACTATTTGCAAACGGAGACTACTGGAAAAGCTCTACAAAACGTAACGGAGCAACAATGCTACAACGCCTTACTTTCTACACAAGGAATTTACCGGTCGGAATTTTGAAATATCACTTTTATATAAAGCACTTTATTTAGATTTAATCCGTTCCATTGTCAGTTTTAAAGATTTGGACTGAATTTAGCAAATGAACGAATTTTACGCTTGTTAAATGGTAATTCGCCTTTAAGTGTAGCCGTATATATATATAGGTACGTAATCATCTCTGATGACGCTGCTATAACATACTTTATAATATGTTGTTTCCTATTTATAACAATCCCTATTATTTTCTTTTAATTTATTAAAAAAAATAAACATCATCAAATAATAGTATGGATTTACTTTGATGTTTCTTGTTGACTGCCTATGGATCTGATGAATTTTAAATACCAGGAAAACTAAAACAGCTTTTTTTATTTTAATTCTCGACGTTTAATAGTTTGAAGCTTTTTAGGTGTATTGTGGTGTGGATATCGTTAATACATCAGTTCCTTGTCATTTTAACGCAGTTCCGCTCAATGGATAAAGCCGGAGAAGGGCTTGAGCACCTTCGAAATCGCACCAAGCAGCGTGGGCAACTGCCTTCTGAACGTCGAGGACAAGTTCACGGAAGCTGAGTCCTACCGGGTGTCTAACTACTACACCTTCTACATCGAGAGCCAGTGCGGCCATGATTGTTAGTTTCAGCATATATCATGGAGGGCGGGGCATACCAACAGGCGATTCACCTGATGTTAGTTTATAACCGCCATGGTGCAAGTCCATGGATACCGATAGGATCCGTGGCGCTCCAGTTGTGTCGCAAACCTCAATATATTTAGTACATTTTAGTATATTTCAATTTTATACCAAGCTCTAAGGCTGTGGTACTTTCCTGTGGGAGGGAGCCAGTGTAAAAGCAAAACCTGCTTTGTGACTATATAAAATTATGATAATATAGGTTTTGTTTCATCATCATCATCATCATTTCAGCCTGCTTGAGTCCACTGCTGAACATAGGCCTCCCCCACAGACTGCCATGAAGTACGATCCTGAGCCACCTGCATCCATCGACTTCCCGCACATTTGCACAGGTCGTCACTCCATCTAGTGGGGTGTCGTCCTACACTGCGATGGCCAGTACGAGGCTGCCACTCGAGAACCTTTCTTCCCCAACGGTTATCGGTTCTACGAGCTATATGGCCGACCCATCGCCACTTCAGCTTGCTAATCCTCTGAGCTATATCGGTTATCTTAGTTCTACTGCGAATGTCTTCGTTACGAACTCTATCACGCAGAGAAATACCGAGCATAGCCCGCTCCATAGCTCGCTGAGCGACTTTGAGCTTCCTCATACGGCCAGCAGTGAAGGACCATGTCTCGGTTCCGTAGGTCATCACTGGCAACACACATTGATTGAAGACTTTAGTCTTCAAACATTGAGGTATATTCGACGAGAAGATTTGCCGCAGGTTTTGTTTACTTAAACATAAATATACGTAACATATAGCTTTATTTTTAATATAACTCTTCTGAGCACTATTTAAATTCGATATTTCATATAAATCCTTTGAGACCTTTTGGCGAAAGGAATACAAACAATAACAAACTTTATGATTTTCGCGATTATAAGTTACATGTAAGTGATGTGTTTCGTCACTTTAGCTTCAAAAAGTCTACAGCTGAACCACTGAGACCGCTACTGATTATAAGTAATTACTTGCATGTATGTTGCATCGGGTGAGTGGGTTTCCGAGCCATTTTTTAAATATTGGCAAGGCAGCTGCAACCTCTGTGATGTCCATTGGCGGCGGTATTGAACATCAGGTGAACCGCCCGCACGCTTGCCAACTTTCATATAAAAATAAAAATTAGTATGTTAACGAGCAATTGGTTCAACTGATGGTAAGCGTTCACAGCCAGCCGCCGATAATCGCAACATCAGAGGGTTAAATAATCACCGAAACCAGGACAACTCCTAGTCGCACAGACGTCAAAATTTTCAGTCAACATTGATTCACATGCTTTTCTTATTCGTGCACTAAACCGGCAAACCGCCGACAAAAATTGTATCGACAATAATTATACATTCATGTCATAATAAAAATGACGTGTCTACTTATATAAACGTTACTTCGAAGAGACTCGGTTGCTCCAAGTTTACGTCAGAGTTAGCTAATTGAAGCTAAACATGACAAAACATAGCTAAAGGTTTAGCGCTCACTTCGATGCTTACACATGGCATCGAATTTGATGATTCTTGAATAGCTTGTCATGTCTTGTGATGTCGCAGCTTTTGATTAATCTAATATTAACTTCATAAGGCACTAAAGTTTTTTAATACATTTTGATTTTCAGACCCGAAGCGAATAGACAGATGTTCGTACGAGGAATATTACAATCAAACATTAAAACATGTTGATTTTACAATGAGCAACGTTACAAAGGATGAGGTGAGTTTGAATAATATTTGAACGAAGTGTCAATTAAATTATATCTCACATATGTTTTATTACATATTAATTTGCAAAATGTTAACGTTTGACTATAAACAAATTTTAAATTTAATCAACGCATTTATACATAGTTATTATACATATTATTTATACATTTATTTATACATAGCATTGGAAAAACCGTCATATACAAAAACATGTAAACTGTGATCCTTGCATGAAATAAACCTTGGCAACTATCAGCATCGCGTAACGCTCACGACGACCTCATTCGCTCATGCTTAACCCACTTGCTAATGATAAAGTTTCTAGGAACATTTCTTTTATAACGCTCAAAATCGTGCAAATAAACATTTATACATTCTTAAAGTTACGAAGGGCGTGCAGATGTAATGTGATGTTGCAATTCCACTTGGATAATATGAAAAAATCATGAGGAAAATTTAACAACACCAACATAACGTAGGCACGAAAATGTTTTCAGGGATCCATGTACACATTTAGAGATCTTATTTTTATGTGAAAAGTTGCCAGGTAAGCAGGCTGTTCACCTGAATGATGTTAAATGATAACCCCCTGGCGGTATTTTACGTTGGCCACAAATGAAGTATGATTAAGAACAAAAAAATAATTACAGCAGAAGTGTAACACTCTTTACTTTTTAAGACACTATTTGTATATTTTTTTCACTATTTATATTTATTTATATAGACAATATTAATATTTATTTTTGGCGTCAGGGGTAGTGGTTTCGAAAAACATTGCCCTTACCGCACTATAACATTATCCCGTACATCGTATGGACGTATTACAAACATAAATTTGTTGGGGACAAACAACCAGATCCGAAACAATTATCTGCATGTCCACACAATCGTCCCTTGAAAGAATCGAAACCACTACCCCCGGAGCCAAAGCTAATAGTTCAACTGCCGGCTTATATGTACAAAATGCAATATTTCAAGTGTAAAACGGCGTGCGAAATGGAGGACCGCTTCGTGTGTCGCGGCTTCACTTGGACCGCTCGAACGGTTGAGGGTCGCTCAACAGCCACGAGGGGTCTTTGCGACCTGCACAGCGAAGACCTGGTTACAGCCGGCTCGTGGCTGCTGCGACGCTCTTCAGGCGCCACGTACTATCGCCGAGTCATCTGCCTCAATAGTAATAGCAAAACTAATTTCAAAAACTTTGTAACTCTTGTTTGAATTTAGCAATTCGATTTCTTAAATGACGAGTAATTTAGATGTTTTAAATTAATTTGAATGTAGTCATGTCTTATAATGAAATGATTGTTCCGTTTAAATCTCTAAATTACGAATTTTTGATTTAGTAGTTTACAACGTTAGATACTCATACTTACATACACACCAAGCTATTAAAAGGTACGTTAAAAAATAGTGATAAGCTTCAGAGGTCTTTGACATGTATTTTTTTTAATTTTAATTTCGAAAATATGCCAGTTTTTCTCACGATTTTTTCCTTCACCGCTAAGCAAGTGATTAGTCAGCACTTAAAATTGCAATAAACAATTAATGAAAATATTAATTGCCATTTTAATATATAATTTGTCGCGTGGTGGATTTTGTCCTATTATTCACAGTCAAGAGGAGGCCTTTGTCCAGCAGCGGGACTAACTATACTTTACATCAATACTTATATAATATTATAAATGCGAAATAAACTCTGCTTGTCCGTCTGTCTCGCTTTCACGCCAAAACTACTGAACCAATTTAAATGAAATTTGGTACACTGATAGTCTAGAGCCTGAGAAAGGATATAGTCTATTTTTAATTGGATTTTTTTAAAGAAAGATATTTATTAAGGGTTTCAACGCGAGCTAAGCCGCGGGTGAAAAGCTAGCATATAAATAAATAAACATCCCGAAACCGAGATTCGTTGCATAGAACGAAGTACGTCTCCAACAGTCAGTGTGGAGTGCCAGGGCTCGGATATGGTGGTGACTTACCGCCCGCGTGGCGCGTTCCGCGGACGGCTGTACGTCCCCGGGAGGGGTGAGGGGTGCGGTGCGCGGGGGGCGGGGGCCGCCGCCGTCAAGCTGTCGCTACCCCTGCACGGCGACTGCGATGTCAACTTCGCCTACGCCATCTCCAACGGACCCACAGGAGTCGTCAATCGGTGGGTCATTTATCCTTCACTACATACTACATAGTATAAAACAAAGTCGTCCCGATGTCTGCCTGCCCCCATGTATGCTTAGATCTTTGAAACTACGCAACGGATGTTGCTGTGGTATTTTTTACTAGATAGAGTGATTCAAGAGGATGGTTTATATATATAATACATTGAACCCGTGCGAAGTCTGATTTTTTTATGGGAAAATTTTGTAATAGAGCAGACGTTTCACATGATGTTAAGCGATTATCTTCGCTCATAGACATCTGTACCGTGGGCGGTTGAAGAATGTTGCTAGCCTTAAAAAGTGGGCCTGTTACTACTGATGAACACTTCACTCTCACTTCATTTTTCTATGTGAAATACTGGCAACCTTGCAGGCGTTTCGTCTGATTTTGCAGTTATGTTGCCAGCCTTAAAAGTTGGGCCCTGTTACCTGATTCGCCAGACGAAACGCGAAAGTATAATGACTCCACCTCGCGCGGGTATTCTGTGAGGCCGTTGTACCTCCCAGACGAGTCTGCACATTCGTGCAACATCATAAGCTGCTGAAGGGTCCTACCGCAGATAAGCATCTCAAGTTAGAAGGAGTCTGTTGGGAGTTCTTTTCCTTTTCTTTTGCAATATTCACCCAACAGCGGTTTCGATAAAGGACGTTTAGAACTTATCGTTACAAACGGAAAGAACCACCAGGGTCAATAGTAAGAACGGGCAACATTACTTTGTATCCCTAAATCGTGCTCATTTTGTGAAGAGTGAATTAGATGAAAATGCATAAAAGTTTCTTTAAATAAGTGATTTTCAAAAGGTAAATTACTATTCACTTAAGGTCTAACTCGAATATATCAGTCTTCCTATACTACTTAAATCTTAGTAATTAAACGCTATCAAAGACAAGAGTATGTGATGGCACGTGCAATAGTAGCCGTGCCTACTATTGCCCTGGTTATTGTAAATTGTCAAGATACATGTATCGACTTCAGGACAATGGCATACGTGATGGTGATGATCCAGAACAACCCCATCATACAGACCGCGGGTGACCGTTGGGTCCGGGTTGGCTGTTCACCAGGCTCTGGAACCCAAAGTTTCGCCAAGGTGGACGCCACCGTCGCTGTCAAAGATTCGAGGTAACTAAGGCGCTTGCTAAGTAGCACGCTTTCTAATTCCTTTTTAATTTGTAACGCAGAATTATTAAATTTTTTAAGGTTCGTAAAATATGATCAAAGGTACTATTTAAGTTGGCACATGTTTCTTTATGAACAAATAGACAACTATTATCTCTGCATGTTTGTACTATGACTAAAATTAAAAAATTTTAGCACATCACTGATTTCTACTAGACTATGAACCGGAGCTCCTAGATTAAAATCAATCACCACTAACTTTAGTTAAAGTCTGAGCTGTCCGTGCTCTTATACTAATATTTCTCTTGACATCTCAATATTTACTACCTTCCCTACCAAATCCTCTCTATTAGTAGATCATTTCTTTGATCTTCATCTCACCCTCGACATAATAAGTGTGTTAACCTGACGCAAATTCAAAAATCATTCGTAGAACAATCTGGATCTATTTCTGTTTCTATACTTTCATCGATTTCATCTATTTCTGCATGTAAATATTTATTTATATCCAATTCTGAATTTAATTCTGCGTATACGAATGCGTGTGTATCGATTCGAGCCGTGATAGCTCAGTGTCCGGGCGCTCGCCTTTAATTCAATATACTCGAGCAACCTGAGCTCGATCCCCGGTGCCGGCACCAATGAAATAGTTAATTTTAAGTTCCGAGTTATCTCGTGCTCAGCGGTGAAAGAAAACATCGTGAGGAAACCTGCATAATTTCGAAATAATGATAAAAAAAATATTTCGAAGATATGTGAAGTCCGCCAATCCGTATTAGGGCCGCGTGGTGGACTATGCCCTGATACCCTCTGTACAGAGTAGGCCTTTGCCCAGCAGTAGGACATGTATAGGCATCAAGCCTATTAAGTAATAGTTTGAGTATAGTAGTAGTAATAGTAGCAGTAGTTGTAGTTTGTTTCTGAAACTCAGATCATACTGGAAGTTAACTAATCAGCACTTAAATGGCTTTTCAATTGTAACTCAGGTAACCAAAAGGATTTTTTTTATATGAAAAGTTGCCAAGCGAGCAGACGGTTCACCTGATGTTAAGTGAATACCGCCGCCCATGGACATCAGCCACACCCGAGGGTTCCAGATGCGTTGACAACCTTTTGAAAATTGGGCTCCAGCCACCTCACTCACCAGACGAAACGCGAAAGTATTATACTTCCACATAACATCATCTAATCTAATCTAATCGAAATCTAATCGTGTATCGAAATCTGGAATGTCGACAGCAAGCCTTCACTGGCGAGCGAAACGCCGCAAAGCGGTGCTAGTGCTGTATTTGGAAATTCCGTGGCGCCACTGAGCATGTATGTAGTGCGGGCGCAGGACGCCGCCTCCGCGCCATCTGTGGCGTTAGGGGAGCTTCTGGAGCTACGAATCGAGACGACAGGTAGGTGTTGCTTCACGATTTAGATATAACAAATCTTGGCTAGTCTATGGATTGTACGGCTCACAATAATATCACCAGGATTATAAATGCGAAAATGCGATTATTATGCGTATTTCAATGTGTTTATTCTCACTGTGTCATCCTCTTTGGATGCTGATGCTATTTGTCACTTAAAACGGACCAACGCAGATTTATTATGGTAGTCGGGGCAAGTTACAGATAATAATAGTTACTTTACGGTACCTCTACAGCAGAGGTTGCTTTTCAAAGGGAAACATTTGTTTTTTTTGAGAAAAAGAAAAATGTCTGCCAACATTTATGCTTATTTGGTTGTTTTAACTTTAGAGAATGCTTTTATATTATTTACAAATCATGCTACAGGAATATATACAATTTTATACGGAATAGATGTTGATCATTTTTTCCACTTATTAAAAATTTTGAAAAAAATTTAAAAACATAAATCAAACTTGTTCTATAATTTATTATTGTCTAATCCAGTCAACCCCTTATCGTTTTTATCTTCACGATTAAACAATCTGAAACAAACAAGATTTCCTCGTCTTTTTCTTGCATACTCATTAATCTTATATATAAAAATGGATTGCTGTTCGTTAGTCTCGCTAAAACTCGAGAACGGCTGGACCGATTTGGCTCATTTTGGTTTTGAAATATTTGTGGCGGTCCAGGGAAGGTTTAAACGATGAGAAATTATGGAAAAATTGCATAAAAAATCGAAATAACAACAATTTTATCTTCCCATACAAACTGTACCTGTCAACCTGTCAACTATGTCTGTCAAACACTTCCAATCTCCCTAGAAATAATTTATATCGCAAAACGACGTTTGCCGAGTGAGCTAGTATTATCATAAAAATAGCACTTCCTAACTGTCAATTTATGTAATTATAATTAAATAGACCATTAAATAATTATTATTAAATAGACCATTGATTTCAAATGCAGTCGCTATGAATATATATTTTTATTTAGATTTCAGAGTCAGAGTAACTAAATGTCAAATAATGATTTAGATAATATAGAATGGTAAAAAAAACTAGTTTGTGTTAGAAAGAGATAGAGACAGCGAGTCGCTGAGAGTCTACTGGAGGCATAAGGTTTTTCTTTTCGTGCCGAATGACGATTCCTACCAAAGCCGTGTTAAAGAACTTTGTGCCAATAAATCAAAATATCTTTTCTCAAGCAATGCAGTTTCTGTACAAATATGAATTAATTATAATTCATTTGTTTTTGAAGTGCTAAGTATTAACATCGCTTGTCCACTTCAATTAGTAGTATGATATTGCTTCTTATTCGAACCTTGACATAGTACATTCAAACAATAGCTATTCAATACTGCTGCGCTCACGCAAAACCTTAATAATCGCACTAATCACGAGGGAGAAAGTTCATGGTTGGCATTCATTCACACAATGGCAGAAAAAGTGATATTTCTAGGAAACCTCGTGTTATTCATCTGAAACGATGAATGCTTGCGACTGTCGAGCTATTATTATTTTTAATTATAATTTTTTAAAGCGTGTTACAAAAATGTAAAGATAACGACCGAGTATCAACATTATCTTTCCACACGTATTTTCCTTATAATTAAATTAGGATTTCTTTTTTGTTTTAATAGAAATGCTTTACCTTTTTGCGGTTCATTTTTAATAAATCATTTGGTGTACAGTTTTCATACCACATTTTATCTTTCGTCGGTATGTAGAATAGCATATTCCTACGAACAAAAGAATATCTTTTAACTGGGGTCACGCAACAGTCTTCGTTGTTGCACGAATGGGCAGGCCCGTCCAGGCCTGCGTACCACAACCTCACTGAAGACGTGAAGTGGAAGTGTTATACTTCTGCGCTTCGTCTGGTAATACTTTATTAAAGGCGCATCTTCAACCCTCCGGGTGTTGCAAATGTCAATAGGCGGCGGTTATCACTCACAATACGGCGGTTATAAATCACAAGATGAGGTGAACCACCAGCTAGCTTGCCATCTTCTCACATAAAAAGAAAATGTTGCTTGGAAGCTTCACATGGTTCAAAAAAGTTAACCAATAACGATTGAGAATCAACCATAAAAAGAGTGAGTGGTCAATGGATCTGCAAAGGAACATAGTCCTTCGATATTATGTATTGAAATCATTTTATTGTATGCAACTTTTCTAGAAATAAATACCAAAAATCATTTAAATTGACAGATCTTATTGAAAACTGAACGATTACACTGACCAAAATTGCAACGCAAACAACATAACGTTTATTTCAATCAACCGAACAGAGTCTATGTATATATATATATATATATATATATATATGAGACTTCCACCGGTAATTGACTCTTCACGATATCTCTGGAACCATAAGGCGTAGAGACTTGAAATTTGGTAGGAATATTCCTTTCGCCGAGTAGAGGTAAATGTTACTACCTGTTAGCTAGTAGCCGCTAGTATACTATATACTCATTATATACTACTGTCATATTGAAATGCATTATTATTTAATAGAGAAATTATATAAATAGATAATATAAAACTTTTAAGACATAAAACAGTATTAATTTTAAGTCGAGTTATGATTAAAAGTATTAAAAATAAACTGGTTGTTGTAACATTACGGTTAGCAAAAAGCGTTGATTCACGTATTTTTCAGATGAAGCAGAGATAGAAGCATATCATCTCGTTGCTTCGTCAAGACTAGGAGACAGTTCAGTGCTATTACTGGACAGCAGAGGATGCCCCACGGGCCAGGTAACTAATACAAATTTAGTCACAGTTCACTATATGATTCTGGGGCGTAGTTGGCAAGGTATTGGCTTCGGGGTCGAGGTTCGTGGGTTCGATTCCCACACGGGACAACTATTTGTGTGACCCACAGATAATTGTTCCGAATCTGGGTGTTGGTCCGCGAGAAATTTATGTTTGTAAAACGTCCTTAAAACACAGAATTATGTTATCCTAAAGTAAGGGCAACGTTTAAAAAAAAATAACGGAAACTCTTTGAACATACCTTTAATGGGGAAAAAACTAAATAATTAATTTTTATTAATTATCAACAACAATAAAAAGTAAACTTCCATATTACTGTTTAAATTACATATATCTTTTTATATGATAGGCAACTTACTAAAGACTCAACAACCTAACCCCCAACTGCAAAGTGCTCTTAAATTGAAATTTTTTTTTTTTTCTGTATGATAGAGTTCGTAACGAAGACGATTTTTGCCATCCGCAGTAGAACTAAGGTGACCGTCCCATAGCTCAGTTTGCCTGGGGATTAGCTATTAAAAGCTGAAGTGGCGATGGGCCGGCCATATAGCTCGTAGAACCGATAACCGTTGGGGAAGAAAGGTTCTCGAGTGGCAGCCTCGCCTTACTGGCCATCGCAGTGTGGGACGAACCCCCACTAGATGGGGTGACGACCTGTGCAAATGTGCGGGAAGTCGATGGATGCAGGTGGCTCAGGATCGTACTTCATGGCAGTCTATGGGGGAGGCCTATGTTCAGCAGTGGACTCAAACAGGCTGAAATGATGATGATGATGATCTTATAATACAAAACAATCTAGCATAAAAACAGGATACATACAATTCCGTTTAGAAGCGGTATTGAAATTTTGCATACTAAAATTTACCGTGTACTAACTAAAGACTCAACAGCCTAACCCCCAACTGTCACTTAATAAGCCTGTGTGACGTCATATTACTAAAGATTCGGAGACGATTTTGCCAGCTTGCGTGCTTGTAGCGCTAAGTGTTGCTTGCATACAAATTAAATTGTAATAGTTTATTGAGATTTTCAAATTAGTTGGTTCATAAATGGGTGCAAATTAGATGGCGCCAAGCATTGTAAAAAATTCAAAAGAAAGAACGTAGATAGATGTCATGAATCCATCGGCCGCTTGGCTTACGCTTGGCACGTTATCCGTAAGAGATTTAAATGACACTGACGTAAGTGAAACGCGAGTCTACCAATTTTAGTCGACATTTTTTGCGCCATTCGGCACGTCTAATGGGTCATCTAGAAAAGTAAATAATCAAAGTGTAAACGTCTGTCGTCTATGGTCATGGTCAGGTGGATTTCCCGCCATTCACACGCACCCTGTTGGGGGGCACGCAGCGGCTGTCCGCGCGCTTCAAAGCCTTCAGGTTCCCGAACTCGCACGTCGTACGTTTCGCCCTAATGGTGCGCTTCTGCGACATGAATTGCGCACCGGTAAGTTTCTGTAGTCGACATACAATCAACTGAGCTGAAGACAAAAATGAGGTTATTAAAAAAGCTATTGCTTTCTCAGTAACTTTTGAGGTTAGCTGTAGACAATAAATAATCATCTACTAACATGGATGATGATAGAAATGAGTCTTGTTTGACAAAAAAAACTTATAAAAGTTTCTTTTGAGGTTATATTCAATACACGACGTTGTATCTGAATATATCTTATTTCTCGGCTGTTTTGACGGTAAGCCATAACTTCGATAGTTCTTCATCGAATCACATCTATTGACAATATCTTCAACAATAGATATTCTTCAAAAAAAAGGACACCTTTCATTGACAAACATTTCTTTACACATTGACAAATCACCATACAGTGACTGACCACGGTACCGTGCAAAAAATTCGTACGCGTCAACTAGTTTGACCTTAAGATTATACACTGTGCCATTATACAATTTGTGTAATTTTTTATATCCCATGCTGCACCTACCATAAACTTTCACTACATCCTGGGTGACTGGTAGAGAATGCCTATGGGCATTAATTCCGCCCTTTGTTACCTTTTTTCTTAAGGTTAGCAATAAAGCATAAATAAATAGAATAAAAAAAATATACTAGTTCGACCTCGTGTGTATCAGGTGAACTGCGGCGCGCAGCAAGTACGGACCTCGCGTCAGACTAACTACACGGAGTACGACTGGAACAACGGGGTCCCCGCGGCGGTGAGGCGGGAGTTGTGGGGGGAGGGCGGGGGCGCGGGGGGCGCGGGGGTGGTGGCGCAGGGCGGGCCGCCGTTGTGTGCGGACTCCAACGCCCAGAGGGTTCCCCTCGAATTGGAAATGGTCGTCGGCTCGAGGGACATCCTATCCGCCGATACACTCGTGCGCGCCGACCACCGCTCGGCAACACGTAAGTTAAGTGTAGCTAGTCAACACGCCCGCTTTATTGAAAGGCAACGCACCTGCAACCCTATGGGTGTTGCAATTGCCAACGGTCCAGCAACGGTCAACCGCCAGTTCGCTTGCCAGCTTCTTACATGAAAAAAAGTTCAAACACGTAAGACTAGCACATGTAGCACCATGAAATCTTGAATTTATTTAGCCTACAGTGAAGTGTAGATACTGTTACGTAATGCGTACTCTTCGAACGTCAATTGCGTTGCATGATTTTCATACGATGGAATAAATTGGTTTTTAAGTCTATTCATCCTACTTGTAGAAGTAATCAAACAGGTCGCGGTAACCGGACGAGGACGAACCGCAATACTTGCTCGTGGAGTCGTGGACCATATTATATTTGAGTCACGTGTATGTTAATCATGTAAGTGATTACCGCCGCCCATGGACATGAACAACACCTGAGGAATAGCATATGCATTGCCAATCTTAACAAAAACGTGCCCCGATTACCTCATTCATTATATAATATAAAATACTTGCATTTCCCGCTGTGTTCTGTGAGATCCCGGTACTTCCCCGGGTGAGCCTGCCTGTTCGTGCAACAACAGAAGATGATTAATGGCCCAAGAACAGTTACTGTAACTGAATTAAAAATATTAGTAAACGTGCATGTTTCTATGTATACAGCGTGTCGTTACCATCGCGACAATAAATGAACACACGAATACTACTTGCCAATAATCATAAAAAAATATTAACGTTAAACAAAATCCATAATTAAAAAAAATATATTTTTCAAACAAACTAATTAAGTAAAAAAGAAACAAAATTTGTAACACCCTATACAACTCGCGCCACAGCGTCGTATTACAAGCCTCTCCTTTAACAGTATGTTTTGTCTCTTTTAAATTCATTCAACCCATTCATATGCTTTGTGACCTTTACAAATGAACTTTACGTTACACTTTTATAGGTAAGGGTGTTCTAAAATTCTTTGTTTTGGAAAATTTTATAACTCTGTAAATAGTGATGCTTAAAGAATTTAAATGTTTAATACAACTTTAAAAAGTTGTCCCATATATGTGTGTTCATTTATTGTCGCGATGGTAACGACACGCTGTATATATGTTTGTGAGAAATCGTGCTCGTTGAAATGAGTAGTTTAATCATCGTTCTTCATCTTCTTCCTCGCTTAGCGTCGTGCAAGAATCGCCATCTTTCTCTTTCTATCCCTCCTCTCATTCATTCATTTAGTATCATTGTAGTATTTATCAATGTAGGTTACATTCGACTCACTCATTTCATTTGTCAACTCTTTCACTCGGTCCATGCGTTCCAGTTTCCACGTGTATATCTATAATTCTCGTGATCTAAAAGTAATTAAACGTCGGGCCTTTGCTCAGCGGAGCATACGACAGCGGAGGAATCGCTGGTGTGTGTTCACGAGCTGCTGCTGGTAGCCCTGGTGCTGGCCTGGCTTGCAGTGCAGATCGTCTTACTGCTGGGCTGCTGCGTTCTCGTTAAAAGGTAAGACGCCGAGAAACGTAAGAGGGAGACAGAATATCTGATCGGTCTGCTTGGTATAGTAGTATTATTTCTATTAGTATTTATTTCTTCATCGCGTAAGTATTCTGTTGTATAGATCTATCGTCCTAACCGGCGAAGTAACTCGTCATAGAAGTCTGGCGATACAAATCGACACTAATTTTATTTATATTTCGATATAAGGGAGTTAGCCGGAAACTCACTCTCCTGTCTCATCTCTGATTTGGTGAATCGATTCCTACCTTGTGCCTAAAATAAATTAAATAATATATATGAAACTAGCTGACCCGGCAAACGTTTTGCCATATAAATTATTTGTAGGGTAGAAAAAAATGTATGGTGTGGATCACCCTTTACATTTAGGGGGATGAAAAATAGGTGTTGTCCGATTCTCCACCCTGGCCGATATGCACACAAAACTTCACGAAAATCGGTCGAGCCGTTTCGGAGGAGGTCAATTACAAACCCCGTGACACGAGAATTTTATATAAGTATCAGATATTAACTTTGGAACACAGTTTTTTTTTATTACTAATTTCTGCACTAAAGTATCTGCAATAAAACATTGTGATATATATATTTTAAAGTTACAAATTTTAATGTTTTAAAGCACAGTGTCGACATTAGTTGACATAAAGGATTTTTTGTAAAATACACACTTTTAGAGTATTACTGCCGAAGGTTTTACATTATATTGTGGTAAACCAAAAATATAATACGACACTGGAAGTATATGAAAATCCGGACACATAATCCCTTAGCAATTAAAATTCCCGTCCTCGATTTCAAAATTTCTTTTTTATTAAAGGTACCGCAACCTGGCTGAAATGAGTATGCAGAAGGATTACCAGTCGTTTGATAACGTTGGCTTCGAGACCAACTCTACGCACCGGCGTGTGCACTGGCCAGACCAGACCACAGACATACTGCACACCACATAGAATATTCCACAGCGACCATAGACCCAAATGACCATAGCCGATAACAAGACTGTTCTACGATCGCAGTTGTAGAGTTAAAACGTGTTACCAATGTCTGTCTGGATTTTGTTCTCGTACAATAAGTATCTATTTAAGCACCAAGATAATCTAGAAAATGATTGCTACTACACTTTTTAATTTAACGTTTAATTCATTATGGTAGTTATCGAATTAAAAAATATATTTTAATGATGTCGTTTGAAGATTTTATACCCCATAAAATATCATCCACAAATGTGACAAAAGTTGTAACATAACGTATTTAATACGATGTTTAGCTTTTAATATTATTATGGTCATAGAAGCACAAGTAAATAATTGGATTAAATATCCGAAGTTTAATTCTTCTTTATCTTTATGTGACTGAGTTTTTGCTCTGGGTCCGTATACTGTTAAAGCTTCATCGAACACAAAGATCGTTGGATAGCAAGCTTTATACAGCCGTCTGATTATATATATATATATGCGTCTATTTATTTCTTGCACTTTAGTGTAAAGAGGATGTATAATATTTTATGTAGTTTTTTATAAATTGTTTTTAACATGTAAATATACCTACTAATGTGATAATTTTACAGATATGTGTGAATTAGGCGATGAAAGTAAACATATCGAATTAAATTATGAGTTCAACCCTCACTGTGTTTCATTTTAATCTTAAAAACGTACTTAAATAACAAGTATAACACAAATAAAAAGTACGTATGCCAGCAGAATTGCTAAATTTTGAATGCAAACAAAGTATAAATAAACCTAGATTAACCAAAAACCTAGATTACCTTTAGTTCAATAATTGCATTCGTGACGAAACTATCTAAAAACAATAACACTAATTATAAATCTTCATGATTGTGTGATTGTCTAAGGATTTTGTATTCTAAAATAGATGATATACAGGAGTGAAACGGTAGTGCAATCGATGATTATTTAAATTTACTTATTATTAAAATCTTTGTCATTCCTTGGGTAGGGTAAGCGTCTCTTCCATAAATAGGGGGGACTTATTCAAAAAGCAGACTTTTTCTACTTATTAAAAGAAAATAAGCACATACTGCCCTTCCCAACGTATTGAGTGTAGCCAGTGAGCGGTTTTATTGCCTAAAAACCCAAAAGAAAGATGTCTTCCTAGTTCCTCCCCTTACTACGAATATCATCTGGAGATTGCTTCTTTGACAACAAGAAATGGATCGGGGAAAATAAGCTCTAAATAGGGAAAATAAATTCACAGTTAGTTTAAACCTATAATCAAATTAAACGAAAAATACAATTCAAATATCCCGCACTTTTCTAATGTTTAAAAATTTTCTTTAATGTTAAAAAATAAATACTTTAAAGGCCGGCAACGCATTTGTGAGCCCTCGGGTGTTGCAGGTGTTCATGGGCGGCGGTAATCACTTACCATCAGGTGAGCCTCCTGCTCGTTTGCCCCTTTTCTCCATAAAAAAAAAAAAAAAAAAACTTGGTTGCGTGTGTAACTTGTTGGGTAGGTCAATAGTAAGTCTTTATTATAATCAGTGTCGGATTTACAAGTTTGCCGCCTAGGCTGTTCAATTTTTGCTGCCCCGACTGATTTAAAATTCGATACCCTAGTTCGCGATCATATATACGTTTATTCTATCAATAAAATTGCAACTTAATGATTTGTGCTGTATCGTCTTCATTACATTATTATTTTTTTCTCGTTATTAGCATGATTTTGAACAAGGGTTTTTATTTTAGATTATTTTTTCAACCCACGAAAAATAGATTTAGGTATAAATAGGTATTTCTGAACTAAAAAAAGCTGAATCATGTCCTAATTATAAGACAGGACACAGACAATTATAAGTAAGGTATGCCCTAAAAATACTTATACACCAATATATGAACAGAGCTAACACAAAATAATCCTCATTTAGTAAACGTGGTTAATTTTTTTATTGCACTTTTGCACGGTTTAAAAAATAACACGAAGATTATCTCTGTAGAACTTTCCGTTAACAATTCGGTTAATAATCACAATAAAATAAAGAAAGTTATGAAAGTCTTAAAATATGTTAAATTTTCAAGACTCGTTTTCTCTATGTTATGATGTTTATCGTTTTTTCTGTAAGACAAAAATTTTTGGTCCAATTTGCCGCCCCCTTAAATCCGCCGCCCTAGGATCTAGCCTACTTTGCCTGCTGGTGAATACGCCAATGGATGTAATGCTTATTTCACACTGCATACGGAGGGATTAATCATACTTAAAGTTAAATCGATTTACAATACATAAACATTATTTGGTTATCGTATAACATATTTTCACGGTTCATTAATTCGATAAAGTCAATAATGTAATAATTGTGCGGTAAATTACCTATTGCAATCTTCAAATGTAATATTTATTTTATTTTGTTGAATTACTACAAATATGACATTCATACTTTAAGATATATTTAATTCTATGTACTAATTGATCGGAAAATAAGGTTGGTGATGTTTAATTTTATTATAATTGAAAATTAAATTAGTTTTTAACAGTCCCACAGCTGGGCAAAGGCCTCCGTTACCTCCTTCCAGACAACTCGATCGAATAAAGTCGAATAGCCTTTATCAAAGAGTATCGGTTAAGAAAGAAAGAAAGAAATAAAGAAAAGTTTATTTGGTACATAAATAAATCGTTTAAAAAAAATTTAAAATATAAAGAAATACAATGTAAATGCACCAAATAGGTTTCCACTCAGCATGAGTTCACGGAGTTAGTAAACTTCGTGAATGGTGGTTTTTAGTGAAACCATAGGAGGGTGATAGATGGCATAACGAAATAGTGATTAATATGTAGCCTATATAACAAACACAAAAAGCCTAATATAAAATTAAAAAACAACAAAAATAGACTTAAATAAAAATAATATTAAAAAAACTGAATTACAAAAACGAAAGAAAAAATAAAATAAGACAATAGAATTGGTTACAAAATATATACTTGAGCTGTATGTAAATATTAGTGGGTTATTTGTGGTCAGTACAGTTATGCCTTTAAGTGTGCTTGTTTCTTCTTCCAATTATATGGAGACTTAAGTGCTGGACTTTTGTATTGAAAGGAGATACTTTTTTAAGTTGTTTTTAAAAGAGTTAGCAGATGTTGAGTTCCTAATTGGTGGAGGGAGGTCATTCCAGCACTTAGCAGCAGCAAATCGGAAACTACCACGGAAAGCAGCTGTACGATACCCGGGGACAAATGAGCCGCGACACTGATCTAACACAACGATATGAAAATGTTAGCTTGTCGAATGAATACGAAGGTTCTTTGTTCCGTATAACCCCAAAAAGCAATGTGGCGAGCTGAAGTGTACGTCGAGTGGTCACATTCATCAAATCGTACCGGTTAAGAAATGGAGTTATGTTTGATCGTCTGGGGATTGTAAAGCAGAAACGTGCGCATGCATCCTCTGTATTGCTTTTTTTGTCCTTGCATACAGACATTCACCATAAACAGTGTCAGTGTAGGATAATTTAGACAAAATAAGCGTATCTCATAACAGTAAAAAACACAAAACAGTTAAAAATTCGCGAATCCTATACAAAACCTTAAGCCTGTAGAAACAATTACGCATAGTTTCTAATATATGACCCTCAAACCGTAACTTTCCATCCATCACTAAGCCAAGGTTACGAACTTCCAACACTCTAGTAACGTTCTAGTAAACAACCATCGATAAATATTTGCGGATTTAAAGCAAGGGTAAAATCCACTTGATTTCGACTTCCCACAATCATATATTTTGATTTGTCTGGGCTGAGGACAAGATTGTTGAGATTACTCCAATTATTAATAAGATTCAAGTCTGCGTTAACTTTCTTAGTAGCATTATTGGTGTCATTAGGATTCAAAGACTCATATAATTGAAGGTCATCAGCATATATGTGGTATTTACAATACTTAATAGCATTAACGATATCTGCAATGTATATGATAAACAACATTGGTCCCAAAATGGAACCCTGTGGTACCCCACTGGCATGTGGCATTGTGGTTGATGTCATTTCAGACCCATAGTAATTGTCAATTTTGACGTATTGCTTACGATTAGAAAGATAGCTCGCAAACCATTTTATTGTAGTGTACTCGAGACCGTAGTAGGCAAGTTTTGAAAGAAGTAGCGTCGGGTTTAAGGTGTCAAAAGCGCGTGAGAAATCGAGCATAACTAATAAAGTACTTTCTCCTAGACTTTGTGCTGTTAAAATGTCGTCTACTACATCTATCAAAGCAGTCGCGGTGCTACGATGTTTTCTAAAGCCTGACTGTTCTGCAGTTAAGGATTAGTTTATTTCATGTTTGGTATTTAGGTATACATAAATGTGGGGACTTTGGCCAGCAATCATCCGGTATGTAACACAAGACACCCGTGCAGTCTGATTTCAACTGAACCATCTTTAGAATAATGTTTCGAGTGTTTGTTTTCGTTTGCAGTATCGTAATTCATATTCGGTAGCTTACTACGTTATTCCATTCCGAGGCTGTGCATTCCATTGCTTGCTGGTAAAACCCCGAGATTTTATCTCAGAGAACAAAGGAATGTCAGTAAAAAAATATATATAAAAAGGTTAAATATAATTAAATATATTAATATAATTATAGTTAATATGATCACTAAAATAAACTTTAAAGGAAATAAAATAAATTATAATGAAGGTGGCTTACTGGATTAACAATTGTATGTAGGTAGATAATAAAATGTGGTAGTACTATGAAACAGCTTTTGCTGCCTTACTAAAGTGTGGGAAACGTACCAGGGAAGCGCTATGTCGCTATAAACGGCCACTGACCAGTGTGAAGTTTTGAGTATTGTGAGTGAAGTGGCCCTCCCTTTTGAAGGTTGGCGATACATATGTAGCCGCACTGGTGTTGCAAATGTCGATAGGCGTCGGCGACTTTCTCATAAAACAAAACGTTTTATGTACCAATTATTTAATAAATAGGATATCTAAAAGAAACAATTGCACGCGATTTTCAGTTCAGACTACTTTGTAACTGCCGACATCGTGTATTCACACATCAATTCGATCTCGTTTAGTCGTAATGTGTTGATATGAGAATTGGAGCACCAATGAGTACCCTTATAGTAAGTACTTAACTGTGAATAATGTCGAGCGTTCTTTAACTTCGTAAAAGAAGTCAAAGTTCACTGATATTAATATCTCGATTTAATTCTTATGTTGTTCATGGTACACGTGACATATATGCTTAAAATATCTTCCATTGCCAATTAAAACAACAATTTCCCGCTAACCAACGACTTGTTTTTTCAACTCTATTTCAAACTGATTAAAATAAATTATAAATTGATAGTCAGTAAAAAGTCCGTAAAACTTTAAAACGGACTTTGCAACGTTTTGTGTTTTATTTCGTTATTAGACCAACAAAGAAGTGTTTCTAATAAGTAATAATTTAAATGATTTTAACACCCATTGATTTAGCGAAACCTACACGTTGTCTCGACTTTGGGAATTTAAGAAACCAAATTTGTTTTATAAAATTTGAAAAACCAAAAACGCTGATTTCTGGTTAATTTACCTGCGACCATAGCGTTAAGTACGAAAGCTAAATAGATTAAAAGTAAACAAAGAGTATCTTAGAAAGATTATTTGCCTCGGCGCCTTTGAAAAAAAATTAAACCTAGATTTAATGTATGAACTGTTCTTGTGTAACTCAAAGGAATTATCCGATAAACCTAATTACTCGATCTCGCCCGCAGCCCGCCGCAGCCCGCTCGCCCGCATTTATAGCCCCCGCATCTTGTTGTTGGTGTCTTCAAAACTCTCTCGTCTCTTCGGAAACACATTCAAAAGTTGCTGATTAGTATAAAATATCACTACATAGTATAAAACAAAGTCGTCCCGCTGTCTGCCTGTCCCTATGCATGCTTAGATCTTTAAACCTACGCAACGGATCTTGATGCGGTTTTTTTACTAGATAGAGTGATTCAAGGGGAAGGTTTATATGTATAATACATTGCACTGGTGCGAAGCCGGGGCAATGTATTATACATATAAACCTTCGCTAGTATATATTATATAATATAATCTTTGGATCTGGCAAACGTTACCAATGTTTGGGTTATTCCATAGTCGTTTCTACGAACGGGTTAATGCGCCGAGACGGACCGCAAATGTAACGGCGCAATGTAGCAATCACAATGTTATAATACGGCACAATAATAATATAACTTCACTACCAAATCGACGAAATAATATAATATTAAGTCAACTCGATTGTCGAATTTGCGATACAAATAGAACGAATAAAGAGATTTCTAAGAGTATTATGCAGGATAAATAAATATTACGCTTAATACTATGATGCATTAATCTAATCTGTTATCACACCTTTATCATAGTTGGGTATTTTTTCCATCTGCTGCTATCTTGCAGTTATCTAAGGTTTATAACAAACAAGTACACGTAATCTTCCGAAGAAAAGTTTGTAGAGTTTATGCTATGGTATTTTGTACGTAGGAATCTAATATTTTGTATTTTTATTTTAAGTTTCTGCTAAATATTATAATGTCATTTTTCATTTTATAATTTAGCAAATTTCCATTATAATTTGTACTCGTCTTTCGATTAAATATATTCTTTTACTCGAAATATATTCAAGCTGTAACAGGAAAAAAGAACAATTAGTGTTTAATCTTTGTATATTCGTTTATTTTTATCTTAATACATTCTAAAAGTTTATTTGTCTGTGTAAATCACCAACTACATAAATTAAAAAAATATTAAATATTTCTAATATTATTTTAAACAGATCAAATTGTGGTCATCTTCAACTTCACATTTCTTAATTTTTAATCGATTAAACGTAAAGTTCAATTTGGTAATTAAGTCCACTCCCACGCTCGCTCTTTAGCCGAATGTTCACGAAGGTAAAGCCTACGCCGCCGGCTGTGATCGTTGCTGTGCCTTCAGAGTGTTCGAGGTCTCGCGCGACAATTCCCTGGAAATAAAATTCGTTCATTTTCCGTAACCCACGGGACCAAAACAATTATTAAAACGATAATAGATTTGTTAAGCGAAAATTTGAAATGGGTTGTGTTTATGTTGTCATTAATAACAAAGTAATTATCTATACATACGTAGGTGTGCCTAAATGCTGGATTACATAATTATCCAAAAATTCAAGCTCTATAAACAGGACAGTATTAAGTCATAGTTCGAGGTCTTAATGCATATTTTATGTTAGACTTCACATATCATCGAAATAGAATGTTTTATATATTAGTTATACAACAATAAAATGTCGTTGCTATTTGTTAAGGAAGGTGTTCTTATTGTGACTTAATTATGGTTTATGAGGGAAGGCATTAATTTTTAAAGTAATATAATTTAATAATAAGCAAAAATGAAGATGTAAGTATATGTAATCGTTATTCGAAGTAATGGTTTTACAATATCATAGAATTATTTGCAATATATAAAAAATATAATTTGTAGTTAATTAAAGTTTTATTACGGTTCATCTGCTATAAATAAAACATATATTGTAAAATACTCCTATATTTAACATTGTATTGTCTAATGGAATCAAATAGCGTGTAATTTGAGCTGTTATAAAAATAGATAAAGTAAATATTAAAAAAATACTAAAAAATATGTATACTTATTGCAATACCAAAGTTCACATAAAAATATGTCATTAATTCATTTTTAATACTCTATTTATTATTTTATTTGAAAATACAAAAAGTTGACAAAGGGTAATGCAGGTATTACGTGACGTAAATGATTATAAAGAGTTTTTGGTATTATTTCGATAAACTATTACAATTATCTTTTGTATATTTTAATTACATGGTCAGAAATATTTAGGTGAATTAATTTTCTACTTTATATATTGTTATAGACGCATAGAATATGAAAATATAATTTTACCTTCAATATTTGCATTGCAGGATCCGAATAAAAAATTTCTTTCACTCGCTTCTTAAATGGAAAGCCCATGTACTCTGCTTTCTGCTGCCACACCAACCGGTTATTATAGGTAGTACCCACTAACAGATCTCTAGCAAAACATGAAGATAGGCAGATTAATAAAATAAAACTTAATACGAAAATGCCTCTCATTATTAAAACTGCTTAAAACGCTACAACAGGAAACTTCGAAGAAAGATCGTCAACTGAGTGGGACTATAAACTACATGCCTCACAATAGAAATGCATCTTCGATAAGCAACATTAAAATGTATGGTGCTTGTGTTAAAGCTCAAATTTGTGCCATACATTCATTATCATGTTGACTATACTTCATTCTCAATAAAGCAGAATGTAAACATGTCAGTAAGAGAGTTCAAACGGTGAGCCTGATAACTAATAGGAATATACATAGATATAGGTAGATACTTGAATAAATATGGCTACTTATATTTATTTACTTTCCTTATTTAGAACCTTAAGTTCGCCAACATTGTATACATTAAGCAGACAATTTAGGTAGACTGCGTAGAATAAGTAAATCTTTTATGGGATATAAATATTACATTTAATATTGTATAAGTTTCTACAACAAAATCCCAGAAAACGTTAAAAATGTATCAATTGCTAAATTAAAAAAAAATATAAAGAACATTCGTGTGTTTAAGGGTATTACATTATTAATGATTATTTAAACGATACCACACTCTGGAAAGAAATTGATCACTCCAGGCTCTTTCAATTCGACTTACTTATTCTTCTTGCTCGGTCCCTCAATTCTGAAGATCGTGACACATATTGTAATCTTTCACGATGTAAACTGCGCGTTGCATGTTGCAGTCGTTCTTCAAAGTGCTAGCCCATCTTTTCGGTGCACTGCCTTGAGCACGTCTGCCATTCATCTCACCTGTAATGATATGAATGCCTCTTGAGACTGTGCTTAGACGATCGCATAATGTGTCCAAAAAAGCAGAGGGCTCGTTCACCGCAAAGAAAGCCTCTTTGTGGTGTTGAGCTCTTTTAATATCGTGGTTTTCTTTTTTTTTATGTGAAAAGTTGCCAAACGAGCAGACGGTTCACCTAAAGGTAAGTGAATACCGCCGCCCATGGACATCTGCTACACCCGAGGGTTACAGATGCGTTGACAACCTTTTAAAAATTGGGCTCCGTCTACCTCACTCACCAGCCGAAACGCCAAAATATTTGTCATACTTCCACTTTACGCCGGTCCTCTGTGTTTTCATGGCAGTTCAAGAAATACGGAGCATCCTACGCCTGTTGGCGTTCGGCACATTTCGAAAGCATCGATCTTACAGCTATCGCGGCTTCTTATCCTACTCCATGTTTCGGCACCGTATATGAAAGTAGAGAAGACCATCGCTCGAACCAAGCGCACCTTAGTATTACAACGTACTTACGTAATTACTTAGAATACCACAGTTCCTCCATATCTTTTCGAGTCTAGTCGTAGCACTTTTGGCCATACCGGCTCTACTACGAATTTCGTCAGTGCAGCTGCCATCGTTAGATACCATTGACTTTTTAATACCCATTGAGTGCATCGGAGACAGGCAGTACTTGTGCTCGGTCTACCAACATTATTTTAGTTTTAGCAAGGTTGATCTTAAGACCTTTGGCACCCTCGACGTCGATTCTTTTTAGAAGTGCCACCATTTCCATTTTGCTCGATGCAACAACAGTCGGACCATCTGCATACCTCAAGTGGTAAAAAAATGGCCCGCGGATTCATTTTGCACGCATCAATAATTGCTTCATAATTTTGTTTTTAATTGTGTGATTCATTTTACAGCTTTATTAACAATGCTTCGAGCAGAAGATCTAATCTTTGACACCTGTAATACTCCTTCGGAATATTACGAATCCATCCACTGCACAAGAAATCGTACAAGGTGAGCACCGAGATGGTGACTGGTGTGGCCTGAGTTCGTGCTTCACAAACACAAGAACAAAGAGTCATAAGTCTCAGTTGACAATGAGAATGAGAAATACTCGACACGATCGCACAAATCAACAACGTGATAATGAACGAGATGAAATGTTACAAGTGGAATATGAATCAAGTAATATTTCAATACTATTGCACAATTGACAGCTTGTATCATTTCATTTGGATTGGCCCACTAAAGGTTGTATTCGACCATCCCGGTGTTCAATTAACGAATTGAACGATAGGATTATGTTGTTTCTGTGGCAAAGTGAAATTGCTTGTATTCTACCGACCCTTAGTCATTGCATTCTTTGTTTCTTGGCAACACCAGAATCACGACATTTTATAAGCAACACAGACATAATTGTTATGATGATTTTTCAAAATTACTCAATTTAGAGCAGACAGTATCGAAGAACGCGAATTAAATCCGACATTCAAGGAAGTTTTTATTGAGAAAATAAATGTTCATTTTCTTTTGGTGCTCATAAATCAGTAATAATATCTTCACCTTCAACTAAGATCTAAGGCCAAATTCTGTATTGAATTGAATCATTGTAACCGCTTGATGACGAACGTCAAAAATTAAATAAATTCATCCAAATTTACTTCATGGCTAATATGAAACCACTTAGTTTGCATTAAACGATTAACTTCAAAAGAAAACAGCTGTTCTTCAAGATCTACAGCACTCATTCATAAACATCATGCAATGGTTCGATTTTTCAAAAGTGTTGTAATGCCAAGTGATGAATAAAAGTCGTGATCTGAGCGGACAACTCGCTAGAACAAAAGAACGCCAATTTAATGTTTCAACAATAAAATATGAAGTGGCAATTGTGATTGTTGGGTCAAACTTGGAAACGCGTGATATTCTGCTTATTTTTACTTTATAACACTGGTCAACAACTCTGTAAATATACGAACAATGTCGTTCATATTATGAATTGCAATACCCGTTTATGCTTTGGCAAGGTGTCAATGAATAGGAGTATGGCTAATGATGGTGGTATGGCGGTTCAGCTCACGTTCAATTTTGACTCCAAAATAAAATTGGTACAAAGTCCAAAAGCTGCGTCAGAAAAGGTGTAGAAAAAGTAAAGATGTACTTAAAAAGGTATTAGTAGATTTGGTGTTACTAAAAAATACGAGGGGTGATCCAAAAGTAATGATAATCGGTTACTTCAGGTCTGCATAAAAATCCAAAAAAAATATTTTTTTCTTGCTTATATACTCACTACATCAGCCTAAAAAAATCATATAAATAGATCACGATTTCCGGGAGATACATTCATTTGAATACGAACTGTCAAAGAGATAACATCAACATGGAGAAAAACGAAATTAGAGCTGTCATCAAGTACCTCTGTTTGAAAAAAATGTCTTCAAAAGACACAGTGACTTAGTGGAAACATTGGGAGACTGCTCCTCCATATTCTAAAATTGCACGCTGGGCCAAGGAGTTTAAACTGGGCAGAACATCCACTGAAGATGAACATCGCGAAGGACGCCCATCCACGTCCTTCACTGAAGACAACGTGAAAAAAGTCGAAGATGTTGTGTTGACAGATCGAAGAGTGACCATCAGGCATGTAGCTGAGGTCACAGGGATCTCATATGGCAGCGTTCAAAGAATCCTTGCGAACGAGTTGCATATGAAAAAGGTCTCGGCGCGTTGGGTACCCAGAATGTTAACCGACGAGCAAAAGAAAAATCGAGTTGACATTTCGAGGGTCAATCTCGAAAAGTTCCAAGCAGATCAAGAAAATTTTTTGGTCCGTTTTGTGACTATGGACGAGACCTGGATCCACCATTTTGATCCTGAAACGAAACAACAATCGATGACTTGGAAGCGAGCCTCCTCACCGACGCCAAAGAAATTCAAAGTTTCAAGTTCGGCGGCAAAGGTTATGGCATCTGTTTTTTGGGACGCTCAAGACATAATTATGGTGGAATATTTGGAAAAGGGAGCCACTATTACGGGCTCTTACTACGCAGACCAAATAAGAAGATTACGGGAGGCCATTAAGGAAAAAAGACGCGGCAAACTGCGAGCTGGAGTGCTGTTTCACCAAGACAACGCACCGGCTCACAAAGCCGCAGTTGCCATGGCTGCCATTCAAGAAACGGGATTCGAACTGCTCGAACACCCTCCCTATTCGCCAGATCTAGCTCCTAGTGACTTCTACCTCTTTCCTCGGCTCAAGGAACGCCTCCGAGGCAAGAAATTCGAAGACGATAGCGAAGTAATGGCCGCTGTTGAAGCGTTTTGGGAGGGTCGAGACAAAGAATTTTTTTCAAAGGGAATCCTGGGTTTAGAAAAAAGATGGACTAAATGTTTTGATTTGTTAGGAGACTATGTAGAAAAATAAATTATTATTTTAACTTTAATTACCGTTCATTTTCATTATCATTACTTTTAAATCACCCCTCGTACCTAATCTAGGCCTGCAACAAACTTATCTACTTTCTTGTCATCATTATGTGTGGGCTCATTAGGACAGTGTTATGTCTCTAAAAAAAATATGTGTGTACCTAAGGACGCACGTAAAAAGGTATACTTCTAATTGCTAAAAATTTTATTCCCTTTGCTAGTACTGTTTGTTTGTTAAAAAGACATTTAATGCATGACATGGGACACCAGAGTGAAGGTTTAATTATATAACTTGGATTTAGATATGTAGTATATTAAAAAAAGTTATTATTGGTTGCCATGGTAATACCGTGAAGTTGGTGGAAGTTGGTCGTTTTGCAAACAATTTTATCTTGTCGCTTTTTGGCCGTCGGTGTGTGTGCGCATCATAAAAATTTTACTCTCATATTTTTTTCCAAATACTCTAAAAAATATAACTTGAAAAGTCTGAAGGAAAATTCCTTTGTTATGACTGCTGTGTGCCAGATCTATTTTAATTTAATGATTTACTCATACTCTTCGTTAAAACCGCAGCATAAAGCGATAGATATTATTAGGAATTTTCAGGAAATTTACAGATCAAAAAAGTGCTACATGTAGCGCTGTTATCTTTCTCGTTTTTTCTACAGCACTTTTTTTTTTTTTTTTTTTTATGCGAAAAGTTGTCAAACGAGCAGACGGTTTACCTGATGTTAAGTAAATACCGCCGCCCATGGACATCTGCCACACCCGAGGGTTACAGATGCGTTGACAACCTTTTGAAAATTGGGCTCCGGCTACCTCACTCACCAGACGAAACGCGAAAGTATTTGTCATACTGTCACTTTACGCTGGTCTTCTGTGAGGTCGTGGTACTTACCCGGACGGGCCTGCCCATTCGTGCAACAGCCGAGGCTGCTGCGTGGCCCTACCACCGTATAAACACGCAACATATTTTCACACTACTATAATTTATAATTAATAGTACACAGTATGATTGTTTGGTAATCTAGATAAGAAACTAGATTATCTAAATGTACTATATAATGCACTAGCTGCATTTCCTCGCTGATAAGTTATGCTTACTTAACCTTTGAGCGAGAAAAGAACCAGCTCACTTGTCACCGCGGCCGTAGCGTTAAGCCTAGAAAGTAGGACGTAAACCTTTAAAAAATTTCCTTGTACGGGGACCCCACGGACCCAGTACAGTTTTTAAAAACCTACGTAACAGGATATTTCATTACATAAAATTAGCAGTTACTATCATGTATAGTTGGCTTATTCAATGCACTACAAAATAAAAGGATTTGACTAGAGATGGGTCGTATCGCTTTTTCTGAGTACCGTATCTGAATCCGATTTCGATTTCAAATATCAGATTTTGAAACTATGTATTTTAATATCTAGATATTTATTTTACGGTCCCGTATCCACCTTGAATTCTAAAAAAAAAAAAATGTTTTCAATAATTATTTAGATTCCTCCGGGTTTAAATTTATTTATTATTTTTATATGTTTCGAATTTATTTACTCCTAAATAAATTCGAAAACCCACTAAAATTTTATAAATTCAAAAAACTTACTGAATTTAAAATCACGATTTTTTTATACTATTAAGGTAAAATTAAAACATTACCTGATTAAATTAAAAATTTCATAAAAAATACAAATTGAAGTAATATAAAAATGATTTATTTTAACATCTTATATATCGCTTAATAATTGACTTAAACATATTTTTAGAACACGCAATCATGAGTGACAATATTTTTATAATTTGTGTAAGAAATAATACATTTAGTATAACTTAGGGCTGAAGAATTTAAAATATACACACTTTATGTGCTTTATAAGCCTTGGTCTGATTTCCACCCAAGCAGCACAGCACTATTAAATTATATTTTTCTTTTTGTGTACTTTTCCAAAAATATGAATAAAATTCAACTAATAAAAATATTCACAAAAAATTTACCTCCTAAAAAATTTCCATTGTATATTTTTCTTCCTTAATTTAGGCAGAAAACTCTTAAGTAGTAAGTTGGCATCCCTTACTATTAAGTGCTAGGTACCAATGCAATCCAGCTCAAGGCTAAACAAAATTTAAAGACATCGTTAATACCGTAATTCGTATTTAAATGCAACAAAGTTTTTTTTCCATGCTGTTAAGATTCAAAATTACTTAACTGCGCGCTTTGTCGCCCGTTACGGCTCAAGGCTAAACAAAACAATAAAAATATAATAATATCATTGTAGTAATCGTTGATACCATGATTAGTATTTAATTGAAACGTATCTTATTTGTATGGCGTTAAGATTCAAAATTACTTAACTTATTCATAATATCTGTTTAAAAATCTGATATTGTGCCTTGCTTGCCATACTGCTCTAACTAGTGTAATATTTGTATCTCACGCGCTTTGTCACTCAAAATCTGATATCGTGCATTGCTTGCCGTCCCGCTCTAACTAGTGAGTATTTATATCTCACGCGCTTTCTCTCGAAATCTGTTTAAAAATCTGATATCGTGCATTGCTTGCCGTCCCGCTCTAACTAGTGAGTATTTGTATCTCACGCGCTTTGTCTCTTGAAATCTGTTTAAAAATCAGATATTGTGGCAAACGCGTATGATATCGCGATTCGTGTCGGTATAGCGAGCGAGCACGGTACATCAGATTTCGGAAATATCAGATATTGTAAAATACATAGATATTGAACGAGCCAGTAAGCGATATTCGGATATTGTACTAATATCTAGTTTTCATATCTGATACGATTTGTATCGCCCACTTCTAGATTTGACACTTTTTTGACGACTAAACGTCTAAAACGACCTCAAGGAGATATAATTATTATGAGACATATGATAAACTCGTGTAGATAATTGATAAGTTATAATATACCTTTGTAACTACATGTGCATTGAATTTTACCGAAATGAACACTATATTAAGAAATAGATGTGTGTCAGCATATCGTGCATTTACCACATCAACTGTTAGACAGTGTGCCGCACCGCCTAAGTCAAAACCGAAAAAGTTTGTGGGGCCAATAACATGGAAATCAATGGCAGTGACTGCTGTGGTCGGTGGGAGTTTAACTGCTTTTATGATGTATGTTAGAAAAGAGAAACAGGAGGCTCTGGAACGTGAAAGGAAACGTCAGCTGGGTAAAGCAAAGATAGGAGGTGAATTCGAACTTGTAGATCCAGAGGTAAGTTCTATTTACTAAAAACATCAATACTTATAGAATATTACAAAGTAAATCTTAAAGGGTATTTAAGAGAACTACATATGTGACACCCTATGTGACAGGTTCTTTACCGTTATAATATTTCTGATTTCAATCCTGCAAATGGTGTAATTGTTTACAATATTATGTATTTGGAGCTAAAATTTTTTACACATTTTTACAAACATTTTTAATCAATAGAGAAATGTCACTAGTGTCAAAATTTTAAAACTTATTATTTTCATAATGAAACTTCAAAACATAAATACACACTTTTTAAATTCTGATAAATAAATGGATACATCATGGAAATTGATAATAACTATCAATTTCCATGATCAAATACAAAAATTTTAAAATCTTTCTGTTTGATAGATTTTCATTTCTTTTTGGTTTTTATTTCACTTATTTGAGGTTGCACTTTACTTCGAACTGATTGATTAGATTTGATGTCATCAGGTCTTATCATAAATCAGAAAAAAGATTTTAATATTGAAATGGTTGATTAATTTTTGATTACATTATTTTATTATTAGAAATATTTAATAAGTTAATTCAGTTGACCAATACCTTGGTGTTGTCAACCTTTTTGGTACCATGCAATAAAGAGTAGGTTTGTTAAATAATTTTTTAATTAATATTTGAAAGTTGCATAAAAATAAATAAAATAATTTAAACACTATAAAAAAAAGAGTATATGTTGGATTAACTTTTATCTAAATTATATTCCATTTCTTATACTTTGAACTTAAAATACATTAACATTGCATGAACAAAACAACATTTTAATGTAGTTGTTCTTTTCTTTACTTTAAAGGGAAAAGTTGTTAAGAGCTCAGATTTATTAGGCAAATGGTTACTGATTTATTTTGGATTCACCCACTGCCCTGATATTTGCCCCGATGAATTGGAAAAACTAGCAGAAGTTGTTAAGATACATGGTAAGAATATTATAAATAGGTTTTCATTATATTTGAGCCGTGATAGCTCAGTGTCCGGGCGCTCGCCTTTAATTCAATATACTCGAGCAACCTGAGTTCGATCCCCAGTGCCGGCACCAATGAAGTTTTTAACTTTAAGTGCTGACTTATCACGTGCTCCGCGGTGAAGGAAAACATCGTGAGGAAACCTACATATTTTCGAAATAATAACAAAAAAAAATATATTTCGAAGATATGTGAAGTCCGCCAACCCGCAGTGGGGCCGCGTGGTGGACTATGCCCTGATACCCTCTCTATAGAAGAGGCCTTTGCCCAGCAGTGGGACATGTATAGGCTGTTACTTTACTACTTTCATTATATTTATAAAATTAAATTTTATATAAGATTGATACAATTAAGATTATGGTTATCATATTATAAATCTATTTATAATTATTGTAATTATTACTGTGTTTTTAAAAAATTGAATTTATTTTGCAGATAATACTCCACAATCTCCTCCCTTGCAGCCAGTTTTTATATCAGTCGATCCAAAACGGGATACCCCCGAAATAGTTGGCAAGTAAGTTTAATTAACTTTGATTTTTAGTATTTTACTTACTAGTGATGCATTTAATAGGAATACTAATAGATGTAAAAATACAATGAATGTATATGTAATTTTATATTATGTTTGAGTATAATCAATAAAACAGGTTATTTAAAATTCAGGCAGACATTACAGTGATACTTTAATAAACTCCATTTATTTTAATATATGTAAAAATAGAAACATACATACATACATATATTTATTTACATAAAATTTTACAATTTTAGGTACTGTAAGGAATTTTCACCACGGTTCCTTGGCCTCACAGGAACTGAGGAACAGGTACAAAAGGCATGCAAGTCATACCGTGTTTATTTCAGTGCAGGGCCCCAAGATGTTGACAATGACTACATTGTAAGTTTATTTATATATATATATTTGTTTATTGTTTATTTGGGTCAAAATTAGAAATTGAAATTTAAGCACCTTCCCGTTGTCAGATTGATCTGAAATTTGGTACACACATTTAATTTAGATGACAATACAATATTGTAGTTTTCAGTGTACAAAAAAAAAACAGAAAATAAAACCGTTTAACTTAAAAGTTTTTAAACGGTTTTATTTAAGGGTCAGTGTACGCGCGTCTTAAAAATTTCACCCTTAAAATTTTTCCAAATGCACCAAAAGAAGTATAAGTACAAAGCTTACAATGGATTTTACATTTATATTGATATTTTTTTTTAATGTGAATAAATGGCAAACGTGCTGGCGGTTCACCTGATGTTAAGTGATAGCCGGCGCCAATGGACATTAGCATCTCCCGTAGGGTTGCAGATGCATTGCCACCATTAAATAAAGTGGGCCTCGGCTACCTCACTCACCAGACGAAATGCAGAAGTGTAACACTTCAACATAAAAAAAATTATAGTGAGCACCTTATTGTTGTAGATTTAGTTTTCATTACAGTTTTTGTTTGTACTTGAAATCTCCCGATGGTTTTAACATTCCAGCCACTGAGCCATAATTATAATTACTTATTAAAATATGTAGAAAAAGTGCGAAAAGATTGTCGCCGTTGTGGGAATCGAACCCACGTCTTCGGCATTCGCGGCCTGACGCTCTAGCCACTGAGCTAAACGGCTGATTGCCACACCGACGAAAATCTTAACGCATTCTACATTCTACATATTTTAATGTTCAATCTTAAGTGCAAAGATTAGCACTATAAACAATTTAAAATTTCTATAATTACTTATTTTAATAAAATTAAATTGCTTCAGGTGGACCACACAATAATAATCTACCTGGTGGATCCAGATGGAGAATTTGTTGATTATTATGGTCAGAATAGAACTGCAACAGATATTCACAACTCAATGCTTGTTAATATCCAAAAGCATGAATCGCTAAAGAAGAAGACGTGGTTTTAATTTTTGTTAAAGCATTTACCTTTAAGACTAAACTAGCTAAAATAGTTGTAATTAATTTTTACTATGCTGTGAAATAAATTATTTGAGATGTTATATGATTTTTAAATAAATATTGCATCCTGCAAGTATTTGATTGCAAAATATATCTATAATTAAAATATTGCAAAATGGACGGAGCAGGTATGTAATGATGTGGTACTTATAAAAGGTATGATACTGTTGATACTTTATTGCTCATACAAAGAAGTTTGGTGAAGATTTTATAATGGATAGAGTGAAACCAAAAATGACTAAATAATAATATATATTAAATACTCAATTACTCAATTCTATAATGGACAAAAAATATATATTTACATTGTCATTAAAACATTACTGTAATGAAAATTACATTATGATTATCTTAAAAGTTTGCCGTCATCTTACTACTGGTTATTTTGCTTATGGTCAATTGCCTACGAGACCTGTGAATCTGGACGAGGCTCTGGTCCAACTGGTAGAGTTTGACGGTGGCGCCCTCTAACATCGCATTGGAGGATATACTGACGCCGCCTTCATTTACCGTTACGTAGTTGCCGAAATTGACGCCGTCCGTGCTCGCGCACACGTCACCATTCCGGTATTCCCCGTCAGCCACAACGTTCTCCACCACCACTTCCGTTTTCTCTTCGCCTTCGTCCTGCAGTACCACTTCTTCGGTCACCTCTAGGGGCAAGTCTTGAGCGTGGACAGAATTCGGACCACTAACCGACTCGCATCTGGAAGTTCCGTTGGATTCTTCAGCAATCTCGGCTGCGTTTCTCTTCTCCGTACCATCGGAGAAAGTCACGTTGTCGGCGACAGCGCAAATCCCCTCGGTATCTGCCAGTTGTCGCACTACGAACACCTCACGTTTATTGGTCTGCCTCCGTTGCTTTTGATGTGTCTTGAAATGCTTCATCAGTTGCGATTTCGTTGCGAATTTGTCCGTGCAGTGCGCGCACTCGAATGGCTTTTCACCTGCAAATAAAAGCAAATTAAGGAAACTAGGGTGCGTTGGTGCAAATAGTATCGGAGGCCAAAACCCACTTCGGGTCGCTGAGCCAGCGGAGTTAGTTTTGTTTTTTTTTTAAGGAAACTAAAAATATTTTTCTATTTCATGAAACAAAGTCAAAAATATGTATTACCATTTCCTTTATCATTTTCATCATGTTTCTATAAGCATTGTTCTTAGAGTAAAATAAGTTATTACGGTACTATATAGTATCGTAATATAATTGCTTATTTAAAAAAAGTGCAAGACTCAATTCAAATGTTAGATAATATAATGTATGGTAAAGCGCAGGGGGTAATAATAACAAACTAAACGGTAAACCCAAAAAGTTAGTTTTTGTTAAGAGAGTGTATTATATTGAGTGATTGTACGCAATAAACGAGAATGAGAAGAGTGACTAAACGGCAATGTAGGAATGAATTTAAATAAACGGGTGAATGAAATCACTGAATGAACGGAAATGGAAGATGGGTGAGTGATAATGGATTAGTGAACGTAAAGAATGAGCGAGTGACATTGGATGAGTTAACGAGTGATAAGTGTGTGAATGAGTGAATGTGCTGAACGATAACGGACCGGTGTGCAAGCGGCAGTGCTCTCGCAGGCGCCAGGCGCTCGCGAAGCGCTTGCTGCAGACGGAGCACTCGTGCGGCCGCTCGCCCGTGTGCCGCGCCATGTGCGCCCGCATGTTCACCCGCGCGAACCTTAGTCGTAGTCCGTTTGAGAAGCCGGTTTCAATATTCAATCCGCAGATTGGTTTGGTTATTAGAGATAGAATTTTGACGTGAGTATTATGGAGCTGATGTCGAATGTCTATCGATAGTAACCAAATCTATTCGAAGATAGAATTGTCCAGTTTGTGCATAGGCGTATATAGCGGGGGGGCCGGGAGGGCCGTGCCCACCCCAGTATGGTCTAGAGCCCGCCTCAGGATTTTGGGTTACCGATTACAAATTCTAGGCTGGACGCCTATCCTTCATCGCCAAAACCAGATTGAAGCCGAGCGAGGCGAATTTTCTCTACTATAATATGCATATATACTACATGTAAACTCTCCACTTGAATAATATCTATTGCTGAAAATTGCATTAAAATTCGTTGCGTTGTTTAACAGTACTACAGTGTTAGATTTTTTTTGTAGTAAGGGCCCACCCTGAAAAATAGCCCTAGATACGCCAATGAGTTTATTCGAGCTCTTATCGCCGTCTCAGTTAACGAGTAACATTCCTACTAACAATATGTTTATAATTCACCTCTATACAGCGTGTCGTTACAACCGCGACAATAAATGAACACACATATAGAGGATAACTTTTCAAAATTGTATTAAGCATGCACATTCTTTAAACATCAATATTTACCGAGTTGTTACAATTTACACATACATCACAACATTTACAAACAAACATTTTTAGAACATCCTTACGTATAAAATTGTAACGTAAAGTTCATTTGTAAAGGTCACAACGCATATGAATGGGTTGAATGTATTTAAAAGAGATAAAACATACTGTTAGAAGGAGAGACTTGTAATGCGACGTTGTGGCAACGAATGAAAACGTCTCTGAATGTATGAATCAGTCAGTTGTAGTTGTATAAGGCTGTTACAAATTTTGTTTCTTTTTTATTGAATTAGTTTGTTTGAAATATATTTTTTTTAATTATGAAGTTTTTTAACGTTTTGTATTTTTTATGATTATTGGCAAGTAGTGTTCATTCATTGACGTGTGTTCATTTATTGATGCGGTTGTAACGACACGCTGTATATGCGGAAGAAAAAGAACTAGGTAATTTTGGCGCAAGCAAAAAAAAACATAACATACTATGTATTGTTATATAAGGTTAAATCAGTTAATCTCAGTCTCAACTACAATGAATAAAAATTTGGCATCTTTTTAAATTGACGACCCGGCATTTCATTCATTGGCGTATTGGACACTGAACCGACCTCTTGTACCGTAGGGTGTGGGTTCGATATGTGGTAGATTTTTTGTTGACGTTCAATAAACGCTTAAGTTAAGCTTATATTGAATAAATATACTTTGACTTGATCTAATATTTACAAGATTAAATCTATCTAGAATTATATATTATCTAATAAACCTAATCCACGCGGCATGGTGCCAAGAACGCTAGCTATATTTCCTCGCTGAGTAGTTATGCTTAACCTTTGAGCGAGAAAAGAACCAGCTCTCTTGTCACCAGCCGCGGCGTTAAGCCTAGGACATAAATTTTAAAAAAAATTTGATGTGCGACGACCCCACGGACCTAATGTTTCAACAGCAAATGGCACAAATACATAATCTAAACATAAAGACTCATAATTGCGCCATTTACTTACTTCAGCTGCCTCCGATGCCGCCCCGGCCCTGACCGAAGTACCTTAGATGAGAGGCAGCCAAAGTGTCTACACAAGTGGCGTCCCAAACAAGGGCTTTGCCTCTCTCCCAAGGGATCAATGTTAAACCGTCGGGTCTCTTACCATCGTCGCAAAAAATTCCACAAGGCTCTAAAATAGATGGAAACAAGAGCTCTACGGATGATGTCGTTCAGGGAACCGTGGCGGGAAAAACGGCCAGCACTATTTGACAAGAAAGCCAGTGGAGACCAAATTTGTCTACACTGACACCACAAGGGCATTGGCGTGGTTGACAAATCGGTGCCCCCAGACGGATTCCTACAGCAATGCGTAAGCTTTCATCGTCAAGTAATGTGCCCAAGTTACTTGATGGTAAACCGTGAAGCCAATAACTCGATTCTTTAGATGAGACGCCTAGGAAACGGGCACGCTCTAAATTACTTTCTAAAGAATGAAACGTATCTCTCTCTTTGACTTTGATATCGACTAACATGGAAAAAAATAAATAACTGGCCATAAATGACCTTATGGGTATTGAAACATAGCTAATATTAATTATGACAAGGATATACATTATATAGCTATAGACAAAATGGTTTGAATTACCTCTTTCCACAAACCGAACACGAGTAAGGCTTGTCACCGGTATGGGTCCTCGTGTGGTTCTTAAGCGAGGAACTTGACGTGAAACTGCGGTCGCAGAGTTTACACGAATACGGCCTCTCCCCTGAACGTAAGAAGATTCAACATTTCATATCTTAAAAATGTGAGCACAAGCCAGATCTATACTGGAGTATAGATTTTGATTGCAGGTAACTCATTTTATTGCCTCCTTGACAGTGAAAACAGTAGTGGGGTTTTGTTACTACTCTAAAAAAACAGTCATTCATTAATTTTATACATGAAAAGTTGGCAAAGCGAGCAAGCGTTGAAATCATTACCGCTTCCCATATACATATATGAAAAGGTTGCAGATATAAGGTGTGTAACGATCAAAGGTCATCCCTCAACTGACGTCCGGCTTCTGCAGAAGTTAACTTATCAGCTGTCAAATGGTTTTTCAAATGTTATTTGAGTAGCCAAAAGGATTGTCTCTCTGAACTGTTCAGAATGATCTTCCTAATGATCAGAACGATCAATTCAAAGAGTTTAACAATCTTAAACGGCCACGCAGCAGCCTCGGCTGTTGCACGAATGGGCAGGCTCGCACGGATAAGTACCACGACCTCACAGAAGACCGGCGTAAAGTGGAAGTATAATACTTTCGCGTTTCGTCTGGTGAGTGAGGTAGCCGGAGCCCAATTTTCAAAAGCTTGTCAACGCATCTGCAAACCCTCGGGTGTGGCAGATGTCCATGGGCGGTGGTATTCACTTAACATCAGGTGAAGCACCCGCTCGCTTGGCAACTTTTCACATAAAAAAATCCTTTTGACAACTCAGGTAACAATTGAAAGACCATTTAAAAGCTGATTACTTAACTTCCACTATGATCAGTGTTTCAGAAACAAAGTACAACTACTACTACTATTACTACTACTATACTCAAACTGTTCTTGGTGATCCTGATTTGAATCACTCACCGGTGTGCGTCCTCATGTGCAACACGAGATTGGACCTCTGGATGAAGGACTTGCCGCACGACGCGCAAATATATGGCTTCTCACCAGTGTGGGTGCGATGGTGGGTGTTCCGCGTCGACTCGTGGCGGAAACTGGGTAAGGTATTAAAGCGTACATAGTCGTACGGGGTGGTTATAACCGTCACAATTGTAATGCAACCTTAAACCTTACATTTACCTAAAAACACTTAAAGGAAGGATTATTAGTGAATTGAGGATAGTATTAGCTATTGGCCTAAAGTATGGCCTTAGTAACGTATAGGTTTTGAACATTACTAAGGAATCTACGGTTTACCATGATAGCTCAATGTGACTCAATGTGTGCTCGCCTTGAATTCAGTATACTCGAGCAACCTGACTTCGTTACCCGGTAACCACCGGCACCAATGTAATTGTTAATTTTAAGTGCTGACATATTATCACGTGCCGGGCGGTGATAGAAAACATCGTTAGGAATCATGCATATTTTCGAAAAAATGACAAATATATTTCGAAGATATGTGATGTTCGCCAATCCGCAGTGGGGTCGAGTGGTGGACTATGCCTTGATACCCTCTGTACAGAGGAGGCCTTTGTTCAGCAGTGGGACATGTATAAGCTGTTACTTTACTTTTTATAGGTTACTTAGATGGTTACAGTTATATAATAGTGGCAGTATTGTTGTGTGTTTGTGTGACAAACGAGTAAACATTTCCGCAGATCGAAGATGACGCCGAAAATGGATGTATGACACGTTCCCGCTAAAATGGGATCAAATCAGGCGCACAGCAAATTGATCCCACAAGATAACTGAGGAATTCTCAAGAGATGTGTTTTGTTACACTGTCAAACGAACAAGCGGTTCACCTGACGATAAGGGGGTTTACCTAAAGATGAAGCACATCTACACTACACTTGGAGTATAAAATGGCCGACAGTTACCTCACATAACAGAAGAATAGCAACGCCGATCTTCCGTGAGGCCACGGGACTTCCCCGGACGAGCCAGGCCATTTGTGCAATACCTTGGAAGCTGGTGCGTGACTCTTTGTAAGAAGCTGGCAAGCGAGCTGGTGGTTCACCTGATGTTAAATGATATCCGCCACCCATGGACATTGGCAACCCATAAGGTCAGCGTTGCCAACTTTTAATAACCTGAGCCGGTTATCTCGTATATGCCAGCTCGTGGTACTTTCAGGGACCTGCCGATTCGTGCAACAGCGAAGACTGTTTCGTGGCCCTACCACGTTGGGCCTGTGGAATAAGCTAACGGGTGGAGGAGGCCTATGTTAAGCGGTGGACGAAATGAGTCAGTTGCTTAATTCAAAAAAAAACTGAAAAGGAATGTTTGTTTGTTAAGGTCATCGTAATATTACTGATCGTTTAAATAACAACACAATTTGGTAATGAATTGAACGTTCCAGGCTCTTTCACTGGACTCTAATATATTGAAAACCTGTTTTTTTGCTGTAATGGTAAAAATAAATGTCCTACCGTGTTACTGTCGCCGCGCCGGTTCTTGCCAGGCCAGTGACTTTTTTCCGAATAAGTAGGTGTAATGCTTATATAATGAATAAGCTCGCTTAGTTGGCGTCTGGGCGCGAAACCAGAAAATGCAGGTTGAAAGTTTTTGTTCATTTATATACAAAAGCTAGCTGACCCGCGCAACTTCGTCTGCTCTAAATCTACCGGGTCCATACGTTTTGTCTTTTAACATAGCGCCATCTATAAGATAATTACTCAATCCAGCCGATAAATTTACCTTACACCGCCGTCTGTTAGAATCTTATGGAACTCACAGATACTTATAACTCTTTGTACATTTAATAAACAAATAAGTTGCAATAAAATAATATTGACACTATAAATGGAGATGTAAGCTATCCTATCTTTCAAGTTGGATCAAACTGTACACGGTGTGCAAATTTGATTAAAATCGGTTAAGTAGTTTAGGAGACCATCGAGGGCAAACAACGTGACACGTAATTTATATACATTAAGATTTATAATTTGAATAAAGATGTTGGAGTTTGAAATGTTGATGGTGAAACTTACGTCTTGTCGCAGTACCGGCAGGCGTAAGGTTTACTGTCGGAGTGCACTAGCCGGTGCGAGGTGAGCAAACGCTGGGATGGGAAAGTCTTCCCGCAGGATGAACACACGCAGGGTCGGATGCCGTTGTGCTGGCCCACGTGGGCGGCTAGGAGCGTTCGCGAACTGTACCTTTGACAGTGCGAGAGCGAAAATCAAAGCTAAAGAGGTGTCCCGCGCGACAACAATGTACGAAAACATAATGCTAACATATACAAGTAAAACAAAACGGACTTCCTTTATTTTATTATTTAAACACGTTCTGCTGTAATAACGAACAATGACTTAACACCATTAGGCATGTTTGAAGCCGAGCGAGGCGAAGTTTTCTCTACTATAATATGCATATATACTACATGTAAACCCTCCACTTAAATAATATCTAATAATGCTGAAAATCGCGTTAAAATTCGTTGCGTTGTTTAACAGTTCTAGTGTTAGAATTTTTTTGTAGGAAGGGCCCAGGCCCACCCTGAAAAATGGCCCCTAAATACGGCAATGAGTTTGTGCTTGATTCGAGCTCTTATCGCCGTCTCAGTTAACGCATAACATTCCTACTAACAATATGTTTATAATTCACCTCTATACAGCGTGTCGTTACAACCGCGACAATAAATGAACACACATATAGAGGATAACATTTCAAAATTGTATTAAGCATGTACATTCTTTAAACATCAATATTTACCAAGTTGTTACATTTTACACATACATCACAACATTTACAAACAAACATTTTTAGAACATCCTTACGTATAAAACTGTAACGTAAAATTCATTTGTAAAGGTCACAAAGCATATGAATGGGTTGAATGAATTTAAGAGATAAAATATACTGTTAGAAGGAGAGACTTGTAATGCGACGTTGTGGCAATGAATGAAAGTCTCTGAATGTATGAATCAGTCGGTTGTAGTTGTATAGGGATGTTACAAATTTTGTTTCTTTTTTACTTAATTAGTTCGTTTGAATAATTTTTTTAATTATGGATTTTTTAACGTTAATATTTTTTATCATTATTGGAAAGTAGCGTTAGACGTGTGTTCATTTATTGTCGCGGTGTTAACGACATGCTGTATATAGAGAGACTAGCACTAAAAATAAAAATTAATCCTAAAATTTAAAAGTCATAATTTAAGACTCTCATTACAAATGTTCTTCGCAAGGTATCAAAGAAAGGCGCAAGCATGGTGTAAAGGATGCTTAAAGGATGCTTAATGGATGCGCCAAGCATTGTTAAAAATGCAATAAAAATAACACTAGAGTACACGCGTGGGCTACATAATATGTAGCCCAGGGTATTGTTTTTGTTCATAACTTCGTGAAATCACGTGATTTAATTTCGAGTCTCCAGCTAAGCTCCAATTAGTTGTTGTTCGACGCATTGAGTGCGGTGTGAGTGATCGATGCTGGCGCACGTGCGAAAAATAACGATTTAAAGTTGTTGGGCTACGTATGTACCCCACGCGTGCACTGGTGGAACTTCTTAGGAACGAAATATTTTTTAAATTGATGTAAGTATTTATATTTTCTTATTAATTTTTGTATTATATATTATATTGATTTACTGTAAACTTACTGTTTGTTGGTATTTTCTTTCAGATTGCTAAATATGGATCGCAGAATGGAAGAAAACGTGTTGAAATGGCTAGAAGAGGAGTTAGATTAGGAAGATTTGATTGGAAGCGAACAGAAAGAGGATTTGAGAGAAGAAGAAAATATAATACATTTTCCGCACGACACTGATGCCGAGCAAAAAGATCAGACTGATGAAAATGGTGACAATGCTGAACAAAACAACAGTGATTCGGACAACGGTATGCCACTCGCAGAATTAGCCACTTATAATCTCGATATGAAATGGAATGGGGGAAACGACCATTTCCTACAACAAGGGTACATTCTCATAATATTATACGAAGATATTTAGGACCAAAAGGTACAGCTTCTAATGCCTGTACACCCCTTCAATGTTTGTAGTTATATATATATATATATATTTGTACAATTTACCACATATGTATATATATATATAAAGATAGAATTCATACAATACATAGATATATATAAAGAATAAATACCAAATAGAACGCGATACGCGCCTACGACTCTAACTGAATTGAAAGCGTTTGTTGCTCTACTATAGTTATCGGTGTCAATAGATCAGGACGTCAAAACTTGTTCGAAATGCTACGGGCGTATATGTGATTATCACCATTTTGTCATGCGTGTAATGTAAATAAAAAAAATTAAAAAAAATGTAAGAACTAAACCAAAAGTTCATTGATCACAAATAACTAAAAATTATGTGTAATTTTTTGAAAAGTGAAGTTTTGTTAAAAATTTTAAGTTTAAGATAGGTCAGATATTTCTTTTTATTTCAGTTTACTTAATAAATGTCATTTATAATAATAAATGTGTTTTATTTAAAAATTAAACTATTATCTTTCAGTATATTTCAATTTAAAAATGGGCTACAAGTGAAGCCCACGCGACCACTCATGAACGTTTTAGAGGCGCGTGTACCGTAGTGTTAACGTAGATAGTCTAGATAGATGTGGAGATTTTCACGCTGTGAAGGGATTGTCATCGACCCCTTAGCTTCCTTATTTGGTAAAGCGTCTGGGAGCCGGAAGACGCAAGTTCGAATCCCGTAACGCCGACAGTGCTTGTTAATTTATCTATCAAAATTAACAATTTAAAGTTACATCAGTTAAATAAAGATAATAGTCGAGTCGTAATTTTGGCATACCGACATCATTCACCGAATTGGTAGTATAATAATCTGTAAATAAATATTCTTCAATTAAAGGTATGTACGAGTAGGTATCTTATTGTGAAGAACAGTCCACTTTGCTATTATTTATTTAAACAAAGTGTCAACACTCAACATACAACATTATCATACACGCCTTATAAGACAATAGTATTCAACGAAGTTTTTTATGAAAAAATTAACTTTACTCCACTTGTGTCGTCATTAGCGGGCAGCGGCAAACGTAGTTCTAAAATGGTGTTTGATCATTCAAGTTTATGCAAAATTATGGAAGTTATGGCGTACCGACAAAATCATCTTTGAGAAATGAATACGTGGTGGCTTTTCTAAGTGTATCCAATTTTTTTATTAAATTCTAGAATAATGTTATATAAAAAATGATAAACATATAAAATCACTCTTAAGTAATTAACTACATTCATTTGAACTTAACTCAAAAAGTGCGTGATTTATAGGCAACTCATTTATTTTACGCGCGATCATTCATAACTAACACGCACACAAGTTCGTGCGCAGTAAAATTTAGGTATTTATGAATGGCTACCGCATTGTTAACACGTTGTGTTTTTTAGGGAATAGAATGGCACTTTTTTTGGAAAAAAAAACTTTGTTTTTTATTTCAATAAACGATTATACTACCGAGTCTGAACCTCCTGTGTAAATTTGGGCACTTCACAAAAAATCAACCTGTATATAGAGATATAAAGCAACTTCAATCAGGTCTAGTAACTAAGAGCTAAATAAGCCAATATTGTATAATTTTGACTTTGATAAACAAGGACGTTTAGTTCATTGAGGTGCAAAGGAAGGGCCCCGGGGGCGTACCTCTTCTCGCAAAGATGGCACTCGTGACGCTTGTCCGGCAGCTGGCCCGTGTGTACGCGCTCGTGGCGGCGCAACGCGTACAGCTCCGAGAACGGCTTACCACAGACGGCGCACGTGTGCCGCTTCGCCTCCATGTGGCGCTGGATGTGGCGCCGGAAGCGGGCTTTGTCTGGAACGCCCCGATGGGTTGGGAGAGGCGTGGACTACTCACCCTATACAGCGTGTCGTTAAAACCGCGACAATGAATGAACACACGTCTAACGTTTTTTTTATGATTATTGGCAAGTAATGCCGTGTAATGTAAATTCATTCAACCCATTCATATGCTTTGCGAACTTTACGTTACAGTTTTATACGTAAGGCTGTTCTAAAAATGTTTGTTTTGTAAAATTTAATAACTCTGTAAATATTGATGTTTAAAGAATGTAAATGCTTAATACATTTTTAAAAAGTTATCCTCTGTGTGTTCCTTTATTGTCGCGGTTGTAACGACACGCTGTATATGACATCACTGTGTATGACTTAAGTAATAGGCTTGTCGGAGAGCCCATTCTGTAGATTATGCGTTTATGACGAGGAAACATCGCTTCACATAATTTGTTAAAGCGACGCCCTGATCAATATTAGGAGTCGAGAACCCCAGCTCTCGACCCAGAGCCCAAGTCCGCAACCAAGGTAGCTTCAACTCTTAGCCCCCTCACTGACCGTCAATTTCGTTAGGGTTTTTGGCTTGGAGAGTAAAGAGTAGTATAGGTAGTATAAGACGCAGTGGTCTTTGGGACTTACTACCCCAACCATTTCCACACAAATCATAATCGTAATAATACGTCTCACCAGTGAATGCTATATTAAATTACCCTTAAATTGTCTGTTATTTAAGACAATTTAAGTGTATACTTGCAGAACACTTGAAGTACTAAGGTATCATTGAACAAATATTATAAAGTTAACATAACATTGTAAGAATAACAACTTGATTATTGTAACGATTAACGAACAATGTGCAACTGGCGTCATCCATCTGAGCGTGACGGTTCACTTCCGTTGATTCTTCAGAAAAACATGCCTATATTTTCATTTTGGAAACCACTAAAATAATTCAGAATAGAGAAATGACAATCCAAACACAACGCACACTCGGAAAAGGAGCGACTCTGTGAATCGCTTTGACCGTGAGGATCAAGGTAACGCTTGCATTGGCAATTGGTTTGGTAACCACAACAAACCATTCTGGTAGACAGGCTACAACAAGGACCTAATTCAAACCAGTTACCGGTTGTATTGGCTGTAGGCTACTTAGGCTGCTGATTAAATGACCTGACAAAACTGACCTTAGACAGTTTAGGTTACTTCCAACTTACAATGAAATAGTTGACAAATGTCGAAGTTGACTTTGAATAACCAACAATCCATGATATGTAATAAGATTCATAAGACATATGTATTTTTGTCACTGTAAAGCTTTACTTAGTTGCCAGGACTAAGAACATTGGCAAAATTTTCAACACAAGGTAGTTAGTGCAAATAACAAGTAATTGTACAGTAGGGAAATAGAGCTTTTTGTGATATAAACATACTTTATGGGAGTAAGAGTAGCATATAAATATATAAAAGGCCATTCAGCCTTTTATATGGCCTTTTATATATTATACTAATTGTTTAAAAGTCAGAACATTATTACAACTAATTATTATACAGATCACTAACAAAAGCAGCTAGAATTAATATTATATACCTACTATAATATGAGATATACACATCAGATATTAAACAAGTTTTGAACAAATGTAAAAGAATTTAAAGAAAAGCCAATTTTAAATAAATAAATTTCAGAATGTGTCCTGAATCCTACAGTGTTTTTTAGTCCCAAATTAAATAATGCTTGTACTATGGGTACTTGTTACCTGATAAACTTACTTTTCTTTTGTAAATAAATATATCACATTATAAATATATAAACATCCAGACATTGGAAAAACACTGTTCATAACACAATATTTTTCCAGTAGTGGAGATTGAATCCACACCCTGTCGAGCAGTTGGCAGGCCCATTGGGCCAATCGGGTCATCAATGTCACCTTGAAAGTCCTTGTTGCATTTGTTGCATGTCCACCTGTCGCTAACGGTATGCAAAGCCGAATGTATGTTCAGGTCATGTTCAGAACTGAAGGTCTTTTTGCACTTGACACATGAATGAGGCCGATCTGTAGGTCCATGCTCGCTCCTAATATGCGCTTTCATCATTTTCACCTTTAGAAATTTCTACAAAACACAACCAGAATTATTGTCCTTGATAAAAAAATGATTATTAAACAGAACAGATTAATAAAATAAACAATTAGTTTTATTTACCTTAGGACAAATTGAACATGAATATAATTTTTTTCTTTCTTTGGCTAGTTTATGTTTCCTCCTTGGTGAAGTCCTATATGAAATATCTTTTGAATCTACAAATAACATTTCAACTTATATGAAAAAATCACATTGTGATTAAGAGATTTACATTATCAAATGCAATCTTACCTATAATTGCAAAGCTTGCCATATTCCTATAAAACATAAAATTTATAATATTACAATAGCTCTTTATATTACATCATAATAAATAAACCCAAAAAGTACTACCTAGACTGTTCCTCTGCTTTTATTATACCTAAACCATAATTCTCTATATTAAAGTCAATTTCATCTAAATACTCGACATCTGAAAAAGTAAAATGAATAGCCCTGTAATAATTATATATTAATAGCATTAATGTTTTTTAAGCCTAAAGGGGTATTAGTACAAATATGGCAATCCTGCATTTGTGAAACATTGTTATGTATATTTTATATAAGCAGATAAAATAAATGTCATAGGCAGTAGACTACCAATGCCCTAAAATTTAATATAAAACTTGTTATTTATAGACTTATTTCAGTATACATAATAAATTATGAGCATAATCAATTTATTAAAATAAGCAACTATAATCAATAATAAGTTAAACAAATATTTTGACTCTGTTTTCTCTTTTCTTATTATCTGTTGAGAGTTTAGGTATAATGCCATCAGAAAGACCCAACCATGTCATACCTTCTTGTTCGTCCATTTCATCTTTTGTAATTTCCTCACCATTACTTTCAATTTCTATTTTTGTCAACAGTGACATGGGACTGAAAAGCAAGAAAGAAAAAGAGGCTGAAAAGCACTTTATAGATTATTAATGATGTTTACAATAGACATTTAATTTGTTTTACTATACCTGTATGTATAATTATTTTGATGATTTGAATTATTTAGTACAACAGAAAAAAGTAAAATACCATAATCCATTTTACATTTATATTGATTGTATTATTCTTATATTCTTAATTCTTACAAATAATTTTCGAAACCCAATGTGTAATATTAAAAAAATGTTTAAGCTTTACCTCTTTACATCTATTTCTTTAGTTACTATTTCATTAAGTAAACTGTTTAATATATTATCAGATCTTTGGCATTTGATTTTAAAATTATAGCAGAATACTAAGTCATTTTTGCAAAGTTGACATATTTGCAGTGAAGCTTGGCTTTTATTGCACAGCTGAAATTGAAAATTAAAGTAATTATTAACAATAACAATAATTACTTGATTAATTATTTTGTTCCATTCTTGTAACAGAAAAGGTTGAATTACATACTCATGAAAGCAATTAACACCTTGGCTCAGTTTTCCATTAATGTCCGATGAGTTACATTATTACAATCACACGCAAAGTTTCAACATGCAGAAATGCAGTTTTTTTGGGAAAAAAAGTTGAAATATTAAACAACTACCGAATTTGGCTTAGCTTTAGAATGATATGTGTCGAGTTGGGGATTGATAATTTAATTACACAAAGCTTACATTATTATAAGCATGCACGCAGTTTCAACATGCGGATATGAGTAGTTTTTGAGAAAAAAAAATTAAAAACCACTGAATTTTGCCATATTATTTGCAATTTCCAATTTGAACATTATTTGCTTATACCGCATGCCATAACACATTTAGGCATTGTTGCAAATTCATTTTATTTAATGTTGAACAAGAATAACTATAACACACTCACACTTTTACTGACATTCCTTGTTTTTCCCCTGTCGTCTTCAAATAAAATAGGTTGGGTTCAAGTTCTATCAAATAACTAAATTAATTAACCTGACTCCACCTGGTACAAGTCTGTTCTATCCTTAGATTATTTTAAAAGCCAGGGCTAGGGGGAGATTAGCCTTAGCCCAGTGCAGTGCGGCCGAGACTAGGCAATACAGGCGACCAACAAGCCGAAGCTACAGACGCGAGGACGGATCCCTGCGATTTGTTAAGGAAGAGTGTAAAGGCAGCATTTGCCGAGGTTGCTGCAGTCTCAAAATAGATACAGAAATTTCTCTAAATCAGTAACCCTATTTTTTTCTGATTAGGGTGGAACAACTTCCCATCCAAGAAGTTCCTCTTATTTTTACCACTTATTATAAATTTTAATCTATGAAATGAGGAATCCATCCATCCTTTTAAGGGGGCTAATGCCCTACCTCCCCCCTCCCGATTCTTCAATTCGACTAACGTCAATGGAAACTCGTACCAAGACCTTTATTATCGAACCACATTACCTTTAATATCAAACTATTCATAAATTGCATAGTAAATCATGGTTGACTGGTTGCCACTGTTACTCATTTGAATTATGTTTAAAAAATAAAAAAAACCTCGAAAACAACATGAATACTTACTTTTATAGCTGTAACATCGAAATACATTTCAGAAATTTCTGCATAGAGATCTGATGATGTTGATATTAAACTGTTTTTTGACAATAAACATATACTACACAATTTCTGAACATTGAAACCGCTACCATTTGTATTCTTGTCAGGAATATCTTCAATGAGATTTGTAAAATTTTTATGTTCTTCAAGAGAAATATCTTTCCCAGTAACATCTGACTTAATATTTATGCTTTCAGCATCCTCCCTCGTATAAGTTTTTAAGATTACTGAATTCATTTTTTTTAATTTAATCAATGCCTTTTGGTAAAATATTATGATAAAATATAAATCAAAACTGACAAAATTTTCACTATAATAAATTAAATTATTAAATTATATACATTAATAACATATGAATATTATATGGCCAATGATGTTTTGTTATAGGGTTGACAGATGTTTATTTATATTTGACGTTTCGTCAGTTCCGTTTAGACCAATATTTTGTCTTTACAACAATATAATATGTATATTAAAATGAACATATTTTGTTAACTCTCACTGGAAAAAAATATTTATTAGGTTCAAGATAATATAATTAAAACGTATAATACTTGCAGTATAAAATCTCTTTGCAAGGATCTTTAATTGTAGTTGATTTTTTTTTAATTTTTATGTAAAGCGAAATGGTGAATAAAATTTGACCTTATTTGTGTAGGATTTGTTCTGCATGCAATTGTTTATTTACTATCTGAATTCGAATCAATCATTACCCAATCAAATTATAAATTAATGTATTTCAGTATCCATTGCCGTATCAATCTATCTTCAATGACATGTGGCGGGCAATTGTACGTGAAAGGTGTAAATATTATAGTCTAATTAACCTTTTATTCCTACGAAACCTTGGTTCTTTAGATATAGATGTTATCACAAAAAGACTACATCTCCCTTGTATCTTGTATCAACTGATGTTTTTGCTTTCAGTCCCGAGACTATTAAAGCTTCATTGGACGCAGAACCGGTGGACTAGCCAGAACCCACGAGTTTGGGCCCTCGGCTGTGGGTAGGGCCGCGCATGTGCTCATGCGTGCGTTTAACTACCACATGTCATCTAAGGGCCATCGAAGTTGCGGTGCGGACCGAGACCCCGATGGCCGTCGACTGTGTTTTTAGCTAATCGGTGGCTGGGGGCGGTGAGAACCACCTTGAGACTACATCTATTATCATTAGGCTCAGACTAGGCCATGTGTGTTCACCTGTGTTTCTAGTTAAACTGCATATCTGAAATCCGAATACTTTGTGTGAATGCGGGTTAGATGAGGGTACTCTTGATCATTTTTTCTTTAGCTGTCCTATGTTATCAATCCCTTTATATGACCTACTCGCACCCACTATTGCACGTTCTGTGATTGTTAGTTCGCTGGCACGTCAGCGTCACGCGTTGTCGAATCGGTGTCAGGCGCCAGCGTCAGCGCGAGAAATAAAATGTTATTATACACATATATACCGCTTCCGACTTTGGCGATAAAAACCCTAGCCGTTCGCAAACTACAAATCTATAAAATACTATCCCAAAAAACGAATCACAGTTATAACTAATTAACTAATTAATAACTAACTAATTATCTAAAAATTAAGAGTTATAATTTTAATTTGCAACTCTAAAAAAATGTATTAATCTTAAAAAACTGTGAAGAAAACTGATATGTTTTAATGAAATATTTATTTGACTAAAACCCTTTAACTGTACACCCCTTTTAACAATGTTGAAATAAACTAGATTAAATATCCTTTCTAATAATACCAGAATCATTTTAAAACTTATTTACCATCACAAAGAAAAACTTAAAAGAAGTGAGCTACTCCCCGCTAGGTAAGATGCGACCATTTAAGGCCTCATACAAACGAAGTTTGAAAATTAAACAAAATATTTTTCAGAGTAATTTTTAATGGCTACTTACAAAATTACACTTGTTATAAGTTATTATTAGATATTTTAAACTTAAATTGTAGTACGACCACGCAACAGTCTTCACAATTGTACGAATGGTCAGGTCCGTTCGAGAAATAAGACCGGCCTGAAGTGGCTGTGGAAGTGTAATACTTTTGCGTTTTGCCTAGTGAGGGAGCCGGGGCCCACATTATTTTAAATGCGTGGTATCTGTAATCCCGCGGGTGTTGCAAATGTCTATGGGCGGAGGTGTTCACTCAACATCAGGTGAACCGCCGTGCCCCTTTGCTACCTTCTGGCATAAAAAAATAAATAAATAAGAAAAATGATAGAACAAGGTAAGTAAAGAATAAACTCTTCAGAGGTCTCGGCATCACCTCATCCTCTTCCTCGTCCTATTGGACGACCATGCCCGCAACTTTTTTCTTTCACTAAAATTAATGTTTACACACAATTTAATTTAATGAATCTTTAGATCGTTTAGTAATCCGTACAAACCCTTATTAGATTAGTAACTATGGGTAACTACGGCGGATACCATGACAACCTGCGGATGTTGTCATAGTATCCGCCGCTGTTGAGATTCTTATTGAAAACACTTGAATTTATATAAAAAAAGTATATTGATATTAATAATAATTTATGAACTATTCTTTCATTTTCACACAGTTTTGGGTCAAAATAGACACACATTTCTTTGTATTTGACATATCAACCGGCAGCCATTGTTCCCATCGCAAACAATAACTTTTTCGGAGGCGAAATATTACAACTTTTAAATGCTAAAATGCTTATTCTTCATGATCATTTATATGTATAATAGTATCAAAATATCTACTTACGACATATTTTATTAAGTCAACAATCACTTCACACGTAACGCAACGCACTTACAGTATACTTTCTAATTCTACATTTTATTACGGCGTTCTGCTTAAAAGTTGTGGCCAGTTCAAATTTTTTCGTTGTATAATTTCCTAAAGAACGTCTCTATGAAGCCATTTTTATAAACAAAACGTGCTAGTTGAGTTTATACAGAATTTGTTTATACTATCTCGCGTAGGTACCATGGTTCCCTAGTGGCGGTGTACATAATGTAATTTTCTTGGTACTAGAGTACCCAATGACTTTCTCGGTGATAAATAATATTTAGTAGCTGCACAATTACAAGGTACGGCAATAGCATTATTAGGCTTTGAAACGATTCAAATTCAAAATATCTTTATTCACATAGACGCTTGCGCGTTCTTACTTGAAACATAATAATATTTACATAAAAATTAAAATGTTCATATTAGTTACCACCGGTTCGTAAAGCAGTTTCTTTTTGTTGAGAAGAAACCGACAAGAAAATCGACAGATGCTTTTTTTGTAAAAAGATTAGTTAACATTATACTACTATAAGTCTTATTTTAACTTACATGAGTATCAACAGTAATAACTCCACACATTGGTGTCGTCAAGATATTCCGCAATGGTATAATATGCCTTAGCCACAAATTTACTTTTAATTTTGCGTTTAAATTGATCAAATGGCAAAATTAATATCGACATGCGCACACTTTGCTCCATGAACGAACTACTTACAAAGCAATTGCGTTCTAGTATTTAGTTCACGTTTTTTTTTTTTAAATTGACCTTACTTTAGGATAACATTATCCTGTGTTGTAAGGACGTTTTACAAATATACTTGCTTCACGTGGACAAACACCCAGATGCGAGACAACTATCTGTGGATCACACAAATAGTTATCCCGTTTGGGAATCCAACCCACGACCCCAATACCTTTTCAACTGCGCAACGGAGTCATCAAATGTCTGTCATTATTCTTCAGCTGATAATTAAGATTATGTGTAACATACATCATTAATGCGGACAATAAATATATTGCGCGGCAAGTGAGCATATCTCTATTTTTGTCTCTTTAAAAAGATCTCTGAGTGTATCCCGGGCTCCGATGTTATAGATTGCTCGGACAGCTCTTTTTTGAAGAATAAATATAGAATTTATATCAATACCCTACAATAAAATGTTCGATAAGATGCTGTGATAATAACTAAAGAGAACAAGTCTGGCAGTGTCGATGTCTGATACCTTCCTTCGCTAGCTACCTAACCTTCCAAAAACAGTGGAGTTTTTGGAAGGTCCACTGAAGCTTTGAATTTACTGTAATACGTAAGAAAACAGCGGACACAACAGGATTAAGGGATATTTTATTTAATAATAAACTAAAACTTTGCCTTCTTACACTAGGAAAAGTAAAAATAATCCATTTTGTTTTTTTTTGGCATCTAATACCATGTAATTGTAAACCAGTGGAGGATATGTGAAAGTGCACCATTCACGTTGTCATAATTCGATAAATTTCAGTCAACCTTTAATATGAGTGATGTATCGTCAGCAAACAGTATATCATTACACAACTCACTCATAAAAGGGGAGATCATTTATATATACTAGAAATAATAATGAGCCCGGGATTGATCCTTGTAGGACACCCCTTTTCATTGAGGACCTTGCGGAATTAACATCATTTATAGTTACTTTTAAATTCTATTACTAAGGTAAGAGACACTGAGTCTGAGGGTGCTGCCACTAATCCCATAATAATCTAGCGTGCGAAGGAGGGTTTTGTGGTCTTGTGTAGGTCGTAGGCTTGTGAAAGATCGCAAAAGACAGCTATTGCATCTTGCAATCTTTCACAGGCGTTATAAATATGTTTGACAAATGCGTCTGTTGTTGATCTGCCTTAAGAGAATCCATATTGCATCGTGAAAAATTTTATTCATTTTAAAATTTATAATTTATATTATAATAGATGTATACTAGTGTAAAATAATGAATTAATATATTTAGAAATTAAATATATTTACTTAATATATTTCATTTTATAATTAACATAAAATACGATTAATAAAAGTATGTTAATGTTATGTTAATAAACATGTAATTCATGAGCTAATTATATATAATTTAAAACAAAACTACAAAAGATAAAAGTTCGATATCATTAAACAACAGCGCATAGCGAAACATCCACTCGCCCACTCGTAGGTCAACAGTGGAAAACAATTTCATCACTATCTCGGATACCCGAAGGTGAGAGGTCGAAATAACTATCAGGCTCTTAGTTTATTAAAGATAAAATGAATTAAAATAGTTCTACACAGTCGATTTATCACGCAAATCATATTCTCTAGGACTTACTACGTTATGTATATCAAATGTATCCAAAAAAAATTTGAATTCGCCTATTCCCTTCCCGCCTTCTTTCATAAAAGCAGAAAATAATGTCAAATTTTTATCTTTTTTATGAAGGTAGTAAACGAAAAAGTAGATCAAATCAAACGTCTAACGGTGATCTTCATACCCCAGCCACGTGTTGCTGTTACTGATAACACCCTATCCATTATTTAGCATTGTACAACAGTTATTAATTATTTATTTATAATTAATCGATTTATTAAAAAGTTTGACTCGTATAAAAATGCGGGGATACAACTTCATGGTGTGTCCAAGTTTGAAAGCAATTAGTGTACTTTCATAGTTTTTGAGTAGGAACAAAGCAAAATAGCCTTTGATTATATACATACATGTCTATAATCAAAGAACATAACATAGGTAGTAATTTCTATTGATTGAATAGTAAAAGTCCCTTTAAGATTATAGTTTTCGTTAGGTTTATATTTTGCTAGAAATAATACTATGAATTTAATAAGCTTTCCTTTTTATTTTTTTTACGTTACATTAAATGAAATAACAAAAATAACAAACTTATGAATGTTATTAAAATGAAAAAACGGCTAACTTTGTGTATGAAATGTATTACTAGATTCTCAGTAATTATGTAATACCTGATATAATTTTTGTAATCAGCAAATGAAATCGAGTTCAGAAACCTTTAACCTTTGAATAACGATGTTATAGTAATTTTATTATTTAAATGTATTTTAGTTCTATGGATATTTGATAAATACTAATAAACCGAATGTAGTAAAGTGATAGCATTACTTCTTAGTTTTAGACTTAATTCATTAAGCAATAATTTTTATTGCATTATTATTAATATGAGAGTTTTTGGGTTTGTATGTTTTTTGAGAAAATTTTTGATTTAATAAAAATAACTACTTATATCATTTACTCAATTTAGAAATTAAAAGTATTACAGGAAAACAATAAGCAAAATAACATTAGTTTATTATTTGCTTCGCAAGGTTGTGTCTGTTCAAAAATGCTTACTGGCTACGGGAGATTCATTTCATACGTTTTCATGTGAATTTTCTGTCAAGTGCCGTCATTAGTTCGTTAATGAATGTTTCAAACCCGAAGTAAGTTGTGCGTTTGAACCCCGAGTGAGTTTTGTAGGTTTTTATTTATCTGTTGAAAAAAATCTCTCAATCAAAACATACAAAATAAAAAATATAAACTTTTGTACATTTTAAAAATGAAAATATGACAAAGGGCAATAGGATCACTAATTGAAATATTAAAAAAAAACAAGTTTATACGAAATAATGATTAGTTGCAGATGTTGAAATTCCTTTTTCAATCAACTTTCATCTCATGATAACGGAGACTATAGGTGTTGATATTAAATGAGGAGCCAATGTTGATGCGGAAAACGATGCTGTTCCTTCAGAATCTTCAAGTTGACGCAACTTATACCTTAACAAAATACTATAAATTTCAACTTGCCCTGTTACATTATTTTTGGCATTCCATTTTCGCAATGTTAAAACAACATAATCTCCAAACACCAACAAATCATAATTTTGCAACGAAGCTTTACTTATTTTCTATCTCATCTTCTTATTTAAAGCGATTGAAATTGGATAATCATTTTTTTGTTTACGAGTAATTGGCCTTTCATATGGTATGAATTCTCGTGACCCTACAACTGTAGATTGGTTCACATGGCTATAATTAATTGTCGGCTTTCTGTTCTTTATGTGATATCCAGGGTGCTATCACCTACATTGTTAGTTTCTTTGTCTGGCTCTGGGAATGCCTAAAAATATTATGTAGTCAATTTTTTATCGTCTACCAAAAAACAGAAGATGAATGGAATTCAATTATTTCTAGATTCGTGCATAAGATTGTATTTCCCAAACTGTATTAGTGCGCTGGATGGGAAGCAAAAAGTAAAGTAAAGTATCAGCCTATACATGTCCCACTACTGAGCAAAGGCCTCCTCTGTACAGAGGGTATCAGGGCATAGTCCATCACGCGGCCCCACTACGGATTGGCGGAATTCACATATCTTCGAGATTTATTTTTTATTATTATTTCGAAAATATGCAGGTTTCCTCACGATGTTTTCCTTCACCGCTGAGCACGTGATTATTCAGCATTTGAAATTAACAATTTCATCGGTGCCGGCACCGGGGATCCAACTCAGGTTGCTCGAGTATATTAAATTAAAGGCGAGCGCCCGGACACTGAGCTATCACGGATGGGAAGCATATATATGCTTTTATGTACATATCAAATGCCTCCACCAATACTGGCTCAGATTTCTTCAACTATAAAGATCGTTAATTTTTGTAGAAAAAAGGAACGAAAAGTTTTGCGCCGCTGTTGTAATCGAGCCCACGTCTTCAGGATTCGCGCCCTGACGCTCTAGCCACTAAGCTAAACGGCTGATTACCACACCGATTAAGCATTGATTTGGCATGTGTGGATTACGACTACAGCTTCATCTTTGTGAACATTGGAACCTAGGGCGAGCTGTTTGATGGCGGGATTTTAAATTAATGTAATCTTAAAACGGCTGTTGATAAAAATACGTACGCCGAAGTAATTTAACAAATTAATAGTTTAATAATTTTAGTCAAGATGGAGAAGAATAGTAGAGAATGCGTTCAGTATATTTGCAAAATATATTTTATTAGCAAGCCGATTTCGAATATTTGAAAGACCACTTAGGTTTGCTCAGAAATCCGTCGATTCCGATGTCAAATCAGTGATGAAAAGTGGATACTGTACGATAATCTGAAGCGCTTGTCACAATACCTGAACCCTGGAGACCCAGCCCAATCGAAAGCCAGCTAAACGAAAAATGTATTAGAAAAAGGTACTTGTGATAGTTTGGTGGACTAGCCCCGGTGTCGTTCACTACAGCTTTCTAAAAGCTGGCCAAACGATAACAGCAGCTATTGTCAGCAACTGCAAATCACGAAGGAAGAAATAGCTGCTTAAAAATCGAGATTGGTCAATCGCTCTAGGCCACTGCTGCTTCACGATAACGCAAGACCACAGACTGCACAACAAACAACCACTAAGTTAGATGAGATATAATTGGAATGTCTGCATCCACCGTACTCCCCGGACCTTGCTCTAACAGATTACCATTTTTTCCGGAATTTGGACAACTTCTCACAAGAAAAAAATTCAACTCCGATGTGGCAGTCCACACCGCCTTCAAAGAGTTTATTGATTCTCGCCACCATGTTTTTTTAATAAAGGGATCAATGAACTACCTATGAGATGGCAAATATTCCTCCCGTAGACAACGCCAATTCTGTATGTAAGGACCTAATATTTGTATTGCCCTGCGAATTTACTCTACGCTTTCCACTACAGCTGAAAGCTGTGAGCGATATTTTAGCAAATTAAAACTAACAAAAAATTATTTGCGATCTTCTATGAACCAGGAACGCTTATCGAGTCTTGCAATCTAAGCGATAGAAAATCGAATTGCACTCGAGTTAAATTATGACAAGGTCATAGATTAATTTGCTGAACAAAAAGCTCGAAGAGTAAAATAGTAATTTCAATTCACAAATGCAATAATATATTTGATTTTCATTTTTATTGTGCATATTTTTATTTTAAATCCTATCCTGTTCTGTGTATAAAATATAATTATATCCTACACGTTTAAGTCTATACATCTGTAAATAAGCTTAATACACACGGAAAAAAGAAAACAGGAACGTTTGAAATAAATAAATAGTAACTTAACTGGGGCTTCGAACGCCAAAGTGGAAAAATTGCATTGTCACATAGTATATTTTACATTTCTGTAAAAGTAAAACTAACAGTCTAAAAATGTAAGATTTAGAGTTTAAACTGTTAGATTTACAGAATTTGTCAACTTTATTGGAAGCTGTAATTTTTCCACTTTCGCGTTTGCTACGTTACTATTTCAAACTATAAAAGTTCCTGTTTTCTTTTCTCCGTGCAAAAAAGCAGCAAATTTCTGGAAGGCTAATGTAGGCTTTCTTCAAATGTCAATCAATTAGTGGACATCTGATAGCTGAAATTATACAGGGAGGCTTTTCTAAGTGTATCCATTTTTTTTATTAAATTATAGACATAAATAATGTTATATTAAAATGATAAATATTTAAAATCACTCGTAATTAATTAAATACATTCATTTGAACTTATCTCAAAAAGTTCGTGATTTATGGGCAACTCATTTATTTTACGCGCGATCATTCATAACTAACACGCAAACATGAAACTTCGAAGAACGATTAAATTTTCATAAAACTTAAAAAGCCTTACAGGCTTGTCAAACAACTATTTTACCACTTATGCAACCAACTTTGCCATCAGGCCTTCAAGCATAACACGTATGAAGTCAGCACATATAAGAAGACTAAGGTTTGTAAGGCAGTTATAAAACTAATACACTGCCTTATGAGAGCAATAAGTCCAAATAAATATTCTCAAAGGAATTTGCGAACCGTCAATCTTTCTAGACTAAATAAATTTCACGAAAGCTAACGTAGTCTTTAGTACATATTAGAAAAAACAAATCACATTCATTGAATGCCATGATGTGTGTGATGTTTGTAGACGCATTATGTCGCGCGATAAGGGCGACCCCAAGATGATAATACGGTCGGAATACTCGAGCGGACTGGCGCGTGAGACGACCGGTGGCTACTGCCAACGGACACCGCAATCAAGGCTGCAGACAGAGGAGTGTAAGACGCTGCTTTGGATAGAGGTCCACCCCGCGCTAGCCCGCAGCACCATGTTCATTGGCGTAACGTCTAGTTTGGGAAACGTAAATTCACACTACGACTATTTGATTTGAACAATTGAGAGGTAAGAATTCTTTGCAATTTCGCCTTATCGCAGGTCAGCTGTGCCAACTATCTATCTATCGCGAAGCTATTGAATAATAAAACACCACAATGATAATTAACGATTCAAACCACTCACGCCATACAGCCCGGTTATAAGCATGACGCCCGCGCGTGTTGGGGCCCAATATTGTCGGCAATTAAACAAATAATTGCAAGAATAAATATATGATATGCAATAGTGCCATTTCTTCAATCCTTGTCCGTAATTTAATTTAATTAAATGATTTATAATACTGTTAATGTCATTGCAGACGTCCACAAATAAACGACATAGGTAATCAACAAGAATGGCTCTCGACTTTATAGCTGGATGCATTGGAGGTATGTCCCAACACAACTGGTTTCTGCCTTTGATTGTGATGTTAATAACTTTGTGATCTTAACGACCACTCAATTTCAGGTAGCGTTGGCATTATAGCGGGGCATCCGTTAGACACACTAAAAGTGCACATTCAATCGGGTAGGGGCAGTGCGCTGGAGTGTGCGAAAGGTCTATTGAAAGGAGGAACGTTGTCAACGGTTTACCGGGGGGTGTGGGCGCCGTTGGGTGGGATAGCTGCCGTGAATGCAATCGTTTTCGGAGCGTATGGGAACACCAGGAGGGCTCTGCCGAACCCCGAGTCGCTGATGACGCACGCAGCGGCGGGTGCGTCGGCGGGGCTGATGCAAAGCTTCATTTGCGCGCCAGTGGAGCTCGTTAAAACGCGGCAGCAGCTGACAAGCTCGGGGGACGCTATGCCCAAAGGAGCATGGGCGGGGGCGCGACACGTTTTGAGAGTTGGGGGCCTGAAAGCCCTCTTCAGAGGACTCGGTGTAACAATCGCCCGCGACAGCCCAGCTTTCGCCGTCTACTTCGCATCGTACGAGGCGATGACACGGGGCAACCAGTCAGCCGCGAGGGTGTTTGTTGCGGGCGGGCTGGCGGGCGCTCTGTCGTGGGTCCTGCTGTACCCGATCGACGTGGTGAAGTCGCGGCTGCAAGGCGACACGGCCGGCCGCTATTCGGGCGCGTGGGACTGTTTCGTCAAATCAGTGCAAAGTGACGGTTGGCGCTGCATGGGCCGGGGCATCGGCGCGGTGACGCTGCGCGCGTTCATCAGCAACGGCGCCTGCTTCTCGGCGGTCGTGTGGACCGAGAGGGCGTGGCGGCACTGCACTTCGGAGGCCGCCGTCAAGACACTGGTGCAGGCCACCATAGGTGACGCGGTACGTCACGAGCCCGACTACCTCTGTGATATGTGATTACGCACCAGTTCGCAATGGACACTTTTACGACATAACGTTAAGTTCTCACATAGGAAAAACTCAGCTTTATTTACAAAAGGAATTTGCAATTGTTTTTTACACTTCAGATTTTATATTTATTATGAGTGTTATATGTATAAATATGAATAAAATAACCTTAGAAACGAGACAGTCGTTTGAAAGGAGAACATTAATTAGCAAACATGGGACAAAAATAGGAATAGACAATGTCTTTTCGCAATGAAATTAAATTTTAACTGGATCGGATTCAAACTTAATGAAAAGATGTTATAAAAACTACTAATGAAGTGGAAACATGACCTAATGTGATAATGTTTTTGAATGTTAAAAACAAATATTAAGTATATTTTTTTGTGTCAATGCATAAAATAAAAGGTTAGTAACAAAATTATTTATTACAAAAAAAATATTTATTATTTATAGTCATTGTCGAAATTGTGAAATACCGATACTGTCAATGAAGTTAAGCAAAAAATAAAACTTAGTTTTTACAAGATTTCAATAGTTATAAAAAATATTTTTTATACCTAACAAATGTTTTTATAATTAAATAATGCTATTTATGTGGAATAAAATAAGAGATCTAATATTTTTCACTTAATATCATATATTTCTCAGAAAAATTTATTACAAGCGTCAAAAATGATCCAAAAATACAGAAATGATTCGCATTACGAAATATCACATAATAAAGACATATGCCAGAAACTCTAAAACGAATGTAAATATTTTAAAAATAAAGGTCTGTTACGTTTAAATTTTAAAATACTAATAACTCGACTATATTGTATCTTAATAAATTCCTGTCTTATTAATCGTCACAAAACTTGGTATACCGTAGGTCCGAACTTTAAATAATACCTGAAAAGTAGAACGGAATAACACTGTATTAAATATAACTATGTACATATTATGTATGTACGTCAACGCAACTTCTAAAATTAATTAATTTTTATGGTACAAAAAATATTATTTACGCAAATCACGCGTAGTTTCACTGCAATTTAATCCCCTTCATATTTATTTTATTTGTAATAAATTTTAATATTTTCAATTGCTCATCAGTAAATTGTGACCAACGGTATTTCCGGATCAAAACGACATAGGGACCTTCAAGAAGAGATCCCACTTTATTGAATGGTGGCAACGCATTTGAAATCCTACAGATGTTGTAAAATGTCCATGGGCGGCAGTTATTACTTAACATGAAGCGAACCAACATTTCGTTCGCCATCTTCTTACGTAAAAAAAGTCTTTTCACACTTCGAAAACGGGAAGTTTATACTTATATGGCGTCGCCGGTGACGTCTATTAACATCAGATGAACCGCTTAGCCATCTTCATCAAAAATCTGCCTCTTATACATAATTAACTAGCGACCCGCCCCAGCTTCGCACAGGTGCAATGTATTATCTATATGAACCTTCCTCTTGAATCACTCTATCTAGTAAAAAAAACCACGTCAAGATCCGTTGCGTCGTTTTAAATATCTAAGTGTACATAGGGAAAGACAGACAGCGGGACGACTTTGTTTCATATTATGTAGTGATGCTGGCCGACACGAATCTTCTCCATTCTTACACATATGACGTATTAAAAAAATACGCAACCCAACAGGCACTTTGCATTATTCGTATATACGAGTAAACCCCAACTGAAAGCTGATGACGCAACTCTTATACGATCTGTTTTATTTCGATGCGACTTTCAAAACCTTCGAAAAGAAGATCCATTATCACGCAATTAAAAAGCTTGGCCAATATAGAAAATATGACGAATCTTTTATTTATGACAATGGCATTTGATGTGATGCACATTAAATTACTGAGTTTGATCCCTACGTTTACGACCGGAGAAGGTGATCGTGGAATCAGATTCATCGCTAACCACGTCAAAGTTAGCGGCAGGCTTGGGTGTGAGTGACAAAACCATTTTAATTCACTTGAAACAAATTGTGAAAAAGCTCAAGAAATGGGTGAAAATAATTGAGTGAAACATTCAAACAAGCACGCATTGAGCGCTGCGTTACATTGGTCGATCAATCGTTACAATATGTTACTTGTAATGAAAATGGATCCCGTACGATAAATATTGAAAATTGTGCCTCAAGTCGTAAATATTAAAGAAGTTGGTCTGATATTAATTAAAAATTAAATTTACCTTGAAAATTGAAACTAAACACAACAACGTCTAAACTGCAGAGGTTTTCAAGACTATTTTATTTATTTTAAATTCTATTTTTCTTAATATACATTACACAACTTGTGTGTGAAAATATTGTGAAAAACCATTTTAAAAAACTGCCTTAGACCTTTGAACCTTTGACCTCTGTATTTAAGTGATACAACCCTGTATTTAAGTCCCATGAACGCTAGGAGCTGGCTAAGTTTTCTTCGCATAACTAACATTCGCCGGGTGTTTCACACTGAAAATATCACCGTAGGGTACTACGGTTACTGTAATGTTTTCGAACGCAAGACTGCAATAGATCTTATACGGCGCAGACTTAATACCCATCCTCTTAGACCCAAAGTACAAAATAAATAAACAACACCAAATACGAATAGAAACGTGAATTACCAGGGAGACATGATTACTGTTGCGGATTGGATTTAGTTTCTGTCCTGCTCCATTGGCTGCGGCGGCAAGGGCGGTGGAGGCGGCGGCGGTATCGCTAGGTTGTTGTTGTTGTTATTATTATTGTTGTTGTTGTTGTTTGCATGATGCTCCATCAGACCCAGTTGCTCTAGCATATCGTCATTGTCCTCCATTAGGTGTACCTTCCGGATAAAATTATTAGTGCTATATCGACTCTCACTCTCTAAATGTCGCCGATGTGAAACTTTCGTTGCTTGAGGTTTTTAAATCTGCAACCCTACGGGTGTTGCAAATGTCCATGGGCGTCAGTTACCACTTGGCAGCGGTTATCGCTGATCATCAGGTGGACCGCCAGCTTGCTTGCCACCTTCTCACAAAAAGAAAATAACAGCCGAACCAGTTACAGCTTTTTGGCAGGGTAGCGCTGTTGCGTATAACGGCTGCCGAAATTTCTAGAAAAAAGTGTGCTGCGACACTAGGTGAGTGTGACTCGGACGGACGGTCGTCACGAGCGGCGGGAGGTGAGACCTTGACCGTCCGCCGATAAAAATAAAGGTTTCTAGAACGAGACTAACGTCTGGCAGCGCGGTGCGGTGCTGTGCGTGCCTCGCCGTCTCCGAGAGCAGGATCTTCTGGCGCTTCTCCTCCATCAGCCGCTCGCGGTGCTTGTGGATGTAGTCGTAGACGTTGGGCAGGCCCATTATCACGCAGGCGGACAGCGCGGACCGGTAGATGTTCATATCGGTCGCCTCGTACCTGTGACACCGAAAACAGATACGAATATATAGACATCAGTTGACCCGTACCTAAAAAACTGTCACACAATACCTTAGTATATATTTTTGTTTGTGTAAGAAGATAGCAGATAGCTAGCTAGCAGTTCTTTTAATAAAGTGTACCTCGGCTACCCCACTCACCAGACCATACACAGAAGTGTAACTTTTCCACTTCACGCCGGTCTTCTGTGGGGTCGTGGCGCTTACCCGGAGAGACCTACCCATTTGTGCAACAGCGAAGGCATGGGTCTAACAACCTGTTAGTGCCACGCAACAGTGTTTGTCTGGCTGTCCATCATGTGTCGTCCGGGCTGATCACCGATACGGCTGATGATTTTGAGTGGACTATTATTATTTATGCCATATAATTTAGGTTACTTTTATAGCTATTTGATGATCTGGAACTTGGAGCCATCATCAGGAGCCTAACTTCTACAGTTTATATGTTAGTTGATACTAATGGATTTATTTTATAAAGCGCTAATTCAAATGTTAATCCACGGGAAAAAGCTACGTTAACAAGATGAGAAATATCAGTGACGTTTAAATGGTCTCCTCACGATGTTTTCCTTCACCGCGGAGCACGTGATAAGATATTATTATGCATATTTTCGAAATAATAACAAAAAAAAATATTTTTCGAAGATATGTGAAGTCCGCCAATCCGCAGTGGGGCCGCGTGGTGGCCTATGCCCTGATACCCTCTGTATAGAGGAGGCCTTTGCCCAGCAGTGGGACATGTATAGGCTGCTACTTTACTTTACTTTTAAATGGTCTGGCCTTTCGCCATCGTCGAGCAATTATCCAAACTAATCACCACTCGTTGGTCTTCTCGTCGTAACACTCAACGTGGTATATGGTGGTGACGCCGTTGAAGCCGCCGATCGCGAAGATCATGTCGTCGATGACCTCGATGGCGAAGTTGCTGCGTGGGTTGTACATGTCGGGCACAGGGGACCACGAGTTCGTGGCTGGGTCGTACACCTCGCCGCTGCACATCCGCGAGATGCCGTTGAAGCCGCCTATCACGTAAATCTGCGAGACGGAGCACACGGGCATGGAGCACGATTTAAAATAAAAGAAAAGAGAAAGATGTTTATGAACACCCGGCTAATACGAAGTTTCTTTCGCTATACCTTTTACACGGGTATGGAGCTCGCAAAACTCGATGCCAAAAAGTTCATTCGATTTAATATGAAAGAAAAAAAAAAATCCTTTCGCTATACCTTTTTTGTGTTCGTATTGAGTAATAATAGAATAAAAAGGGTGTTTGAGCATTAAAATTACGAATATTTTTGAGCATTCTCAAAACTGAAGGCAAGTGATTGGGAATTGCCTCAGAAATCACTGCAAAAGAATGCTGGTGTCATTTTTCATTGTTACACTTTTTTCAGTCTAAGTGATAAGAAACTCCGTTACAAAAACCGAGTTAAAGGAGGGGTGATATACGCAGTAGAAGGGGAGATGTGGGGAGATAGTATTACTTTCTCTTTCGCGCCGTATTCTAAACCGTTACCTGACTTTCTCTAACTACACGTTGGTTTACAGTTGCGAACAAAAATGTTATTCGATTTTGTGTAGATGAGTGTTTAGATGTCATCTAATAACTTTAGGATTTATTATGCAAATAACACTGAAGTTTGCACGCGACTGTACATTCACATTTAATGTTTGCACGACTTCGACTTTGCATACTTTGGGCGTCAGGGGTCGTGGGTTCGATTCCCACACGGGACAACTATTTGTGCGACCCACAGATGGTTGTTTCGAATCTGGGTGTTTGTCCATGTGGAATTTATGTTTGGATAATGTTATCCTAAAGTGAGGGCAGTGGTTTTTAAAGAAAAAAAAATATTTTTTTATACTTTGTTGTGGTAGGCGATGCAGGAAACTCCGGAGCGTCGCGAGCGCATCGGCGCCAGGTTGGTCCACTGATTAGTGTCCGGATCGTACACTTCGACGCTGTTCATGCACTCCTGCCCGTTGAAACCGCCCGTTATGTATATCTTATCTGGAACAGACGGTAAAAATATATAAATATATTCGCCATTGATTCCGGCGTCCCGCAGTTTTCACGACATTATCAGCGATTATGTTATAGTTTTTGAAGTGATACTTTTTAGGCGACAATAACTACATGAGAATTTTAAGTGATATTCCGTTACACGAGTGAGAAGAATACAGTGTAGGGAAAGAGAGAGGAAGATGTATGCACGCAATACACAGCAATAGATAATATATTAGACTAGCTGACTCGGCAAACGTTGTTTTGCCATATAAATTACTTCTAGACGAATCGAAACGCACGCATAAAGTGTTTGACAGGTTACACAGACATAGTTGACAGGTTGACGTTTTCTTCGCACATATTTCGATTTTCCATGCAATTTTTCCATAATTTCTCATCGTTTAAACCTTCCCTGGACTGCTACAAATATTTTAAAACCAAAATTACGCAAATCGGTCCAGCCGTTCTCGAATTTTAGCGAGACTAACGAACAGCAATTCATTTTTATATATAAGATAGTGTCAAGCATGGCACGTTGTGTACGAACGCGTCAGACACCAAATGTGAACAGCTGTGGCACCACGCGCTTTGTGAATAATATTTATCATTGTGAAAAGACGCGTGGAACATAAGACATTAATTATGAACGATTATCTGTCCTACACGCTATAATAATAATATTGCAATACATATGTAACGTAATAAGTCTTTATCATTATTCATAACAACATCGCGAAGACGCTTATTATCTTACTGCTTTTTGACTACATAAACTAAAAGCCGTAATATTTAATTACACTCTCGCGTCGCTCAGACATGCACTCGATTTTTCGGATAGGAAAAGTCCTATTGTATTGGGGCTATTTTTGACAGTGTAAAGGAATTTAATACAATTTGATAAATATTGCAGCTTATATTTTTTATATATTTTTCTTATATTTTTAAATATAAGTGTATTCCATTGGTATTGGCATTGCGATTTTAACTCAGGTTGCTAAAGTATATCGAAATAATAGCTAGCGCCCCGACACCGAGCTACGGCAGTAGTCATTAAGTACAAAACAAGAAAAAGGAACACTTACGGTATTTTTTTGTAAATACATGAATAATCATCTAAACATATAAGAGATTTCTACCGATAATTGACTCATCACGATATCTCTGGAACCATAAGGCGTAGAGACTTGAAATTTGGTAGGAATATTTCGCCGAATAGAGGTCAGCTAAGAACGGATTTTACGAAATTCCACAAAACAACGTTTGTCGGATCAGCTAGTAATCATATAAAACTGGCGCGAAAGACGGGATACAGTCTACAGGATCTACAAAAAATGACAATTGAAAGTTTCATCTTGAGTGCAGAGACTAGCGATAAAAATGAAAAACGAATCCTAAAACACTTGCTGTCCAAAGCGGCGGCGCTGGCGTCCGACCGCTGCGCGTTCATTGGCGCAACCAGCGACCACTGGTTGGTGCGATGGTTGAACCGCTCGGCGGTGTTCTGCCGGTGGTGACCGTCGTAGCCGCCCATCGCGTAGATCGTCTCGCCCAGCACGGCAACGGATACGTAGCAACGGCGCGCGTTCATCGGTGCCACCTTTTCAATTTTATTTAAATTTTTTTTAACGAGCTGCCGGTTCACCAGATATTGAGTGATATTCGCTGCCCATTGATATTTGCATGGATTTTTAAATGAAGGCCCCGATTACCTCACACACAACGCTAAAGCGTAACGCATCCACATCACGCGGTCTTCTGTGGAATTTATGTAGATGGACCTGCCCATTCGTGCACTATACAATTGCAAGTGCACTTAGCACAGCTACACTTACGTAGCACCTGTCTCTGTACGAATGTGGCCTTGTCAGGCCTCCTCTCCCCGGGTACTAGGGCACCCGGTCCGGCTAAATGATCATGTGCAGGTAAAATTAGCACAGGACCCCTTACGAGCCCCGAATTGAGCGGAGAGGCTGAGACACTAAAGAACGGACCCACCTCCCTCCAGGTCTTCACGACGGCGTCAAAGCAACGGCAGGAGTTGAAGTAGTCCATGCCGTCGAAGCCGCCGATGACGTAGATGCAGTAGCCGAGTACGGCGGTGCCGTGGTAGGCTCGCGGCCCAGCCGGGTCCACCTCTTCCACCTAGAACGGAGCTATAAGACGTGACTATAACCTACGTATCGTAAAGAACTTACTTACCACCATCAGGCAACCAGCGTGACCTATATGTATAGTAAGTATTTATTCTTGAACGATATTCTATAGTGACTATAACCTACGTCTCGTAAAGAACTCAATTACCACCATCAGGCAACCAGCGTGACTTATATATATAGTAAGTATTTATTCTTGAACGATAAATTATGAAAAAACACATTTGGTTTTCAGCATTTTATTTTCGAAACAAACATTCCATGAATTGTTTCGAAAATAATTCAATTAATTTTTTTCTATAAATCGATATATAAACATTATCTTAATTCATTCAATTATTTAGATACAAAAATTAAATACTCCAATAACCTACTTATTTAACTCATTAATTTCATGACCGATATTATTGAGTTCGCCCACACACGCTTACACACGATTCATGAAACTGTTTATACGGTAAAGGACATAACCATAGACACGTCAACCATGGCTTAAAATGTGAAAAAGCAATGTAGATAAAATAAGTAGAGATTCTTATCATTGTGGCAATCAGTAGTTTAGCACAGCGGCGAAAACTTTTCGATAATTTTTCTACAAATTCAATGTTTAAACTCAATAGATTACAACTAAAAAAATTCAAATTCCCAATTTAGGCAAATTGTGTGCTGACACACGGTACGGATGTTTTTGGTGAGGTAATAGTAACGTCATTTTAAAACAATACCTTAATCCAGCGATCGGCTCGTGTGTCGTAGGTTTCGATGAAGGCGGTCGGTGAACCACCGCTCCATCCACCAATAGCAAAAAGGACCTGAATTGATATGATATACAGAATTCACGATTATCTGAAGTGTTGTAGTAGTTGTAGTAGTTTATCAAGAAGTGCATCAAAGAATAACCCATTCGATTCTAGACGATTACCGGTGCTACCCACAATACCCATGCGTCCAGACAAAATGCAAATGTGAAAATACTTCTATATTACGGGGGTCATTCCATGCAGTTAATTTCTGATTGACTATGGAAATAATAAAATATTTTTACATTTAGCTCCACAGTTACAAAACTATCCGAACCTTAAGTAGGATCATCTATATAATTGCATATCACCTCGTGCGGAACCCTCGGCCGTGCTATCTCCGGCGTGGCGACTTCGCCGTCCCTCTGCGCGATCATCTCCAGGTCGTAAAGAAACTTCAACGTTTCGATGATGATCGGACGCGAGCCCTCGTTGCCAGTCACGTACGGGTGGTCTTTCACGTTCTCTAAAAAAAACTAAATACAAAAGAAATATATATATATCACCAAAGCTTTCATTCCAATTTATAAAACTTCAGATTTATGAATAAAAGCAAGAAATAACTTATGTATAACATCAACAAACATATCGACAAACATTGATAGTAGAACCTTCCCTTTGACGAGATATCTCCTGTGCCATGGGAATGGAATTTTTAGATGTGTATATGGAGTTTATCTAACGACCTCTGGTAACAGAATTTCCCAAATTCGGAAGAATTGTTTATGGATTATATACTATTATATACTCCATAAACTTCGGGTGAAAATTTTAGTATTGACTATTGAGCCCTGAACTCAACGTAAGATCACCAAACAGAAATAATTACCTTACGTAATCATAGCATGGAATATAATATCAAATCGTTCTGGTGTTAAGAAGCAGGAAGACGCTCCCTTATCTTACAACTATGTAACTATTATCTATTCAGTGAAACTAGAGTGGTATAAATTGTTTACAGTTATAAATGCACTTCTGTAAACATACGAGTTGACTCGCGAATGCAATAATTGTAAATTATTAGATTCAAAAACAGCTGATCGTAATACCGTGTATGTGAAATTCATGAAAATGGGCAAACATCTAAATGCGGTACAATACTGTGCGAATGAAAAAAAAACACTTCTACCCCCGTGGAAATCAAATCTACGACTTGTGGCGCCGAAGCCAACATCGCCAATATCAGATCTGAATTGGCGATGTACGCTCGTCTACAGCGAATTCTCACCAGTTTTCATCATTACTGGAATAAATTGGTCAAATAGGGGTCTTCTTTGCTATTGGCTAAGTTTGATCAGCCATTTTGTTTATGACTGGCCCACCTGCGTATCCAACAGTCCCAGGCGTATGCCGCTCATCAGTTTGACCGTGTGCTGCCAGCGTATGTCGGGCTCATAGTTGACCCAGCGCAGCACGGCGTCCCACACCGCCTCCTCGCTTTTGACGTTAAGCTCGTCCTCCAGAATGATCGCGGTGAGCTCGTCGATTGGCAGGTGGAGGAATTCGTCGCTCTGCGTCGCAACCGTTAAGAAATACCTCAACAGGTAACGGCGGGCGTCCGCTTCTAGTTTGTAGCAGAACACACGCCTGTGAAAACATACAATACGCATTAGTAGCGTGAAGTGGAAGTATAACATATACTTTGGCTTTCGCCTGATTGGTGAGCTCACCGGTATAATCGGAGTACGCACTTTTTTAAAACAGTTGCAATGCATCTGCAACCTCATAGTATAAGTTCATATGAAGCTTATAGGAGGCAGTAATCGCTTAACATCATATAAACCGCTTGCTCTTTTGCCACCGACTAAAACGGAGAAATACAAAACTGGCGTGTCTCCTTAACGCTTACGATCCAAGCCGAGGATCGAACCTACATCTGAGGGGGACCTTTGATCGTGTCGCACCCCCCATCAGTCGGATTGTCAATCTTACATTAGCAAGGAATAGCGGCATAGCAGACGGTGTCGTTGTCGTGTACCATCTACGTTGTTCTCCCGAGACAATAAACAACAAAGGCTATAAAGGCTGCAAAGGCTACAGAGGCTACAAACACAAATAATAACTCACCTGGCGAACATCATGATACCGAGACAGTTGCGCGGGCTGAGCGAGGCGCGCAAGTGGTCGCAGCACAGCTGGAGGACGCCGAGGAACGCGAGGTAGTCGGCGCTCATGAGCAGCTCGTGGACGTTGGCGTCGGTGACATCGATGCGCCTCAGGTACGCGTACTCGATCAGCAGCAGCAGTATCTCAGAGCGGACCCCGGAGATGAGCACGTCGCTCTGCTCGCGCGAGTGAAGCGTGGTCGTGAACAGCGCCCTGCTAGCAGCAATTGAGGCAACACGACGCAATATAATGCGGCTGTGAGGCTATTATTATTATCATTTATTTCAAGTTACTAAGACTCATATACATCCATATTCAAAATTACATTTTATCATATATAAAAAAATATATATTAACCGCAGAACAGATAATAAAGAATTAAACGACGACAAGTAACAGGTTATTTAAAACAACATTATATTCTAAACATTGGTAATGACAATACTGTTTTTTGTATATTGGATAGGTTCATGCACGACGTTTGATTCAATAACTCAACTGCATGTTTCAAAACAAGAAACACCTTTCCCATTGCCAACGATTACATTTATTATAATTATTTAGATTTCCGATGTTTCCAATACCTACGAGCATTCATCATCGTGAGACCGACATAGCTCTTCCCGTTGGATTTCTCGTCTTACAAGTAAATTTTTATGAACTAAAAACAAAACCGATTTCAAATTTTTCACTCCTACATTTGATATTTAAGTTTGAGGAGTTTCCCTGATGTATTCAGTCCAAGGAACAATACAAATGAAATTAATATGGGAACACATAGGAGGCAAACCGAAACCAAATTTTTAAAACCGGTTCATAAATGACGGAGTTCAGAGTTAACAAACATAACAAAATAAAAAAATTAGAATCTGGACCTTTTTTGAAGTCGGTTGAAAGCACACAAATGGAGGAATTGTATTAGGAACATCATATTTCGCGGTGGCTGAACTCTAGCTCACTAACAGGAAGTAGGGGCTGCAAGCGGAGAGTATCGCGCGGTGCACCGGGAAGGCGGCGCCGTCGTCGGCCCGCACCACGGCGTCGCAGAGCAGCCGGCACTCGCGCAGCCGGTGCAGGGCCTGCATCGCCGCCACCGACATGCACCGCCCGGTCTCGCGACCCGCCGTCTGGCACACACAATCACATCGCTTTTACTCGCTAAATGCACTTGAATAACACCCGACAAGCACAGCCCTGTCTCACGACCCGCCGTCTAGCGCACACAACCACATCGCTTTTACTCGCTAAATGCACTTGAATAACACCCGACAAGCACAGCCCTGTCTCGCGACCCGCCGTCTGGCGCACACGACCACATCGCTTTTACTCGCTAAATGCACTCAACAACAACAGACATGCACTGCCCAGTCGCGACTCGCTGTTTGGCACACACAGACACATCGCTTTTACTCGTTAAATACACTCAAACAACAATCGAAATGCTTTGCCTAGTCATCGCTTTTACTCGCTAAATACACTCAAATAACAGCAGTCTCGCTGTTTAGCACATACAACCACATCGCTTTTACTCGCTAAAGGCACTCTAACATCAACCATTACGTTTTATGCCTGTTTGTCATAGAGAAAGGCGTATTTCTCTATGAATGCCCTTTACCGTTCTAAGAAAAGTCTTACAGAAATACTTCTTTCCTTTCTTTCTTACATGCCCACAGTTCCTGGTCTGCTTTTTAATTAGAAGTTTGCGTATAGTGTTCAATTTCATTCTAATGAAGCTCTGTCTTCAAGGCGATTTCATACAGAAGTTCATTTCTCAAGGTATTTTTGTACTTACACCACACACATAGTACTGAATCTAACTCTCCGACATTTTCGTTTCTACAAATTTCGGTCCTACAAATTTTCTTACAGAAGTCTCTTTATCCTAGTCAAATTCATAAAAGGTAACACACACACACACACACACACACAAACACGTAGTCATCTACACTGCCCTGTTGGCCGGGAACCGGGGAATCCAAACCCCATGACCCGAGCCTTGCCGCAACTTCCCCCGGATAATGTGTAAAGTACTTTCTAGGGTGTTATTATAAATGAAGCAACAGTCCTAATACGAACATGGATTATCTAAACAGAAACAAAGTATTGAAAGCCAATTTGAACTTATTTTCGAGGTTACAAAGCATTCGAAACTTCCACAATGAAATGGGAGAAATAAGTTCGACAATAACATTGATGCACAACAGTTGTGAAATATTTATGCGACAAATGTTAAAAATAAAATTTAACTACTTAAGCTAAGTATAACTGAATCAACAGGTTCATTTCGTACAGTCTGTTTATGAATATTATCGTTCCCATACGAAATTTATAACGATATTGTAAACGGATTTTCATTTCTTCATCAGTTTCTTGTAACATTCCCTTTTTCAATAAAATTGTTGATGACTTGTTGCTGTTCAATGTTCTTGCCAATAAGGTATGTCCTGGATGGACTAAAATTAACAAACGAACAAACTGGCTTATCTCAATAAAGTTTCTTTGTTGTGCGTTCGACGGACTTTAAAAATAATTGCAAACATTAAAAATTAACTAAGGGTTGGTTGCAGAATATGAAAACTATGGAAAGAAATTATTCATGTACGTTTATAACATAATATGTTATTAATTTCCTCGCCAATAGAATTCACATTCACCAATAACTATCTCCTAATATATTTAAGGATGATTTTACTTCGATAAATATCCTTCATCAAGCTTTCAATATTAACTTACAGTGTTATTCGGGTCGGTATCCATATTTTATGTCTCTAACGCTTAATCATGTTTAAAAAATTGTCACACGCTAAAAAAAAGACTCCGAACGCAAAACGAAACTAGTCGCGACACAATTGAGATTTGGCTTCGTAAATGTGTGGAAAAAATATACGTAAAAAATTACTAAAAACAGCGAGATCAAGTCATTTGATAAAACATTTTAGGTTAGCAAAAAAATGATACGTGATGACGTGCATGTCAAACCTTTTTCTTCCGGGTGACATTACTGGACAACAGTATTTTCATTTTCAGTGCGGTTGCCTTGTTGACGTCAAGAATTAGCGTTCGTTTTTTTTTTACGAGAAATGACCGTTTATATCTTGATGCAAAAAGTTTTCATGGCTCGAAACTCAAAAAGCTTGTACAATAGTATTGATGAACTGGGAGAAGCGACTGGAACTACGCTACGATATTAGCGCAGATTACTTTACGGGTTCTAACTGTATCGTCACGCAACAGATTGAAGCTGCAATACCTTCAATGTCATCCATGGGCGGCGATAATCACTTAATACCAGATGAACCGCCTGTTCAATCACCAATTCACAAAAAATAATTTTATTAAGGATTAATTTGGTGACCTGAAATTATTGGAGAACCTAAAATTATTACATTCAAAGGAAATTGCAAGAAATTTCCTGAAATTTGCTTAAATTTAGATCCTGTAGATGCTGTTGACCACAACCAGTAAGTAAAGAATGGTAGTCGTTGTCCGTGCCTAGGGTTCGCCAATGTTAATAACGAGGAAAATTCACACAGCTATTGGAATTACATAAATAAATAAAACAAATAACACTTACATGGAATTACTTTATTAAAAATCTAAATATGTCTTTTAAATTCTTTAGAAGAACGAAATTCTTAAAATTAACTTATATTTATTGCTATGGCACTTTATAAATATTTTTTTAAATAAAACAATATCGTACTTTTTTGAAGCTTACATGCAAAATTATACTCATTTTAATAATGTATATAGTGCCTCATATTGTGTATAGTATATGTATACCATCATTTACTTGTACAATATGTCAGTTTGCATTTAAAACATGTTAATATTTATACTTTTTATAATTTTTCAACGCGTGAGTAATACTCAACACCGAGTTATTGTAATAAAAATAACAGGACAAATTTTAATAAGCTACGACTTATCGCAACGGCTGATGACAAGGAGGCTGGTTCTTTTCTCGCACAAGAGTTAAGCATACTTGCATATCATATAATTAGATTTAATATTGTAAATATTGTAAAAGTCTTAATTGCAAGAAAAGAGTAATGAATTCTTACATTTAGGCGAATACTAATATGAAATTCAGACTTTTTTTACTCAGCCTGTTCAGTGTCGGTAAAAGTGTAGTGCCCTGTGCCCAATAATACATCGGGGATTTAAAATAAACATCTCATAGAATCCTTACAACAATTTTACTTCAGAATTGAAAAGAAAGTTTCATAAGATAAAATTACCTACAATCAATGTAACAATATTGGGTTATTTGACCGATTTTAATAGAACCTTTATAAACATAATAGTATGTTCTTATCACAAACAATATGATTTTTTTTATAGAACACAAACGATACACGATAAAATTTCGCATCTTGAATGAAATCATGATTTTAAATTATTCCGCATACAATTAACACACGCTCTTAATAAATAGTTACATTTGAAAATATTTCAGCATGTGGCGGTTCACTGATGTTAAGTGATAACCGCCGGCCATAACGTTTACAACACCCGAAAGGTTGCAAATGCGTTGCCACTTTTTAATTAGGCGGGCCGATTAAAATAACTGACTTTTAAAAAGGTAATCGATTATATTTTCTTTATCAAGTTATATGTTTTTCAAAGTAATATTAATTCAACGGCCTGATGACCTCCTTGGCAGTTATACCGTCCGCTCTTAGTCTGGAGAGCAGAGATTTGTAGACTGTGGGAGAGAAGGGTAAAACGACTCCCCTGTCTTGTATTTCACCTGAAAGGCAACATTGGATTTTATTGTCGCGCATTAAAAATTATGTAACATCAACACTTTACTGTGTACGATGGTCAATCTTTATTAATAAGAAAGGATTAAATTATTTTGCGCGTGCGAACCCATCAACGCTGACACCAAAGCCAAATTATACATATATATAAAAATTTTGCTTCCGTATGTTTGTGTTCACTAAACTCAAAAATTAGCCGATGAATTAACATGACATTTGTTCACATCAAAGCTATTGAGCAGGATACTATTTTTATACTTTTTATTCCAAAGCTCCTGTTGTCCATGTAATCCTGAGTTTGAGATGGCGTAAACTCCGTGGCGCAGTTGCCAAGGCTTCGGCGTCAGGGGCCGTGGTTCGATTCCCACACGAGAAAACTATTTGTGTGATCCACTTAATTATTAATTGATTCGGACTAGACTGTTTGTCCACGCGAAGCTTATGTTTGTAAAATGTTACAACACAGGATAAAAAAGATGAAAAAGATCCTAAGGAAGTTAATGCAACCGGGTGTTATGACTTTTTTTTAATAAGAAAATGGCTAGCTGACGTTTCACCCGATGTTAAGTGATAACCGCTGCCCACGGACATTTGCAACACCCGTAGGGTTACAAATGCTTTGCCACCTACCTCGCTCACCGGACTGAACGCAAAATGTAACACTTCCACTGCACGCAGCGTGAGGTCGTGGCACTTCTCCGGACGGACCCACCTATTCGTGCAATAGCGGAGGGGAAGTTTGCTACATAAAGCTCAACAGCAAAGACTGCTGCCCTACCGCATAATGCTCTTATCAGTCTCACCGTCGAGCAACATCTTGGCGGCGATGGCGGTGGGCAGGCCGACCGTCCACGCCATGGCGGTGTGGCGGCCGGGGTCGCCGCGGACGGTCATGGTCACCTCGCGCCGCTCGCGGCGACCGTCGCTCCAGGTCACGCCCACCTCGTGCCGCAGCACCACGAAGTCCGTTTCGTCTTTTTCTGGAAATTTCGGCGGCCGTTATACGCAACAGCATCACGCTGCCGGCAGTGGCGGATGTAGGTTTGGTAGCGCCCTAGACCCAAGACGACGTCCCATACGCTTTGTTTTCAGATTTAAGCACTTGCCTGATAAATTACATAAACAAGGAAATTCTACTCTTGTAATGGTACTATATTTAGATTGTGAGGGCGCAAGAAAATAAATTTTAAAATTTGGTCTTGCAGTGTACGGACAACTCAATCGATTCTTAACTTTAATCGTCTTTAAAAACTTTGTGCCCCTCAAAATATGCCACTCTAGCGTCTAGCCCGAGCCCCCGGGCCTAAGCCTGAATCCGCTACTGGCTGCCGGAAAGTTATAACCGGTACCGTTGTTGTAGGTTCACGCTTGGATTTAGAAACAAGTGTATCACCGCTTAAATGTAATACGAGAGGACAAACCAAGTGATGAGCTTCTTTTCCCGCTTGAAGATTGAGTACGTATCTATCGAGGAATCGCAGCGTTTTGACACCAAGCCGCGGGGCGTGGATGTTTATTTATGAAAAAATTTGTGTATACAGAAAATATAACATAACCGCTTTCTTATTTTATGTTGTGTTTGAAAATGGATGTAGCGTATTAATTTGATAAATTGCAATACAAAATTTACAAAACACTACATTGGTTCGACTCTAAATCGAATTCCAAAATAAAGTAACACCGTGATATGTTGCATTGCTAGGCAAAGTCCTCTGTCTACTAACTGATGCTACTATACTATGCTCCACTACCCTCTGCACAGAGGGTATTACGGAATAGTGCCTAGTAGACTGACCCCACTGCAGATTGGCGGACTTCACATATCTTTTATATGTATTTTTTATTATTCTTAAAATATGCTTCCTCACGATGATCGATTGCTGAACACGTGATGAGTCAGGGATTTGAACTCGGGTTGTTCGAGTATATAGTAGAATCAAAAGCAAGCACCCCCACTGCGCTATCACGGCTCAACGAGTATGTGAAGAGTGCATATTGTTGCGTTCAGAACAGATGGAAATCAACATGAGACACGTCCGACAATTTAATCGAATGAAATAAATGGTCGTATTCATTCAATTTCCGTTCATTCGTTCTATTCATTCTTATTTCTCTTCGCTCGAACCGCTCACCCATCAAAAGAAGAATAATAAATAATAATTTTGAAAGATAACATTTTACAGTGAACCTGTAATAATGAATAGGCTGTATGGAGAAATCACAAGTCGTTAAACTATAATAATAAGAAAACCACTCACCCAGTTGCAGACGCTTGCCGAGGTAATGGCTGATAGTGTCCAGCGGAGTTCCGCACTTGACGACGTTGTCGTCGCTCAAGAGCCCCAGAGATTCCAGCGCTTGGGCGCCCGACACGCCGATCCTCTCAGACAGCCGACCCTTGAGATTCTCATAGAAGATCGACGTGTCGAGGAGGCCGAGCAACTCGCATGCGAACTGGCGCTGAGTCATACAAAGATATTTATTTAATTATTGTTTTTTATGTAAGAAGGTGGCAAGCGAGCTTGATTACCGTCGCCCATGTACGTATCCACACCGTCAGGGTTGCAGATGCGTTGCCACTTTTTAATAAAGTGGGCCCCGGCTTCCTCACTCACTAGACGAAATGCAGAAGTATAATACTTCTACTTTCCGCCGGTCTTCTGTGAGCTCGTGGTACTTCTTGCCCGGACAGACCTGCCTGCCTGCCCATTCATACAACAGCGAACACTGTTGTGTGGCCCTACCACAGTTGCTGTTAAATGATAACCACTGCCCATGGACTTCTGCAACACCCGTAGGGTTACAGACGCGTTGCAACCTTTCAATAAAGTGGGCCCCGGTCCTCTCGCTTGCAATCTTTTCACTTTAACAAGTTTATCTACAAAAAACAAATCCGAATTTGAGGAGTTTTGAAGCGTTCACTTATGTACAACAAACATACAACCGAATTCAGAACCTACTACTTTTTTGAAGTAATCCACTTATATAATCGCAAACAGTAAAATAAAATATTATTTTAGTTTTTGCGATATTATCCGTTAACGATGGCCGCTAAATACATCGGAACACAATGCAAAAAAGCTTCGTAGTCTCTTCGAATTGAAAATCGTCCACTCACCCATGTGATTGAAGGCCCCTCAGGGTGAAGAGAGGGATGTGGGTTGGGGTCTACTAAGCCGAACAATTGCATCGCCTTCATTGTTTCAGCAAAACCTGCGAAATTATATTTTAAAGGTGGTCCAAAGGGAAACGCTACTCAGTCAGATAAAAAAAGCTTCGTAATAAGTAGCTACCAGTACTCTTCCTGAAGTAAGCCAGAGACTACAGCATTTAAACATTTTAAATAGATCACAAAAGAATAACGAAAGAAAATGGAACACAAAGAAGTTCTGCATTTAGTTGCAAGTTAGCGAACGGGAATTAAAAAAAAATAATAAACTCAAAAGCAATAAAGCGACCTTTATAGCGGATGGTTCCCCTAAACATGGTGTGCACATCATCGATGCCGTAGAGCTCGGCGTACTTCGTGCTGTCCCTGTTGGGGAAGCCCTCGAAGGCGAAGCCGGGGAGGAAGTCCAGGTCGCGAGCCACGGACATCAGTTCCCCGCCGCTCAGCACCTCTACGATCTAAAAACGGGTTGTCTCCAACATCAATTTTGTAACCAATGGCGTAAAGGAACGTTTAATTCCTTTACGCCATTGGTTGCCTGGAAGCGATAAGACCGCCACATTGTGCATTTCATTAATTTGTTTGTCTGTTGTTAATTTCTTGTATCCTTTTATGTGGGGTGGACAAAAAAGTATTGATTCATTGATTCATTCATTCAATTTTAGACATTTCTCGCTAATTCTGCAACTCCTACTAAACTTCTTTGAACACAAATATGCTGATATAATAAAAATAGGCTAATAAGCCCTCTACTGTTTTCAGTGTTGACGGGAGCTATGTTTTAACCCCGAAGAATAAGTAATGCGTCATATAACACCAAACTCACGGAAAGTCTTGTTTCAATATTTTTATAAACTTTTTCAGAAGTCAATTCGAAATGTAGATAATGAGATAAAAATTGTCAAAAAAAATTGCTACAACGGTAATTTGGGAATACCTTATTATTTCAAATTAAGTTTGATTCCAACACTCATGAATTCAAGCGATGCTATCCATAAACCGAACATCATACCTGACCCCTGCTCAAGTATTTTGCACTGGAAATCGTGTTCAGTAGAACGCCTCGAGGGTTCCAAGAGAATTTGTAGCGCAACGCATTGTCGCTGAATTCGGGTGCAGGAAGACCTGGTAATAGTTTCATTTTTAGGATTTCAATAACAGTGAATTTTGCCGTAGACAAACGGTTTAATCACATCGTTAATTAATTAGCATTTCATGGCGGGTAAATGTTTGTATGGCAGTAATTAGTTGTGTATAAATAATAGTACCCGGAAGACCGAGCTTTGCTCGGTTTGTTTTTTTTTTTTTTTGGTAAATCGTGTATTTTGGAAATTACATTTAGATACAAATTATTGAGTAATGAAATATGCATAATATTTTTCGATCTTACCGACGTAATAATAAGAAAATATGAACTGATGTTTTTCACAAAAGAAAGAACTTTAAAAAAAAGGGGAAAAAAATAAAAACAAAATAACAAATCAACAAAAAATTAAAAATAAAGAAAGCAATGATCTGGAATCGAAAAAAAAAGTAAAAAAATAAATGTGTAAATGATCGTGACGCGAACCACGGCCGTATGTTTTGGGGCCGCCCGATTACCGACCGAGCTATTTTGACATTTTCTCTTGCGGCGAAATTTACCGTCATATTCGAATTATATTTTTCATTCCCTGAAAACAGGGATAAAAGGACATTTTCTAAAAATGAAACCTAGCTAGATCGATTTTTCGCCCCCAAATCTATGCACATACTAAATTTCATGAAAATCGCTGGAGCCGTTTCCGAGATTCCGATTATATATATATATACAAGAATTGCTCGTTTAAAGGATAAGATTATCACCTTTTTTTAATATGCCCAAAATATTAATTTAATCCTCATCTTAATTATTGTTCAGAATTAATAAAGTACTTTTTAAAGTATGAATTGTTTTAAAGTTAAATTTAAGTAATCTTGAAACAACAAAGTGGCTTCTGGTGAAAAGTCAAACGACGTCCTAACGACAACTTAGTCAAAGACGAAGTTGAAAGACAATTTTTATTCAATTTAGACTTTTTCTTATATTATTTTATAGAACTATATTTTTGTAGAACAAGAACTAGAGTGTTTTCTAAGAAACTATGAAAGTATGTCCACATTATAGTTACCTCCACAGTACGACACGAAGGAATCAATTCTCCCGCCGTGGCTCTGGATGTTGTGAATGCACTCCAGGGCTAAGAGGTGATCGATGCCAGGGTCTAGACCGACCTCATTTAGAAGCGTCACGCCAACTTCCTTAGCACTGCACAAATTGAATACAACGTCAGCCAATTCAAAGTTATGATACACACATTGCTGTAATAAATAGCATTAAGGACTGTTGTATAGCCCTCACAGTCTTATACTGTTGCTATTTTGGAATCCGTCTCTTTAAAACAGCGTTATTTTCATTTTTTTTAATGTTCGCATGATCCGCCATATGTAAACAAAATTGGATAGTCGTCATATTACTAATTCAGTCGTATTTATCATCTTAAATACATTCTTTCTCAAAACATGATTTAATAATGAATATTTTAGAGAATTGAAAATAGATACAATATTATTAGTCCAAAAAATAGGTAATCTTAATCTATCGCATCCTTATAATCGCATAAATCATAAGTTGATGGGCCCTAATTTTTTTCCTTCTACCACTTTGTTAATATTTTGCTACTTTTAATCGTAGATTAAAGCGTGATGAATATGAGATAATCATGCAAATATACTATCAAAGATATTATAGTATTACTATGATTCATTAAATTCATAACTATCAAAGATTAACCTCACTCTAAGCTCTTCGATAAGGGTAATGTGACGGTCTTAGACACGTGATGTTTCAAGAAATGTTAGATTTCGATAAATTCCGTTTATTCAAACTTAATTCACGACACAATTGAATACAAACAACATAGCTATGTACATTGAATTATGTTAATTAACAGTAGATAGTTGCGAAGTCTTTCAAACTCTTATACTATTAAAATCCTTTTTTTTTAAGTCTTTGTAACAGTAGTACAGTTAGTAACATCGCATCCGATCCCGATGCATATATCCATCCGCGGTGGTAACCATTTAACATCAGGTGAACTGCGCGGTGCTGAAGAAAAGTGGTTTAAAACGACGAAGGTCCACTCGCAGATACCTGTAATGTGAGAAGGTGGCAAGCGAGTTGGCGTTTCACCTGATGTTAAGTGATAACCGCCGCCCATGGACATTGCAACATCCGTAGCGTTGTAGATGCATTGCCACCTTTCAATAAACTCTATACATAAAATAGTTAAAACGTCACGATGACTTGGTGGAGCCGTTTTAACATACAACCAAAAACGTGAGCGATAAAAATATGATAAAAAAGTGGTCGCTGAGGACAGGATTCGAACCTGCGCGGGTAAAACCCATTGGATTTCAAGTCCAACTCCTCAACCACTCGGACACCTCAGCTATGACGATGGTAAGATAATAGTTGATTTAATTCTCGCACGGCGATGAGTAAAAGTTAAAAGTAGTAGCGAATTCAATTAAAAGAAATGGTAATGATTAAGTTTTATTAAAGTTTCCTCCATTTAACGAACAGAAAACATACAAAAAGTAAGTTAATTATATATCTCTCCTTTCATTTAACTCTCCACAATTAGTGCTATAAATTTACTCGGTGGCACCGTTGCTAAGTTATTGGCTTCGGCGAAGGGGGTAGTGGGTTCGATTCCTACACGAGTCAAGTATTAGTGTGACCCACAAATAATTGTTCCAGATTTAGGTGTTTGTGGTTGAAGGAGGGTTAACGTCAGGCAGGCGGTCGTAAAATAATAGCCGAAACCGCTTACAACATGATTCACATGTTGTAGCTTGAATACCCCATCTAGGTGGGATATGCGCAAGAGGATGCCGATGATGAAAAAGTTAAAACGACAGAGTTCTACATAGTAAACTTGTGCAAACTCTGGGCAGTTTTAAGTTTGCTTTGTCTTAATGTTGTAATGACTTGCCCCCTCCACTTCGTAACATCTACTCCTAAAGTGGTTTCGAAATAAAATATCGAAAATGGCTTATGATGCAGCAATCATTGGATTCGAGTAGGTACCCAGTGTTTTAAATAGTCCATGTACAATATTTTATGTAAATATAATAAAGCCTGTTCTTTATGTAAATTATGTCTAGCCAGGACAGAATAGTTGGTGTACCTTCCGTGCTACAACTTGTTAGTTTTTCATTTCTGTTACTTTTTATATATACTTGTGCACTGTATGTATATTTAGACAGATAAACGATTTATTATTAGATATTATAGCTCAGTGTCCGGGCGCTCATTTTAATTTTAATTTCATTTACTCGAGCGACCTCAGTCCGATCCCCGGTGCCAGCCAATGAAATTTTTAATTTTAAGTGCTAAAATTATTACGTGCTCGGCGGTGAAGGAAAACATTGTGAGTAAACCTACATATTTTCCGAATAATAATAAAAAAAAAACACTTGGAAATATCAAGTCCGCCAATCCACAGTGGGGTCGCGTGGTGGACTATACCGTTCATATCCTCTTTACAAAGGAGGCCTTTGCCCAGCATTGGGACATTTATAGACTATTACTTTTACTTTTTACTATTTTACTAGCAGTTATATTATTGTTAGCGGTCAAAGGCAATTAACAATGAGTTTTTTTTTTTATTATACGCCAGAATAGCTCGTAGATCGCAGAATTTTTTCCTACTTACTTGACACGTATTGTTATATTTCGGATAATTCACTTAACATCTTTATCAATTATAGCCTATGTGTTATTCTGATGTAAGTAAGTGTTTGTGAGCTATATTATTGTAAATTTTCATTAAAATCCATTCAGTAGTTTTTGTGTGAAAGAGTAACAAACATCCATCCATACATCCAAACTTTCGCGATTATAATATTATTAGGATGTAAGGATGTAAGGATGTAAGGATGTAAGACGGTAAGGATGTAAGGCGGTAAGGATGTAAGGATGTAAGGATGTAAGGATGTAAGGATGTAAGGATGTAAGGATGTAAGTATGTAAGGATGTAAGGATGTAAGTATATTAGGATGTAAGGATGTAAGGATGTAAGGATGTAAGGATGTAAGGATGTAAGGATGTAAGGATGTAAGGATGTAAGGATGTAAGGATGTAAGGATGTAAGGATGTAAGGATGTAAGGATGTAAGGATGTAAGGATGTAAGGATGTAAGGATGTGTAAGGATGTAAGGATGTAAGGATGTAAGGTATGTAAGGATGTAAGGATGTAAGTATATAAGGATGTAAGGATGTAAGGATGTAACGATGTAAGGATGTAAGGATGTAAGGCGGTAAGGATGTGAGGCGGTAAGGATGTAAGGATGTAAGTATGTTAGGATGTAAGGATTATTACTTACGAGTCGTGCAGCTCCTGCACCTCGGGCCTGACGTATGAGGCGGTGACCATGTGCACGCCGGCGCCGATGCAGGCGCGCGCCACCGCGCCGTGGAGGTCGTATGGCAGCAGCGAGACGACCAGCCGCGAGCTCGAAGCCAGCGCCTTTAATGCCGCGTCGTCGCTCGCCTGGACGTACTCGGAGCGGACCCCGTAGCGCTCGGCGAGCGCGTCCGCCTCCTCCTTCACCTGCGACGCTTTGAGCGCAGGGAAGGCAGCATTATCAACCGACTTCAAGTATTAAAGTTTGTAGAAAAAAGTAACGAAGAGTTCCTCGTGACGTGGGAATCGAACCCGCGTCTTCGGGATTCGCGCCCTGACGCTCTAGCCACTGAGCTAAACGGCTGATCGCCACACCGACGATATTCCCAACGTTCTTTATCTACATTGATTTTTAGCATTTGAAGCAATGCTTGGCGCATCATTGTTATATCCTTTCCGGCATACAAAAAACTTCGAATATCGTTTTACAATGGTAATACGAACGAGAGATATCTATTGAGACCATTGCTATTTTAGATTTTTTTATAGTGCTATTCTCTGCGCTTAAAATTAAGCATTATTTGTAGAAAAGAGGAACGAAAAGTTTCTCAATAGGTACAGGTTCCCTAATCGGTTGTATGTATTTTTTGTTTTAGCTGTGATAGCTTAGTCTCCGAGCGCTCGCATTTAATTCAATTTACTCGAGCAACCTCGTTCGATCCTCGGTGCCGGCACCAATGAAATTATTAATTTTAAGTACTGACTTATTACGTGCTTAGCGGTGAAGGAAAACAACCCGAAGAAACTTGCATATTTTCGAAATAATAAAAAAAATATTTCAATTATGTTGGCAACATTCAGAGATCCACCTCGGTTGCTTAGTTCACTGGATACCGTTACTATTCTCCATTGAATAAAAAGGAAATCGTTTATGTGCTTTAATACGTTTGTAAACTTATGTACGCACGTAGGTAAATTTTAAAACTTTAGCGTAACAACCGTGTACTCTTTGTTTGTGAAGAAAAGACATTGAATGCAAATGATAATAGTGTAATTAAATATTTGGAATTATAGGTAAATAAATGTCATAGAAGTTGTTATTGGTTGCTATAGTAATACCATAAAAGTGTGCTGCTTCTACGTGTTGTAATCGTAAAATTCACTCAACTTCACTTTCATCGCTTCAGGCAACTGTTTAAGTAGCCTATTAGACTCATAAAATGATATGTCAGACATACCAATAGTGACAGCGACGTTCTTATCCCTCGCCAAGTACTCCACAACCGGCGCAGAGACCAGCCCACTGCCGAGGATCAGCACGGGTGTCTGCTGCTCGTGACCCTCGACCTTATGACGCGAACGCCTGCGAACACACATACATTTTAAGACATTTTAACACACATTTATATATATAATTCTTCTGTACGTGTGTACGACACTGAACACCTAAACGGCTGAACCGATTTTAATGAAACTTTTTGGATGTCTTCAAATGGATTCGAGAATGGTTTAGATTCACAATTCATTTTTTTTATTTATAAGTTGTTTTCGGATTTAAGTCGCATGTACAGGACAACGTCTGTTGGGCCCGCTAGTCTTTTATATGTATATACAAACGCATACTCTTATTTAAATACTCGTACATACAAATTATTAAGTGTACAGTAACTGAATCATTACCCGTATATTTTCTTATAACGGAAATTATTTATCATGTCAAAAAGTAAATTTTGGGTAAAGTAAAATAAAGCAAATTTCATAAAAAATAGCAAATGTCATCAGAATTTCTAAAGAAACTTACATTTTCGTTTATACTATAATTCCTATTGTTTATACACTAAAACCATCCGATAAAGCCACGCAGATGTCGGCTGACAGAGAAACTTACATTTCCGTTTATACTATAATTCCTATTGGTTATACACTAAAACCATCCGATAAAGCCACGCAGATGTCGGCTGACAGGATAACAATATTTTTACATTAATTAGCGTAAATTGAGAAGAAAATGTTTCATTTTTAAAGAAAACATCAATGAATTGAATACATAATAGGCAAGACTAATGAGAGTGTCATCAAGATAAGATAAAGGTATTAATAACGTTAAGTATAAACATGTAACAACCACTATTAAAATATAAACAATTTTTAATTGTGTCATAGTATAATTACAGCTTAAAAATTCAGGATCACCAATAGAATAATAATTATATAAAATAATTAGGATAACTAATAATCGTCTTCTACCCGCGACGAAAGTTCATAAAGATATATTTTAATTAAAAGAAATACATACATGTTATGTATATGTCTACAACATAAATACATTTACATGATGTCAAAATACAACATAAATACATACATATATAATACCACAACCTCACAGCAAAGCGGCGTGAAATATTAGAGTTTTATTTCTACGGTTCGTCTGGTGAGTGAGGTAACCGGTGCCCACTTTAGTATGTAATTTATATTATTTAAAGGTGGCATTGCATTTGTAACCCTGCGGGTCAATGGGCGGCTGCTAGCATCAAGTGAACCTCCAGAGCGGTTAGATGACAGCAGATTGCCATCTTCTTACAAAAAAAATGATTAGATCGCCGAAAAAATTAGCCGACGAAATAAAATTAGTAAGTTTTTAGTTAAATAAAGTTATTAGTTAAGTTAGTTAATTAGTTATTAGTTAAATAAAGTAAAATTAAGCCTTTACTCACTATTTGACAGTCAATCAGGTTGTTATAATATTAGTAGGATGTAAGGATGTAAGGATGTAAGGAGGTCAGGTTGTTGACATAGAGGGTGTTTTCAATGACGCTGTGAAATATTTTAAGTAAAGAGTCAGCTATCTCACACCGTATTCAAACAAATAATTTATACTATTAAATTTCATCATCATCATCATCCTGCAGTTATCCCACCAAGTGGGGTCGGCACAACATGTGAATCATGTTGTAAGCGGTACCAGCTACGTTTTTTACTACCGGCCGAATGCCTGACCACAACCCTTGGGAAACAAACACCCAGATCCGATACAATTATTATACGTGGTTTACACACATAGGTACTTGTCCCGTACGGGAATCGAACCCACGACTCCCATAGAAGCCAATAACTTAGTAGCGGCGCCACCGAGTAAAATAGCACTAATTATGGAGAGTTAAATGAAAGGACCGATATATAATAAAACTGTTTTTATATGTTTTCTGCCCGTTTAACATTAATAAAACTAAATCATTACCATTTCCTTTAATTAAATTCGCTACTATTGTTAACTTTTGCTCATCGCCGTGCGACAATGAAATCAACTATTATCTTACTATCGTCATAGCTGAGGTGTCCGAGTGGTTAAGGAGTTGGACTTGAAATCCAATGGGTTTTACCCGCGCAGGTTCGAATCCTGTCCTCAGCGACCACTTTTTTTTTTATAATATTTTTATCGCTCTCGTTATTGGTCGTATGTTTAAATTTGAAAAAGTAGTTAGAATAAAACATGATAATTTCTGTTGCAAACGTACTTCATTTATGTTACCAAAATTTATTATTTAAAATTTAATATTAAGGTAAAAACAAAAGATGACAAGGTTATTCAAAGACTCCAAAAATAAAGAAAGAAAAGAAAATTAATTGGAAAGACTAAATAAAATATTTTAATTTTTTTTTCAGGAGGCAGGTGGTTAACAATATACATAAATTATAATCTTATGATTCTACTAATTTATTTTTAGCATAATTGGCATTCGAATCCAATTTCTTTGTTCCCAGTTAATATGCTATTTGCTGTAGAACGAAACTTCTGCTAGTAAATATGCATGTTATTGTTGTTATAACTCAATCTGTATGAAATACCTTATGTTTTTTTTATGTAACCAAGTTTTTTATGTAATGGCAAGCGAGCTGGCGGTTCACCTGATGCTAAGCGATAACCGCCGCCCATGGACATTTTCAACACCCGTAGACTGCCACCTTTCTCTTTCAAAAAAGTGGGCCCGGTTACCTCACTCACCAGACGAAACGCAGAAGGATAACACTTCCACTTCACGCCGATCTTCTATCAGCTCATGATACTTCCCCAGACGGAACTGCCCGTTCAAAAGCGAAGACTGCTGCGTGGCCCACACCATGGTAATTTCGTATTTTCGCCACTTAACTCTTGCCAAAGAAGAATTCTCGTATTTGATTAATTTCCCGGAAACGTTTTCGCTTATTGATAGCTTTATTAATCACAGCCAATGTTTGAATGGATGATATGTTTTGTTGGACATAAAACGCATGAGTGCTTAGACTTGCGAATTGCAATGTTTCATCGAACCTCAATATTTGAACCACAACTTTGACGGTCTTACACTGTCAAGTATGAAATACAAGTTAAAAATTGTAATCACTTACGTATTGGTCATACGGAGTTCATTGATGTACTCGAAAGAGGGCGTCAGCTTGCCGTTGCTTGTAATTATGGCCTGTAATGTGAAAATATTTTTAATGTAATGTGTAACCATATTGTAAAAAAATATTGTTAAAAGGATATAAAAATTGTTACTGTAATTTCATGAAATTTTGTTCAATTTCATTCGATTTAAAATCCTAATGCATTATGAAATTTAACTCTCTTCATTTGCGTAACAAAAATACGTATAAAAGACTGGTGTTCGTGTATAGTACAACGCTCACCTTGAGTACATAACAATATGTAAAATATGTTATCCATACCCAAAAAAAACACAGGATAGAGCGGAGAAGGAGGAAGAGGGGAACGGGAAATGTATGTATGTATATATTGACACAATTAACATACGCCTTTAACCACGGGCGAGAAGTCATGCTCGTCAAGCGGCTTACTGGCATCAGACTTCATGATGTCGTCCGCATATGGGTACAGTAGGTCTCCGAAGAAATCAGTGGACTCTCTCGGTAGCTGGGTCGGCATGTTGTCTATGGAGCACACCAGGACCCCGGGACCTTTGAAACTAACCGTTTCTAATTCAAGCCATTTTCATATTCACCATTAGGACGCCCAAGCCTTTACTAGGGCCCTGTAATACTAGTTAAATACCAAATACCTGAAAGTCAATCATTCCCTTATCATTTCATTCACCGTTTTTAAGGAGACCTCGAATGCAATTCTCTAGACATTTGTCAATTATCTTCTTAAAAATGGTCAAAATCAAAATCAATGTCTTTATTCAACATAGGAGCATTACACTCGCTTATTGATAGTCAAACCACTACCACCGGTTCGGAAAAGAAAGCCACTGTACTGAGAAGAACCGGCGAAAGAAACTCAGCGGGCTTTTTTTTAATTTTTTTTTAATATAAGCTGTTTGACATGAATTCATTAAAAATACAATATAAGGACTCTGATTGAAAGAGCCTGGAGCGGTCAGTTCTACCAGAGTGTGTTATCATTTAAATAATCATTAATATTATAGTAGCCGTTAACACACAAACGTTCTTTTAGTATTTTTTTAAATTTAGCTATTGATGCATTTTGAACGTTTTCTGGAATTTTGTTGTAGTAACGTATTCATTGTCCCATAAAAGATTTACTTATTTTGCGCAGTCTACTTGTGGGTAGGATCAATCGTGGGTAGGTCTGTAATTGACTACAAGGAGTACGCAGAAGGCGCACACCTGCGCATGAATGTCCTATTCTTATTGCTACCCTCTTACTTACTTATTCTACCTTCGTTGTCTCAATAAAGTACATAGAGAGTATATTATTACAATCTTATAAATATATATTTGGATGACGGATCCAAAATCAATGACTCCACCGCCACATGTCATTTGGTCACAAACTCCGAAAAACGTTATCGTTTGCAAATTGCTATTATATTATTATCACAGCTCCCTTGGCTTACTAATAAGTTTCTGGATAAAGCGAACCAAAATCAATGACCGCATCTTAATGTAACATTTTGTCGGCCAATAGGACCTAAAAATTACATTCTTTTATATTGTTATTAACCTTTTAGTGTCCTTGTTTCTGTCCGCGTCGTAGAGACAGAACGGTGTGTCGATAGTGGTGCATTCGTTCATGAACTCTATCGAGCCCCCGGGGTCCGCCGATATGTCGCAAATGGCCAGCATTCTGCGACAGAATTGAATCATAATGGCGCCTCGTCCTCACAGCGAACGCTTATCTGTTACGGTAGCCACTATTAAGGCCCATTTACACGATGCCATTTTCTTGTACATGCAAGAGCAATAATTGAATGCAACAAATTGCGCGCAATAATTGGTTAGACCATTTGTTGTTTAGACCATGCAACTCATTTATTGCTTCAATTTAATTGTATACAACAGGCAAGAAACTTGCACCGTGTAAATGGGCCTTTACGTTAGCCACTATTTATCTCACTTAGCGGAATCAATAATTGCTTTGCGGTTCGTATCGGAAGGAAAAATACATCAGTTTTTAATTGTATATCGTACCATGTCAACATTTTTTTAATGTATTTATTTATTAAAAATAGTGTAAATGTTATTTTATTAGCCCGTTCGCGATTCACATCATCCTATTTTAGCGACTTTCTTTATACGTTATGCGCAATATTAGTAAAATTTAAAGTATAAAAAACATCTTTTACAATACATTGTAAGTTTTTTGCAAAGTTGAAAATAACAATAAATTAACAAAAAAAATTTTGCTCTGATATTCGGAATGTTTTAACCGATGAACAAATTTCTGCAAAGTTACGTCTGATAAGTTTTTATGTTATTAAGTCATGTATAATTGTATACATTATCTTATGTAATATTGTTAATTATGTTCTTATTTTGAATTTACAGAAGCGATGATAACAGTATACTTTTCTGTATTTGTGTATGTAATAGGTTTTAATGTTGGCTAAAACATTTAACAATGTGTATATATAATATATAAAAATAGTTTGTCTATACCAAAATTACAAATTACAATAGTTGGCTAGTAAATAAACGCTTGAATAAGACTCCATACAGACAAGTTAAATATGAATTTTGCGATTAATGACGTTCGTAGCTTTCAGATGTAAATAGTTCAGTCAGTGAATCAAAATTAAATCTAGTAGACAACATTTTCTAAAAAGCAAAAGAAGTATCTGTATGTTTCTTAAAATATTCTACCATGAACTGAATTATTGTTTTTATATATTCATCTTATAACAATACCTTACAAGGAATTGCGACATATTCATTGTTTTTATTTGTTTTCGTATTACATCCACTTAAAGATAGGGCTGGGTGAAAAGGTCAGGCTTCGGTTCGCCTTGTCGACACGCGTTTAGATGTAACAATGATAAATAGCAAGATAAAGCCTGATTTTCACTGTACGAACTCTATGGCCGGAGCATTTGGAGGAGTACTGTAACGCAAATCGAACCGTGTTAAGCCTTGATTTCTATTTTTACGAGATCACTCATTAGTGTTGTTTAAGTACTTTTAGTTTCTCTTTCATAAAAAAAAAGGATTGAATAATGAACGTGGCAATTTCCGTAGAGTCCTAACTCCTACGGCACAATCTAATATGAATGCTCTTTGTCTGAGATTTTCCCGTAAAGTTAAAATCCGGCTTAACGGCTGCAAAAACATTTTAGGGTCCTCGAATAATATGCTTTCTTTGCACCTTTAATAAACAGAACCGAATTTAAATATTTGAAAAATCAAAAAAAAATTCACCTGAACTGAGAACCCTTTTCGAAGTCGGTCGAAAACCTATCGACGATTATTCAAGAACATATTGCATGCTATTTTATAATATCACATCAATTGCAATAGATAAAACGAAACTTGCTAAAAAATAAAAATGTTTAATTTTTTTAATGGTGTAAATTTACTTAGGCAGTATTTTTCATTTGACAATTTCGTTTTCTTAACCAACTGATAGCCTGCAGAAGTTAAAGCATAAACAAGTGTGCCAATTTGTTATTGAAAACATAGTCTTTATCACCTGTGCGGTAGAGCCGGGGCTCCGACACTCTTCGGCAGCCACGGAGTGTGCGATGGCAGGAATAAATGCTTCGCATCTGGTATAGTCAGCAGTTTCGGACTGTCTACCGCCCAATAGATGCAGTTCACGAGAACGGACGTGTAGGGCGCTATCTGCATTCAATAGTAGTGCGAGTTGAATACAACCATTTTTCAGTATCAAGCCATGCACTGATGAAACCTCAGCTAATATATTCGTATGTGTACGAGAAATAATTCTATCGGATTTTAATACTTAATTTTCTCACAGTTTTAACAGAAAAAGTCTTTAACAGAACGCTAAAATAAGTATAAACTTCGCACCGTGCGTAGAATAACGTTCTGTGGTAACATAGAACGAATTTGATTTTATCGTCGAAAAGTCTTAATTATTGTCTACGCTTTGAGACGTAAAATTTTTTTTCGTCTGACTTATAGATATTGAGATTCAGAATAAAACAACGTTCTATCTGGTTTGTGCTCCGCAGTAGAAGGACATAATTATGTACGTTTAGACACTGTTTTTTTGTACTGACTAGACTAAGCTTACTAATGTAATAGACAAGTGTAAAATACTCTATTAGCGTCAATTGATAATTATTACACAGTCACCCACTTTTTATGTTTTTTTCATTAAAAAAAGTGCTACGTGCCTTTTATGTCATACATATTTTCTGAGTTTTTCGAAGAACAACGTTATATATGAACGTGTGACGTATTATTTTTTGGAATGTTCCGTTGAACAACGTTATATAACGGCATTTTCCGCAGGAAAACGTCACTATTACACATGAAACCTTTTATTTTTTTAATTATTTATTCAAATAGTATACTGTTTGTTAATATATCTAATCATATCACAAACCTCAAAAATTGTAATAGCACCTGCTATGTATAAGAAAACTATAACCATCTAGAGAAATTCTATATCTTTATTCAGATATAAAGAAATTCTGACAAATATTATATTCCAAACGCGGCAAGCGCTCAATACCTATTGCAAGAAAGATACTTCTCGTCTTTTGACTTTAATTTTACAAAACTATCTTTCAGTTTCTGCAATAAATTATTAAGTCGATTTTGTTTATTCAATTGCGGATACAAAATACATAGTAAAGATTTAATTCATTTTTATTATTATTATTATATTTAATTATTTTAAATGAAACTTTATTTTCGGATTACATCGCATTTAATTAAAACTTAATAAAGTAATTAGAACTTCGTAATTGCGAGCAATTAAAATCTTGGCTTCACTCACTTAGACTCACTCATTTAGACTTAAGCATCAAATGATTTGTTCAACCTGCCAAACAATTTTATATAGTCATTTTAATACTTCGATATGTGAAGGATGGCAATCCGCAGTGGGGACAACCTATGTCTAGCAATAATGCTAAATATAAAGGCCGTAAGGTATTTAAGTATTAATGTTATTTTTCTATGTTGTATTTCGCTTACCGTCTGCGCGAAAGTAGAGATGTAACGTTCAGGATGCTCCTCGTATTCCTGATGGTCATAGCCGCCTCCGTTCTTCCTCACTAGGTGATGACGGCGCCTTACTTCGCAGCCATAAATTTTGTTCGGACCTTTAATAATTCACTAATTAAATAAATCAAAAATTTCATTAATTAAATAAAAAACTAAATATAAATTCATTTATTTCTTAAATTTGTCTCTCGGCTAAAAGATTCGAAAATTCTAAAAACTATGACTATATAAAAACAATAACTAATTTATTTACTAACTGTAAAACTAACTTAGTCAACTATTTCTGTTGACAGAGCAGCATATCATCGGCTGTTGCAGGAGTGGGCACGGGCAAGCACCTCTGGGGAAGTAACACAGACTCACAGAAAACCAGCTTGAAGTCAAAGTATTTGTCTTTCGCGTTTCGTCTGGCGAGTGAGGTAACCGGTACCCACTTATTTAATGTTGGCAATACATCTGCAAACCGTCCGGTATTGTAGATGTCCATGGGCCGCGGAAATCACCTAACACCAGGTGAATCGCCAGCTCCTTTGTCAACTTTTAACATAAAAAAAAGATCGTAAGAAATACACTATATTCCGTTCAGTTGTTTAGATTTCCCTATTTTTATACTTATGAATAAATCTAATTATACTTGCTGAATAGAACTGTACATCACTTACTGCCATGCTCAGCCACTTTCCGCAACATCTCGGGCGGTACGTACTCGTGCGGAAGCTCTTGGAATATCTCTTGACTTCCCTGTCATTAATACGAGTGCTGTTAGTTTCCTTATCGCTGTCATAACTTAAGCTCAATGAAATATCTTTATAAGGACGCTTGTTATCTTGTAACTGTTCAGGGCTATTGTGCATGGGCTGTTTTGTGAAGGGTAATTATACCCTAAGGGATATTTTAAAATTTAGTTCAATAAATTGTTTATTACATTTTTGCCTTTGGCTACTTCTAGGGCCACGCAACAGCATCTGCTGTCACGAATGAGCAGGCTCGTCTGCGAAATACCACTTCCAAAATACCACCGTGAACAGGAAGTAATATACTTTCGCCTTTCACCTGGTGAGGTAACGGTTCTTTAAAAATTGGAAACACATCTGCCATCCTTCGAGAGTTCTAGATGTCCATGGATGGGAGTAATCACCGAGCATTGGTTGAACTCATCCAACCATCAATTTTTCTTACGAAATAACTTTTACTTAGTATTATGCTTCTGGCTCGTATACATAAATGTTACTACTGACCCACATTTTTATTTCTTTATTAAACCAGTGGAAAAAATAAAATAACATAATATCATAAATCAAATCATAAACTTACCATACAATAATTAATATATTGGATTGAATGCAATGAATTGAAATAAATTTAGTTAACTAATTCTTCAATTACTAACCAGGTCTGACAAAACTGCATTATGGATTTTGTAAAACGAAACAGCATATGAATATAATAATATAAATTAAAAAAATTAACGTCACGTTTATATCTACTTATATTTAAAATGAGATTTGTTGAGATTCCGCCGGATTCCTAGATGAGATTGCGTGCACGCAAGTAATGTGTGGCGTTACCGCTTCTCCGTTACGTATTGACACACCTGGGACACGTTCCCCGAACCGGTGAAGACGAAAGTAAGTGGTCCTAGGGACTTCGGCATCATCCCGAGGGCCACCTCGTAGCCCGCGTCACGGATAGCTTGACGCGCCATGCTGGAGTTTCTGTAGTTGTGCGCTGGGCCGACATGCTGAACAAGACATATTTTTATGCAAAAAGTTGCCAAGCGAGCGGATGGTTCATCTGATATTAAGTGATTACCGCCGCCCATGGACTTCTGCTACCCCCGAGGGTTCCAGGTGCGTTGACAACCTTTTGAAAATTGGGCTCCGGCCACCTCAGTCACCAGACGAAACGCGAAAGTATTATATACTTCCACTTTACGCCGATCTTCTGTGAGGTCGTGATACTTGCCCGGACGAGCCTGCATGGCCCTACCGCGATTCCTAAATTAACATCAATGGGTCAATAAAGACTGAATTACGCATATATCTTAACTTATTATTATAACTTTAAACTAGCAATTTTCTTAAAAAAACAACTTTTAGAGAAAAAAATAACATATGTATTGCTAATAATGTCTGTTTATTTTCTATTGGATCTGAGCCTACGGGTTCCTCGGATCTCGGTGACAAAAAAGACAGTCTTAACGATAAAGATTATTGTAAGCCATTCGCTTTACTTTAGTAAATATCATAACCGTTACAAGTTACACCCTGAACAAACTTGTGAGAAACGTGTGCACTTAACTGGGATGGCAATCAGAGACACTCATCCTAAATGTTTTACTAGACCTTGACTAGGTTTTAAGATTTGAGAAGAAATTTTATCAACATTTGTATGTTACACTACACAACATATCCTATCAGGATGGAATTGATGGATTAGTTTCCAACGTTATGTCGTTATGGTCGTGTGTTTTTTATGTGATCGATCCAGCTCTTTAAAATTTAACATGAAATTTAAGAGCTTTACCAATTGTGATCATAGACACAACAGCAATTATTTTATTAAATAATATTTGTATTAAATGCGTCTTGTATTAAAAAATATTTCATTCAAAAATATATAAAATAATATTTTTCAAAATAAATATTATTAAACCTGATTTTAATCATATTTAAACTAAATGTATTTTATTTACAGTGTTCCCACAAATTTATTAGGTATGTACATATTTTTAAAACGTAATTAAATTGATAAATTATTGAGACGACTTTAAATTATATGCCAAAAAGCTGAGGCCAAAACACAGCTTGTCGGGCTAGCGAAAAGCTATACAAGGCCTCTGCTTTATCTAAACAAACAATTACCATAAACGGCGTGTGGTGTCCCAAAGCGAGGAGCCTCAATCCAAGACCGTGCAGTATATTGATCATGCCAGCGACACCAGCATATTTACCGAAGGCCACCACTCGATTCCCAGCACCGTCCATCAACTTCTCATAATCTATCAATCGTATATTCTGCAAATTTCAAAGTTACAATCACTTTTCATTAATGATGCGGCTTTAAACACATACTTACTTTTTTATTAATATTTTTTTTCTTGCAGGATATAAAGTTGCTTATGGCTTCAACCAGCGTAATGTCTACATAATAAACTATCTCAATTCCGAGTTTAGATTCTATATGTTAATACAATACTTACGCAAACAATTAATACAAAATTAAGGCCAAGCTTCTTGCTTACTAACCTTTGCTAGAATGGCATCCAGCATTGGCATGTTCGCCTCTTGCGCTTTAATAGTGTGGGAGAAGAAGCAGTAAGTCTTGTTCGGTATGAGGAGGTCGATGGGCGTCTGTTTCACCCCGAATATGACGCTCGCTTCGCTGATGTCTTCTTGAATTATTGCGCCGGCGTTTAGATAAGACTGTAACCAAAACGATTTTATTGGAGACAATGCCAAGTTCGCGAACATCTTACGTTCGCCAATATTCATATGAATATTTTTTAGAATTAAGAACTGTCTAAAATTTGTACATCTATTTGTTCTTCTTTGAAAATACGAACATTTGAATTTATAACTGTCTGCCAATCTTCAATTGATCTGTAGTTCTCTGGACACATATTGGCGTTTAATCTATATGCTAATGATCCTCAAAATCATAATAGTTTGGTTAGTTTCCAAAGTTCACTTGAGTGACTGAAGAATTTTAATGCAATTTAACTTTGAAAAGTTCCCTTGCTTTTTTATGTGTGAATGTTGCAAGCTAGCTGGCAGTTCATCGGTCATCACATAACATCAGGTGTTATGTGATAACCGCCACCCATGGACATTTGCAACGCCCGTAGGATTGCAGATGCATTGCCACCTTTCAATAAAGTGGGCCCCCTAGTGGGTTACTTTCTCACTAACGAAACGCAGAAGCCACTTCCACGGTCTTCTGTGAAGTCGTAGTGCTTCTCGTGCAACAGCGAACTGTTGCGTGGCCCTACCACAGATTACCTATTAACTCACTTGTTTCGTAAAACATCCTTTACCTCCATTGGACGTATCTATAGTCCTTACCTGCATTGGATATGCACGCCTGTTGGAGGGTTGTACTATAACCTTCACTCCCTGCCGCACCAGCCTGTTCACATTCGCCGGAGAAAAGGGGGCACGTCTTTCCCATACTGATTGATCTTCCCTCCGTATCGCTATGACTCTTCGAGGCTAAAGTTTTATAATAGCTATGACAAAACGGTCTAATTTCTACTAAAATAACGTTTTCTTCTTTAGTGCAACCTTTTTTAAACGTCAGCTTTTATTCTTTGCGGTAAATTTAAATTATTTCGAACAGTTCGATAATCCACTGTTAATACTAAGAGCAATAACTTAAAATTTAATTTCTGTTTGTTATAACTTCTTTAGTATTTTTTTAATTAATTAATAACGTTTTATTTTTCATGTTTTAAGTCAAACTTATCATCAGATCACAGAATGAGTTCAACAAGGGTAATGCAATCGACATGAGCAAATATCAATCGTCAAACAAGCAGGTCTGAATGCAAGAAGCCGATAAATGGAACAAATGTTTAATAATAAACAAAAAAGACAAATAAGATATAGGAATTGTTGTTTCCATCGTAACACGACGCTATCGAATATTTTATGCGATAATACTTATGGAAAATTATTGATTATTACATATGTATATACTATTGTAGGCTTCGACGTGATTTGTCATTCTTAAAAATGTTAATGTTTTCTTTGCTTGTATATTTTTTTTGTGATATCTATAAAACTTGTGGCCGACATTCTTATCTTTTGATACTAATAAACTTTGGGATTCCGGGTAGATACACGGTAAGATTAGACAACCCTTAAGAATATTAATAATACTAAAAATGCGAAACGTGCATTTTTGTACTTCTTTCAAGATTTTTGGAAAAGGTGTATATACTTCATGAATCAGAGAGTCATTGACTGTGATAGAACATATAGAATATCTATCACACATTTCCGTAGTAGGTCGACATAGATTTGTTGATTCTGTGATTCATTCCTCCCCGTGAAATATTCGAAAGAGTAACTTGAGATTTGATTTTGTGTGACTGTTTGACCATTATACAATATATGTATATGCGGAGCTCTGCTCTTTTTTTATGTATTTCACTTGTCTTTGATCTTCCGGGATTAATACGAAAAAGGTTTTCGCAATAGAAAATGTTTTAGTCTTTTATGGCGATAGAAATGTCAAGAACAGGTTGCAACGTTTGCCTATAAATGGTATGAGAAGCAATGTTAGGCCTAGCTCTAGAAACGAATGAATGAGAAAATATCTTTGATGGATATCACAAAGGCCATAATCAAAGGAAATGGATACATTTCTACATGTGTGTAGAACTCAACACTACATGTGTGTCAATTGATCGTACAACCTCTTTATAACGTTTCATAATTAATATGTTACGGATAAAAGTGATCTGAGTTTTATTCCCCATTAATAATTGAAAATCGTAGTAAGTAATTAACGACGAACAAAAATCAATACCATTCCTCTAGAGTTACAGTAAGACGAAAATGATGCTAAATTTTCGTAAACGAATCGTCAATGAGATCGTCACCCTTTTTCGATAAACGGATCTAAAGCTTTGGAACAAAATATTATAAGACATATCTTTATTTTATTTCCGTATATATATACATGGAATATGTTAAAAATAATTTGATAAATCAAATGATAATAATCGAATCTTTTTATGGATTTTAGTTTTATCGAATTCTTAATAAGCGTTAAGTTATATGATTATTTAAAGACGTTGTTTGTTCTCTGTCATGGTAATGTACGAAAATCATCATGATCTGTATTTACTCCAATCTTTCCTTATAAATAATTGTTTACAGTATTCGTAATTTTAAGTAATATTTTAATTCATATTCTTCGCGGCATAATAATCCTGAAGGAAAACTACGATATGATCCGTGACAGTAGGTACTTTGAATCCATTCTGAACTTAAATGAATTAAAATGTGCTAATTGCGAGCCCGTCGCTATCTTGGAACACTGGTCAGTTTTCATACAGAAGCATGTTTAAAATATTTATGAATAAAAATCTCTTATATGACATGCTTTACTTTAAACAGATTTTACAAATTCCGTTGGGCATACTTCTACATTATAACAAGAAGGTTTCCAAATAAGAAAAAAACCAACGCGTATAAAAATAATATGGAAAATCCAATATTAAAAAATTCCACATTTTCCTTTTAACTTTAAAGAATCACAAATTCAAAACGTACCTTCGAAGTCGATACAGACAACTGTCTCACCAAATGGCTTTTCGTTCGGAAAGCCGCAGCTTTATATGACATTTTAAGAAATATTAAATTAAAAAAAAAACTACGATCAACTTAACGTAATCAGTCCGCTTCTTGTGAAGCGTGTGAGTGATCTATACTCGTGTGTTTGCGTTTCACTGACATCCCAATCGGAGTTCCTTACAGAAAACATTAATATCGGTGTGACGTTTTTATCTATAAACGTTTATAATAGACTGTTACGTTATTTAATTGCCGTGCGTTGAGCTGAACATATCTCAGTTTATACTTACCGATACGATGACATTCCATTTCATTCGTGATGATTTATTTGGGTCCAAACAAAAGGTGCGTTGGTTCAAGAGTGGTTCACAATGTGTGGTGAATTTTTTTTGATTTTTTTACACCGTCTCAAAAATATCTTAATTATATTTATGACTAGATTTTCGCCCGCGGCTTCGCCCGCATGTACTACATGTTATATCGTGCTAAAAAATTACCTACGGAACCGTTCGTCCACGAGACCGATTCGCACCTGGTCGATTTTTTTAACTTTATACAGCGTGTCTTTACAATCGCGACAATAAATGAACACATTTATAGGGGCTAACTTTTTAAAATTGTATTAATCATTTAAATTCTTTAAACATCAATATTTACAGTTATTAAATTTTCCAAAATAAAGAATTTTAGAACAGCCTTAAGTATAAAACTGTAACGTAAAGTTCATTTGTAAAGGTCACAATGCATATGAATGGGTTGAATGAATTTAAAAGAGACAAAACATACTGTTAGAAGGAGAGGCTTATAATGCGACGCTGTGGCGCGAGTAGTATAGGATGTTAAAAATTTTGTTTCTTTTTTACTTAATTAGTTTGTTTGAAAAATATATTTTTTAAATCATGGATTTTGTTTAACGTTAATATTTTTTTATGATTATTGGCAAGTAGCGTTAGACGTGTGTTCATTTATTGTCGCGATGGTAACGACACGCTGTATCAACTTTCAATCGTCGCCATTTTACAGACTATAATAATATATAGTTAACTCTAGTTTTATCCATTTCAACTGTAGCTATTATATAGCATTTTATCGCACAAATCTTCAATGTGGTTCTTTAAGTTGATAATTATATTTTTTTATTTATGAAATGATTTAAATAAAACTTACACTAAACGTTAAGCGAAGCTTACTACAATGCATAAGTTGCACCCAAATCGTTAAGCCGTTTCTGAGATTAGCGCGCACAAATGCACAGTCAAATAAAAAATAACAATCATTGTTTTAGGTTCTACTAGTTGAAAAAGGCCCCAAATAATAGTTTTTCGAGAAGAGAAGGCCCCAAATAATAGTTTTTCGAATATTACGAGAAGACGTATTCTAAAACAAAAAAAGACAAGACTTCCGACTATTTTTTTACAACTTTTTCAAGGATATTCTTTGCTCAGGACTTTTAAGATATCCCCATAGTGATACACACATTAGATACCCACATTCATGGACAGAGTTTACTTATTAAAAATAGATATTAATAAAATCACTATATCCCCAAGTTTAAATTTGATATATGGTTCCAAATTTGAATCCAAATCAGAATCAGGTTTTCTAATAACCAATGTCGATAATTTGTTGACTCAAATCGATGCTATCAGATCGATTTTAAAATAATGAAAACTTTGAACTACCTATTATCAGTTATTTAACAGATAATAGGTAGTTACAAAGTTTTCATCCATAAAAAGATCTTGTAGGCTCTTTAGCCTAGAAGACCTTTTGGATCTAGCCGTAAACAGTTTATTTTAATTTTATAAGACTTGTGTGCCGCATGTAAACCGCTGTGTAAAAGAAGCATCAAGAAACCAAAAATCAAGCAACTGCTAATTTTTTTTAAATTTAATAGATTATAGAAAGAAGAATTGAGAAAAAGGAGGACTTCAAAATTATAAAATGCTTATTTAATAATTTCTGAGTAACCAAATAAAAATACGAATTACTTTTTGCTAAGTAAATTTATTTTTTACCGTTTAGTTTCCTGTTTGAAGTCGGTTTTTTTTTTTGTTAAAAATTATTTTATTTTACGATTTTTAGTGATGGGTAAACCTAACAAGGATGCTTTTTGGATGAGGATACGACGGCTATTTGAGAGAGACAATAATAGACGGAAAGGCTTATAAGAAAATAAAATCTAAACAAATGAAAAAAGATAAAATGAATTGAGTAGCCCACACGACGAAAGAGCGTTAATAGAGATGACGCGATTACGAAAATTAATTCAGTGTCAAATTGATGCATCAGCATGCCTAGTAGGTCGTGGTATTACTATGTACAACTTCAATCTTAACTAGGTATTATTTCTGTACGAACAGAATATTTTGGCATATTAAACCGTATGAAGTAAGCCTAACAAAACTGTAACTGCTGTAAATCGTTGAGCAATCCCCTCAACTGTCTATGGTCACCATCATCAGACTTGTAATGGTACTTATAATCCATATGGGTGCAAAGTTGTCATCAATAGAAATGAATTCAGTCCAAACACCAGGTAATTGCTGTAAATCGATGAGGAGTTCCATCGACTGTCTTTCGGCTCCAACATCAGATGGACTCCAAACCTTCATCAAATAGTAATGCTTTTAAATACTTCATGAAAAAAGTTACCAAAGGCACTAGTTGCCGCTACAGTTTTCGAAGGGTCCCCTCAATTTCTCTGGAGTGCCATCATCAGATCCGGGTTGCCCCATCCTTGGGATATCTCCTCTCCGACAAAAAAAATAATCATCAAAATCGGTTCATAGACGACAAAGTTATCCCGAACACAACACATTTTTGGTGTAACTATAGACTATAGATGCTAAACCCCATATTAATAAGCTGGCGAGTAGATTAAGCTCAGCGGTCATCGCGGTTAAGAAAACAAGACGTTATGGCTATTTTGATGTATTTTAGTTATTTTCATAGTATAATGTCTTATGCCATTCTTCTTTGGGGAAACACGGCTGACATAAACACTATCTTCATCCTGCAAAAGAAAGCTATTCGAGCAGATTATAACCTGGGCCCCAAAACATCGCTAAGAAACTTCTTTAAAGAAATAAAAGTAGTGACTATTGCTTCTCAGTACAAACATGCAAATATCAAGGTTTAGTAAAATACATGATAATATAAATACTACGAACATAAATTAAATCTGCCCCTTTCAAACAAAACAAGAATCTGTCCACCTAGTTATATAATATGAAGGATATCTTTTGATTTTTCGTACCTTTTTGAAGTCGGTTAAAAATACGCATCGAATTGACAACTAATAAAATGATTAAAACTTCTTAGTGCTCACACGTTGTCTTCAGAGAAAATAGTTATAGATATCGACAAGTTTCTATACATTATTCTAGAACAAGAAATCATCTTGCTACTAAACGTTAAATAGCCTAAGTACCTTTCTTCATCAGCTCAGCGTCACGAGATGATGATGACTATACACAAATTGTCTTAATAGCTTTAGAAAATACATGTAAAACATTGTTAATACCTACAACATTCAAATGTCAAGGAAAATCCTCAAGGATTTCCCTCTATTTATATGGGATCCGATTATCAGATTATCCGATTATATATATATATATATATTTATTTGTGTTCACGGATAACTTCGTGGTTTCTCAACCGATTTTGATGATTCTTTTTTATATATATATATATACATATATACGGTCCAATTGAGAAACCTCCTCCTTTTTGAAGTTGGTTAAAAATCCAAAGAAACTATTTCTACCTATTATTTAAGTTTCATTTTAATAGTGATTCTTTTTGATAGTGCTACATTAAATAATCTCAAATAATCATAAATACAATGATGTTTTCACTTCAGAAAGAAACTAAACTATATACTAACTACAATAAAAACTACAGCCACAGCAAACGTTAACATTTTATATAAATAATGATTTTACAAGAACCTAGTGCGGCTTGCGGACTTTACAAAAATCGTAACGTAAAATGATGTGTGTGTATCATATGCTAAGTATCGAGCAGGAGAGTGCCACGTTCACAGAACACTTTTACTCAAAGAGAAGAATGACGGCTCCATACAAATTTTAGGAGGAAATTTTTTTCTTACCGACCGGCGCCATCTGTGTTCTGCCCAAAAGAACTAGTGAGCAAATGCTAGGGCGGGAATTTCAAACTAGTAATTTTAAAGGTACTTGGCGTTGCATTTTATGCACAAGTACAATGCGTTTATAACACACAGTTTGGGGAGCGCCCGTTGGGTGCTCGTGAAGAAATATTGTCGGATCCCTCTCCCACTATTCGTTGTTGATAAAACTCCGAGCGTGGCGCATGAGGTCGGTAGGTCGTCGAATAAAAGACAGGCAGATACTTCACCTGATTATATTCAGTACAAGTTTACAATATGATTGCGTTTTAGTAACCGCGTGTGCGCAGTCAGTGAAGTTCCGTTACAAGTCCTTTTTCTGTGTGTCCGTAAGCGTCCTGTCACGGCGTCGTCTATGAAAATTCATAGACCATCCCACAGATAATGGCGAACGCCACAACAGTATACTTGTGCATAAATTGCTATATTTATTCATCTTTAGAGAGCAGTCTAATTAAACAAAAAAAAACGAATGAATTGGTACTTCACTTTTTTTATTTAGCATGATAATAAATACAATATATGAGATATTCATTTGTAACATATATTATAACAGACATACATTTACATGAATTCATACATGAGTTGTATTCATTTCCAGAAATTTGGTACAGAAATCACAAGTGGGTGTAATGATAATGAATCTCAAATGTCAGCAAATTTTAAACACAAATAAATATAATATTTTTAAAATACAATATAAATGCCGCGTGGATTAGGTTTATTAGATAATATGTAATTTTAGATAGATTTAATCTTGTAAATATTAGATCAATAAAGAATATAAATGACATTATGCACAAAATTTGAAAGTACAGGAAGTTAAATTAAATTAAGATTTTTTTAAAGACCTGTAAAAAAAATCTCTTACATGCATTATAACATTCAAGTCTGTGGCTGG